GTCTGTAGAGGAATAGGCAGAAGTTATGTCTGTTGTCTGGGATGTCTGTTGTCTGTAGAGGAATAGGCAGAAGTTACCTGGGATGTCTGTTGTCTGTAGAGGAATAGGCAGAAGTTACCTGGGATGTCTGTTGTCTGTAGAGGAATAGGCAGAAGTTATGGGAGGTTGTCTGTAGAGGAATAGAGAGTTACCTGGGATGTCTGTTGTCTGTAGAGGAATAGGCAGAAGTTACCTGGGATGTCTGTTGTCTGTAGAGGAATAGGCAGAAGTTACCTGGGATGTCTGTTGTCTGTAGAGGAATAGGCAGAAGTTACCTGGGATGTCTGTTGTCTGTAGAGGAATAGGCAGAAGTTACCTGGGATGTCTGTTGTCTGTAGAGGAATAGGCAGAAGTTACCTGGGATGTCTGTGGGATGTCTGTTGTCTGTAGAGGAATAGGCAGAAGTTACCTGGGATGTCTGTTGTCTGTAGAGGAATAGGCAGAAGTTACCTGGGATGTCTGTTGTCTGTTGGGATGTCTGTTGTCTGTAGAGGAATAGGCAGAAGTTACCTGGGATGTCTGTTGTCTGTAGAGGAATAGGCAGAAGTTACCTGGGATGTCTGTTGTCTGTAGAGGAATAGGCAGAAGTTACCTGGGATGTCTGTTGTCTGTAGAGGAATAGGCAGAAGTTACCTGGGATGTCTGTTGTCTGTAGAGGAATAGGCAGAAGTTACCTGGGATGGTTGATGTCTTACCTGGGATGTCTGTAGAGGAATAGGCAGAAGTTACCTGGGATGTCTGTTGTCTGTAGAGGAATAGGCAGAAGTCACCTGGGATGTCTGTTGTCTGTAGAGGAATAGGCAGAAGTTACCTGGGATGTCTGTTGTCTGTAGAGGAATAGGCAGAAGTTACCTGGGATGTCTGTTGTCTGTAGAGGAAAAGGCAGAAGTCATCTGGGATGTCTGTTGTCTGTAGAGGAATAGGCAGAAGTTACCTGGGATGTCTGTTGTCTGTAGAGGAATAGGCAGAAGTTACCTGGGATGTCTGTGTAGAGGAATAGGCAGAAGTTACCTGGGATGTCTGTTGTCTGTAGAGGAATAGGCAGAAGTTACCTGGGATGTCTGTTGTCTGTAGAGGAATAGGCAGAAGTTATCTGGGATGTCTGTTGTCTGTAGAGGAATAGGCAGAAGTTACCTGGGATGTCTGTTGTCTGTAGAGGAATAGGCAGAAGTTACCTGGGATGTCTGTTGTCTGTAGAGGAATAGGCAGAAGTTATCTGGGATGTCTGTTGTCTGTAGAGGAATAGGCAGAAGTTACCTGGGATGTCTGTTGTCTGTAGAGGAATAGGCAGAAGTTATCTGGGATGGCAGAAGTTACCTGGGATGTCTGTTGTCTGTAGAGGAATAGGCAGAAGTTACCTGGGATGTCTGTTGTCTGTAGAGGAATAGGCAGAAGTTACCTGGGATGTCTGTTGTCTGTAGAGGAATAGGCAGAAGTTATCTAGGATGTCTGTTGTCTGTAGAGGAATAGGCAGAAGTTACCTGGGATGTCTGTTGTCTGTAGAGGAATAGGCAGTTATCTGGGATGTCTGGGATGTCTGTGTCTGTTGTCTGTAGAGGAATAGGCAGAAGTTATCTGGGATGTCTGTTGTCTGTAGAGGAATAGGCAGAAGTTAAGTAGGCAGAAGTTACCTGGGATGTCTGTTGTCTGTAGAGGAATAGGCAGAAGTTACCTGGGATGTCTGTTGTCTGTAGAGGAATAGGCAGAAGTTATCTGGGATGTCTGTTGTCTGTAGAGGAATAGGCAGAAGTTATCTGGGATGTCTGTTGTCTGTAGAGGAATAGGCAGAAGTTATCTGGGATGTCTGTTGTCTGTAGAGGAATAGGCAGAAGTTATCTGGGATGTCTGTTGTCTGTAGAGGAATAGGCAGAAGTTATCTGGGATGTCTGTTGTCTGTAGAGGAATAGGCAGAAGTTACCTGGGATGTCTGTTGTCTGTAGAGGAATAGGCAGAAGTTACTGTTGTCTGTAGAGGAATAGGCAGAAGTTACCTGGGATGTCTGTTGTCTGTAGAGGAATAGGCAGAAGTCACCTGGGATGTCTGTTGTCTGTAGAGGAATAGGCAGAAGTCATCTGGGATGTCTGTTGTCTGTAGAGGAATAGGCAGAAGTCATCTGGGATGTCTGTTGTCTGTAGAGGAATAGGCAGAAGTTACCTGGGATGTCTTCTGGGATGTCTGTTGTCTGTAGAGGAATAGGCAGAAGTTATCTGGGATGTCTGTTGTCTGTAGAGGAATTGGGATGTCTGTTGTCTGTAGAGGAATAGGCAGAAGTTATCTGGGATGTCTGTTGTCTGTAGAGGAATAGGCAGAAGTTATCTGGGATGTCTGTTGTCTGTAGAGGAATAGGCAGAAGTTATCTGGGATGTCTGTTGTCTGTAGAGGAATAGGCAGAAGTTATCTGGGATGTCTGTTGTCTGTAGAGGAATAGGCAGAAGTTATCTGGGATGTCTGTTGTCTGTAGAGGAATAGGCAGAAGTTATCTGGGATGTCTGTTGTCTGTAGAGGAATAGGCAGAAGTTATCTGGGATGTCTGTTGTCTGTAGAGGAATAGGCAGAAGTTATCTGGGATGTCTGTTGTCTGTAGAGGAATAGGCAGAAGTTATCTGGGATGTCTGTTGTCTGTAGAGGAATAGGCAGAAGTTATCTGGGATGTCTGTTGTCTGTAGAGGAATAGGCAGAAGTTATCTGGGATGTCTGTTGTCTGTAGAGGAATAGGCAGAAGTTATCTGGGATGTCTGTTGTCTGTAGAGGAATAGGCAGAAGTTATCTGGGATGTCTGTTGTCTGTAGAGGAATAGGCAGAAGTTATCTGGGATGTCTGTTGTCTGTAGAGGAATAGGCAGAAGTTATCTGGGATGTCTGTTGTCTGTAGAGGAATAGGCAGAAGTTATCTGGGATGTCTGTTGTCTGTAGAGGAATAGGCAGAAGTTATCTGGGATGTCTGTTGTCTGTAGAGGAATAGGCAGAAGTTATCTGGGATGTCTGTTGTCTGTAGAGGAATAGGCAGAAGTTATCTGGGATGTCTGTTGTCTGTAGAGGAATAGGCAGAAGTTATCTGGGATGTCTGTTGTCTGTAGAGGAATAGGCAGAAGTTATCTGGGATGTCTGTTGTCTGTAGAGGAATAGGCAGAAGTTATCTGGGATGTTTGTTTGATTTAAAACTCTTCTGTCCAATTTGTCCCACAAGTGTCGCTTGGCATCAAACTTGTGTTATATGTAGACCAATCAATAGAAACAATGTTTAGGAAAGTCATGCTGAAAGGTTAAATGGTACCTTATAATGAAAGACTTGAGGCATCAGGATCTCAATAGCAAACAGTCTGTTAGTTAATCAATTAAGGTATCCAAATCATAGGATGTTCCTCCCCAAACCATAACTGACCCACCCTAAAATATGTCTTACTTCAAAACAAGTTTCTGCAAAACACTCTCCTCAAGGCCAGTGCACATGTTGACAGCTATCTGATTGAAATATTGTAATTGAGATTCATTCGTGAAGAACAGACCTCTTACGTCTCGTACGGAAACATCTGGGCACATGGGCTTTCAACCATCATTTGTGTATAATTCATTTGAAAACTTTATTGAATGTTTCACGGATTATCTTCGATAAATTGCCTTCTGGTGTCTGTTATATCAACAAACTTAAGTCAACATAGTGGTTTACATATCGTAAGAAAAGGTTGTGGCTTATATTCCAATGTGACTTGTATATGAATAAATAAAAGTTATTCATAAAACGGTGTGGTGTTTATACCAGTACAACTTATAGCTCAAAATCCATCTTCTTCTTGAGGAATGCATGGACTTTGTCCCAGTTTGTTCTGAAAAATTCTTGGGTGATGGAGACTTTTGTATAAATGATTTGGTGACCTCTTGGGTGTAGAGGGGTGGGGACCAATGGGGAAATAAATATTAAACCTTAAGTATTCCTTTACATTTAGATTAGGTAAAGCAATTCCAGCAAAATAAAGCCAGGTGATAATACAGGCTTCTTGTAAAATAGGCCATAAACTGTTCCTACCTGTTAATTGATCATCACGGTCTCCTTAATTAACAACTGAAGGGTTGGTAGTTGTGTTGTAATGAGATGGTGATGCCTAAATTGTTCTGTTATATGAGAAATCTTGATTTTCATAGTATTAGTTAAATCATCCAAGTCCTTTGAATGTTTAAGGTAGATAAGGTAGACAGTAAGTAGTGAAACGCTTGGGGCTTTCTCATGCTGCGCATATCAATTTGGTCCATTAGCCCCAAGTAACGGGTTTTTCAATTAATTTTCGACATACATAGTTTCGTATAGTACAGTTATAGTGCATCCGTACAGGACCATTTTCGCCTGGTTCTTCAGTAGAACTCAGGACCTCGCCTGGCGATGTTACCTAGACTGTGTACTATTTTAGCAGTCTTCGTTGTACAGGACTCCTTCGCCTGGCAACAAGCTGATTTTACTCATTTTCAAATTTGTCATGTTTTATTTAATAGTTTAAACCTTCATTCTCGATCAACCAGTGTTCAAAATTTTCATTTATACTTCTCATTCCTACAACCAGGACCACCTTTTCCTATTTCGGACTAGGACTCGCCTGCATGTAGGAATCATACTCATCTTCATTCATACATCTGGTTATCACATAAAGCAGCTGAGACAGCCCTGAATGCAAAATTTTTATATGTTTTCATGTTGTCCAATGTTATGTATATAGATGTTTTGCTATGATCTTATTAGTAGGGTTTTTATATTGGATGTGTTCATTACAATTTTCTAATCGTATATCCATCGTTTGTTGTTGTTTATAAAGTAGTGAAACGAGGAATGCCAACAAAGGGAATGGTATTACAAAAATATTTCTATTAATTACCACCATTATGAAATGTTCTTTCATGGTCATTATTGTAACTATCAATATTTCAATTACAGTTAAACCCTCATTATTGTTACTATCAATGATTTATTTACAGTTAAACCCTCAGCTGTGGAATCATTTCAACAACACTACACAGACAAGAGTACCTGTTTATTACTGACTTGGACGTATGACAAAAGCATTGCTAAATCTAGATTGAAGTACTACAGAATTCAGTACTTTCCTGTGGCAGATCCATCACAGTTGAAAGAGGTATAGTAATTCTTGAGCTCATCATTTTGCCCATAAGGCAATGCAGCACAAGAATTATTCCTAATTATGTCTCACCTTTGCTGCTTTGTAAGTAACTTGTACAACCGTTTTAATGAAAAATGCAGAATACAATCAAAATTGTCTTCTCCTCTCCTACACTACTAGTCATTGGAACTTCATGCCTGGGGTATGGTTTCACCTTGATGAAGTGGGGTAGATGAAGCAATGTGTTTATATCAAAAGTAGGTCACTGTGACCTGTTTTTTAACCTTTGACCTACATAAAAATGAATAAAAGTTTTTTGGTACTCTCTTATTCACAATTTGTTTCTGGAACTTCATACTGGGTTATGAGGTCAACTTGGTGAGTAAATTTGTCATGTATCTAAAGTAGATAACTCTGACCTTTATTATGACCTTTGACCTATATCAAAGAAAGATGTGAGGCGGTATGTCATGTATCAAAAGTTGGTCGCTCTGACCTTTATTTTGAATTTTGACCCACAATGAGTCATTTGGTCAAATGGTATCAGGAATCAGGAATTCCAAGATAGAGGAACTTATTTGTTGGGCGTGGTGATCTTGATACCTTCCTATTGTTAGCTGTGGCAGACTACTTGTAGTAAAAGGTTGACATGTACAGTTTGTTATCATTATTTCTTTCTTGATGGGTCATTCACAAATCTTATATGAAAAATTTGACTTTTGGGAGAGAAAAAAAATTCACAACTTAAAAAGAATTGTTAAAGATCATCAGATGGTTGGAAGCAAAATTCCTCAGAGATGCAATTAAATACAAATGTGCACAGACCAGAGTTATGTAGAAATACTCTGTTTGCATTAAATCAAGTGACAATTTGTTTTACCAGGTGTGGAGTGATTCATTCAATGTGACTATCTGTCAGCTTACTCCGTACACTGAGTACAATTTTACCATCGCTGTCCACCCAAACAGGAATGCAGTCAAGGGTTACTGGAGTGACCCAGTCAGCAAATGGTTCCAAACAGACCAGGATAGTATGTGTTGTTTGTTTGTTTTTTTTTTTTTTTTTGTACAACACAGTGTTAATTCAGTAGGGAAATATTTTGTATTTTGCTATTTGTTAGTTTTATTTAAACAACACCCCAATAGATCTGTGTAATAGAAAACAGATTTTCCATTCTATGGTGAAAATATATTCCCTGATAGAAAAAAAAGAGAAAAAATTATTCTTTACAAATATTAAAAGATTTGTTTTCAAAATCATGTCTGATTAACAGTTAAGCATGAATGATAGACTAACATGTAAAATTATCCAAGAATGATGAATTATAAATTTTGGATATTCTGATAAATTTTAGTTCCAGTTGTGCCACCGGAGATGTTTGGATGCACACAATCTAACAAAACTTGCTTCAAGGAAGGAGGGAACAACATCAACAGTTACACAGTTTTTTGGAAGGTACATCTGAGTTTTTAGCCCACCATCTAATCGCCCTGCGTCCCTGGTCCGTGGTCCGTCCGTCCGTCCGTAAACAATTATTGTTACCGCTATTTCTGGAAAAGTACTGGATGGATCTTTCTCAAATTTCATATGCAGTTTCCTCTTGGTCCCTAGTTGTGCATTGTACCTTTTTTGAACTGATTCGAATTCAAGATGGCCGACAGGTGGCCATCTTGGATTTTGGAAGTAAAAGTTTGTTACCATTATTTCTGAGAAAGTACTGGATGGATCTTTCTTAAATTTCATATGCAGGTTCCACTTTGTCCCTAGTTGTGCATTGTACCTTTTTTGGACTGATTCGAATTCAAGATGGCCGACAGGCAGCCATCTTGGATTTTGGAAGTAAAAGATTGTTACTGCTATTTCTTGGAAAGTACTGGATGGATCTTTCTCAAATTTCATATGCAGGTTCCCCTTGGTCCCTAGTTGTGCATTGTACCTTTTTTGGACTGATTCGAATTCAAGATGGCCGACAGGTGGCCATCTTGGATTTTGAGAGTAAAAGTTTGTTACTGCTATTTCTTGGAAAGTACTGGATGGATCTTTCTCAAATTTCATATGCAGGTTCCCTTTGGTTCCAAGTTGTACATTGTACCTTTTTTGGACTGATTCGAATTCAAGATGGCCGACCGGTAGCCATCTTGTATTTTGGTAGTAAAAGTTTGTTACTGCTATTTCTTGGAAAGTACTGGATGGATCTTTCTCAAATTTCATATGCAGGTTCCCTTTGGTTCCAAGTTGTACATTGTACCTTTTTTGGACTGATTCGAATTCAAGATGGCAGACCGGTGGCCATCTTGGATTTTGAGAGTAAAAGATTGTTACTGCTATTTCTTGGAAAGTACTGGATGGATCTTTCTCAAATTTCATATGCAGGTTCCCTTTGGTTCCAAGTTGTACATTGTACCTTTTTTGGACTGATTCGAATTCAAGATGGCAGACCGGTGGCCATCTTGGATTTTGAGAGTAAAAGATTGTTACTGCTATTTCTTGGAAAGTACTTGATGGATCTTTCTCATATTTCATATGCAGGTTCCCTTTGGTTCCAAGTTGTGCATTATACCTTTTTGGACTGATCCGAAATCAAGATGGCCCACAGGCAGCCATCTTGGATGTCGACAGTAATACAGCACAAGCATATTGTCCATTATCCACCTGTAACTGACTGCTATCTAATAATACTTTGGGATCTTTTTCAAATGATATTTGCTAATAGGTGCTTAATAAAAATATCTTGTGCCATCATTGAGTACATTCAATGAAGAACAGTTCATGAACATTTACACCACCTGTAACAAACAAAAGAAAATAAACAAATCTTCAAGAACTGAAAACAGATCCTCAAATGGTGGGCGCCAAGATCCCTCTGGGATCTCTTGTTTAATATTTCAGAACTGTGGTTTTTCATTGTGTAACAGAGATATCAGTGTCTTGTGTTTGTAAGTTATTTGTCACTGACTTCTGTCAGTGATCTCTATAACCACTTAAATTCAAACATGTTTAATGACAGTTAATCTATAACAAGTTAAATTCTGGGTTAATTTGATAGCAGTTAATCTATAACAAGTTAAATTCTGGGTTAATTTGATAGCAGTTAATCTATAACAAGTTAAATTCTTGACTCATTTGATGGCAGCTGATCTATAACAAGTTAAATTCTGGACTCATTTAATGACAGTTAATCTATAACAAGTTAAATTCTGGACTCATTTAATGACAGTTAATCTATAACAAGTTAAATTCTGGGTTAATTTGATAGCAGTTAATCTATAACAAGTTAAATTCTGGACTCATTTAATGGCAGTTAATCTATAACAAGTTAAATTCTGGACTCATTTAATGACAGTTAATCTATAACAAGTTAAATTTGGGGCTCATTTGATAGTAGTTAATCTATAACAAGTTAAATTTGGGGCTCATTTGATAGTAGTTAATTAAAAACTAGTTAAATTCTGGGCATATTTAATGGCAGTTGATCTGTAACCACTTAACTTCCTGTCACATTTAATATTTAATTTAAGATCAGGTAAACTCTGGACACATTTAATGGTTAAATTCTCAACACATATAACAGTAGTTAATATGTAGTCAGTGTAATTCTGTCCTGACAGTATTGGCATTATCATAGCCGTGTGACGATAGTCTTTAAGGGTATATAGGGACCTGCCCACACCTTTTGTATGTTTCCCTACCAAAGCCATCAATCTACAGACTTTATTTCTGATCTGATTGTCACAATATTTCACATGTGTCCACAAACTTAACCTCTTACAGGAGTCTGCATTTCAACCCCCTGCGGTTAAAAACTGGGTCACTGTCACTCTAACTATAAATGGACATAGAGGGGACAAAATAGGGCTTGAAGTCTATTTTTGAATGCTGTAATTTTTTTTCTCAAATAAATAGAGTTGATCTACATCTAGTGGACAAGGAGTGCATCCTTTTGGGAAGGCATTCATTTCTCGCCAGAATTAGAGTCATATCCTAGGATTGTAGTAAAGTTCACAACAAATGCTTCTATTTATCAAAAGCCTTTCTCCATGTCATGTTCAAATTCTCTATTAACAGGATACTCTGGATTTTCTGAGTAATCGGTTTGTAAAATTCATTTATTTTAAGTACAAGTTAAGTTACAATAAAACAAAAATCATTGGGTCCCTCTTTTATTATAAGTTACACTGTGTACTGTAACTGTAACTTTTTGTTCTAGGCATTACCAGAGGAGGACAGCAATGGTGAAATTATCAGCTATAATGTAACATATACTGACATTTCTTCATCACATCATCACACAGACTCCACCATTAGGAACAAAACAGATATATCAGTCAACCTGAGACTCCACTGTGACAAACTCTACAATGTTTCTATCAATGCTGCCACCAAAAAGGGATACTCACCATATCACTCCAGTCTTATCATCAACACCACAGGTAAGTAACACAGGTACTCACCACACCACTCCAGTCTCATCATCAACACCACAGGTAAGTAACACAGGTACTCACCACACCACTCCAGTCTTATCATCAACACCACAGGTAAGTAACACAGGTACTCACCACACCACTCCAGTCTCATCATCAACACCCCACTTAACTAACAAAGTACTCACCACACCACTCCAGTCTCATCATCAACACCACAGGTAAGTAACACAGGTACTCACCACACCACTCCAGTCTCATCATCAACACCACAGGTAAGTAACACAGGTACTCACCACACCACTCCAGTCTCATCATCAACACCACAGGTAAGTAACACAGGTACTCACCACACCACTCCAGTCTCATCATCAACACCACAAGTAAGTAACACAGGTACTCACTACACCACTCCAGTCTTATCATCAACACCACAAGTAAGTAACACAGGTACTCACTACACCACTCCAGTCTAATCATCAACACCACAGGTAAGTAACACAGGTACTCACCAAACCACTCCAGTCTCATCATCAACACCACAGGTAAGTAACACAGGTACTCACCAAACTACTCCAGTCTCATCATCAACACCACAGGTAAGTAACACAGGTACTCACCACACCACTCCAGTCTCATCATCATCACCACAGGTAAGTAACACAGGTACTCACCAAACCACTCCAGTCTCATCATCAACATCACAGTTAAGTAACACAGGTACTCACCACACCACTCCAGTGTCATCATCAACACCACAGGTAAGTAACACAGGTACTCACCACTCAAGTCTCATAATCAACACCACAGGTAAGTAACACAGGTAAATGGCCCCTTGTTGTGCATTTTGTCATTTTCTGAAGAAAACAACATGGCCTTTTTTGATTTTGACAGTAATAGTTTGTTATGGATATTTCTTGTGAAACACTGACAATTTTTTGTACGTTTTTGGGAAAAATTTGAAGGCCTCTTTAATCCTCAACTGGACAATTTTAACCGGTTTTGATTTAACATTAATAACAACAAATTCTTTACAAAAGGAATTTGTATTGTTATAAATTGTGTATTTTTATTGTATTTCAGGTACTTCCTTACCTGTTGTTATGGTGGAGCGTAATAATTCACTCTACAATGTTTCCTGGACTGTCCCTTGGCATGTAGACTCCCTCATCAGTTTCAGTGTGGTTTATTGTAAGCAGCTTGGTTCACAACAAAACTGTATTGTAAGTACAATCTGAACACAGTCTGTAATACTGTGATTCCATAGTCCTTCATGGTACACAGGTCCTCAGTACACAGGTCCATGGTACACAGGTCCTCGGTACACAGGTCCTCGGTACACAGGTCACAGGTCCTCGGTACACAGGTCCATGGTACACAGGTCCATGGTGCACAGGTCCATGGTACACAGGTCCTCGGTACACAGGTCCATGGTAAACAGGTCCATGGTACACAGGTCCATGGTGCACAGGTCCATGGTACACAGGTCCTCGGCACACAGGTCCTCGGTACACAGGTCCATGGTGCACAGGTCCATGGTACACAGGTCCTCGGTACACAGGTCCTCGGTACACAGGTCCATGGTACACAGGTCCTCGGTACACAGGTCCTGGGTACACAGGTCCATGGTACACAGGTCCTCAGTACACAGGTCCATGGTACACAGGTCCTCGGTACACAGGTCCATGGTACACAGGTCCATGGTACACAGATCCATGGTACACAGGTCCTCGGTACACAGGTCCTCGGTACACAGGTCCATGGTACACAGGTCCATGGTACACAGTCCATGGTACACAGGTCATATTGGAACACATGTCCTCGGTACACAGGTCCATGCTACACAGGTCCATGGTACACAGGTCCTCGGTACACAGGTCCATGGTACACAGTCCATGGTACACAGGTCATATTGGAACACATGTCCTCGGTACAAAGGTCCACAGGTCCATGCTACACAGGTCCATGGTACACAGGTCCTCGGTACATAGGTCCATGGTACACAGGTCATATTGGAACACGTCCTTGGTACACAGGTCCATGGTACACAGGTCCTTGGTACACAGGTCCTTGGTACACAGGTCCATGGCACACAGGTCCATGGTACACAGTCCATGGTACACAGGTCATATTGGTACACGTCCTCGGTACACAGGTCCATGGTACACAGTCCATGGTACACAGGTCCATGGTACACATGTAATATTGGTACACAGGTCCATGGTGCACATGTCATATTGGTACACAGGTCCATGGTACACAGGTCCATGCTACACATGTCCTCGGTACACAGGTCCATGGTACACAGTCTATGGTACACAGGTCCATGGTACACAGGTCATATTGGTACACAGGTCCATGGTACACAGGTCATATTGGTACACAGGTCCATGGTACACAGGTCCATGGTACACAGGTCATATTGGTACACAGGTCCTCGGTACACAGGTCCATGCTACACAGGTCCATGGTACACAGGTCCTCGGTACACAGGTCCTGGGTACACAGGTCCATGGTACACAGGTCATATTGGTAACGGTTCCATGGTACACTGTCCATGGTACACAGGTAATATTGGTACACAGGTCCATGGTACGCATGTCCATGGTACACAGGTCCTTGTTACACAGGTCCATGATACACAGGTCATATTGGTACACAGTCCATGATACACAGGTCCTGGGTACACAGGTTCATGGTACACAGGTCATATTGGTACACAGGTCATATTGGTACACAGGTCCTCGGTACACAGGTCCATGCTACACAGGTCCATGCTACACAGGTCCTCGGTACACAGGTCATATTGGTATACAGGTCCATGGTACACAGGTCATATTGGTAACGGTTCCATGGTACACTGTCCATGGTACACAGGTAATATTGGTACACAGGTCATATTGGTACACAGGTCATATTGGTACACAGGTCCATGGTACACAGGTCATGTTAGTACACAGGTCCATGGTACACAGGTCATATTGGTACAAAGGTCCATGGTATACAGATAATATTTGTACACAGGTCCATGGTACACAGGTCATATTGGTACAGAGGTCCATGGTAACAGGTCCATGGTACACAGGTCCATGGTACACAGGTCCATGGTACACAGGTCATATTGGTACACAAACTCCACTGTTTTACATATTACAGTAATATGATAAAGGTCATAGGTAGCTCAAACTTCACTGTTTTATCTATATTACAGTAAATGATAAATTATCAGAGGTAGCTCAAATTCCACTGTTTTATCTATATTACAGTAAATGATAAACTATCAGAGGTAGCTCAAACTTCACTGTTTTATCTATATTACAGTAAATGATAAACTATCAGAGGTAGCTCAAACTTTACTGTATATTACCATATCTTGTTGACAGGGTGATTTAGAGAAGGTCGTACACAGACACCATTGTGTAGTGTAGGGATGACTGGTACACAGACACCATTGGATGTTCCAGGCTCCTACACACGTTCCCAAACTTTGTCGCTGACATCCAACACAATGTACCTGTTTGGTGTGTCAGTCATTAGGGATGGAGTTACCAGTGCTGCCATGTTTGAGAGCTGTGTTTACGTTGTCACTGAAAGTAAGGACACTGTTTAATGAGTTACCAGTGTTGTCATGTTTGAGAGCTGTGTTTACGTTGTCACTGAAAGTAAGGACACTGTTTAATGAGTTACCAGTGTTGTCATGCTTGAGAGCTGTGTTTACGTTGTCACTGAAAGTAAAGGCACTGTTTAATGAGATACCAGTGTTGTCATGCTTGAGAGCTGTGTTTACGTTGTCACTGAAAGTAAAGGCACTGTTTAATGAGATACCAGTGTTGTCATGCTTGAGAGCTGTGTTTACGTTGTCACTGAAAGTAAGGACACTGTTTAATGAGTTACCAGTGTTGTCATGCTTGAGAGCTGTGTTTACGTTGTCACTGCTTGAACATTGTGTAGTGTAGGGATGACTGGTACACAGACAACATTGTGTAGTGTAGGGATGTAAAGGCACAGTTGTGTACACAGACACATTGTGTAGTGTAGGGATTTGACATGGTACACAGACACAGACACCATTGTGTAGTGTTGGGATGACTGGTACACAGACAACATTGTGTAGTGTAGGGATGACAGGTACACAGACACCATTGTGTAGTGTTGGGATGACAGGTACACAGACACCATTGTGTAGTGTAGGGATGACTGGTACACAGACACCATTGTGTAGTGTTGGGATGACTGGTACACAGACACCATTGTGTAGTGTAGGGATGACTGGTACACAGACACCATTGTGTAGTGTAGGGATGACTGGTACACAGACACCATTGTGTAGTGTAGGGATGACTGGTACACAGACACAACAGTATCGTGTTGGTAGAACAGGTGGTTGCTTAATCAACTTCAGGATTACCTATTTTGGTATTTTATGTTGTCATAAAGGATGTTTAAACATAATTTTTTTTTCAACATTTCATAAAGACTTTTTAACAGATATTTAACAAACCCGACCAGAATAATGTTTGTTGTTAGGGAATTATATATATATATATATATACCAAATTCCCTAGGATTTCCTTTTTGGTGTAGGACATGTGTCAAATTTTACTATTGTTTTGATTTGTTTTAACAATTCTTCTTAGAACTTTGATGTACTTGGACAAGATATTTTCCTGTTTAGTTTATCATATAACTTTACGCATTAGAAAGAGGGTCTGAGGCTGCTGATAGTTAACGGACCTATTTTTTTTTTTCAAAGGACAAGAACAGCTGAAGGTAATCCCATCCACATCAAAGACAGAATACATCATCAGCAACCTTGAGAAGGATGTACAGTATGGTGTTAGAATGTTGAGCTCTTCTTCATCACAATCTAGTCGTCTGAGTGGGATGAAGTATGGAACACCTACAAATAATGGTAAGATTTAGATTATGTACTGTTGATCTGTGTGTACACCAACAGTAGTAGACTGTAGGTTATGTTGATCTGTGTGTACACCAACAGTGGTAGACTGTAGGTTATGTTGATCTGTGTGTACACCGACAGTGGTAGACTGTAGGTTATGTTGATCTGTGTGTACACCGACAGTGGTAGACTGTAGGTTATGTTGATCTGTGTGTACACCGACAGTGGTAGACTGTAGGTTATGTTGATCTGTGTGTACACCGGCAGTGGTAGACTGTAGGTTATGTTGATCTGTGTGTACACCGACAGTGGTAGACTGTAGGTTATGTTGATCTGTGTGTACACCGACAGTGGTAGACTGTAGGTTATGTTGATCTGTGTGTACACCGACAGTGGTAGACTGTAGGTTATGTTGATCTGTGTGTACACCGACAGTGATAGACTGTAGGTTATGTTGATCTGTGTGTACACCGACAGTGATAGACTGGTAGACTGTAGGTTATGTTGATCTGTGTGTACACCGACAGTGGTAGACTGTAGGTTATGTTGATCTGTGTGTACACCGGCAGTGGTAGACTGTAGGTTATGTTGATCTGTGTGTACACCGACAGTGGTAGACTGTAGGTTATGTTGATCTGTATGTACACCAACAGTAGAAGGCTTTTCTTAATTAAAGATTAAAACTATTTGTTTTGCTCTGAATCTTGTCCATGCTTTTACTCTCTTGGTCCTTTAAGTGCCTTATATCATGATGCTTATATATGATAATTAGCCTACTACATCACAATTTAATTGCAAAAGACAAGATGATTTATTTGTAAACCATTCAATTTTGATTTTGAAGTTAATTTTTTCCATAATTATGTATTTCTATACCCCTGCTAGTTAAGGGACGAGAGGGTGTACCAGAATCACCCTGTCTGGATATCGTTCGCAAATATGTCTGAAGAGCTTCTCTTAAACCCATGAACCAACGCCAAACTTCATATTGATATAAAGGACCATATGTAGATGTGCATGCAATTTTTTCCTACCAGAAATTTTGATTGCCATAGTAACTAAAGTCTTTGCATTTGTGAGGATTAGTAATTATCCTCAGGACAAAGCTCTAGTTTTAACTGAATTATAAATCTAGGTTTAATAAAAGAAGAAACACAACATTTGTAGTATTAATTTCATCATCCCACATATTAATCTATTTGAAATGAGAGAAAAAAAAAGAAAGAAAAAAAATCTGAACTTTCGTTGATTTTGCTTTATTTGTAAATTAACTCGTATTGAAAAAAATTATCTGTCAATTTTTTACCATATTAGAATTTTGACCCAAATATTTTCAAATTTTGACTCCCAGGATTTTATGTGACTCAGAATTCTGGAGCTGAGAATCGTGGTCTTTTCAACTTTTTATTCTACTAAATACCATGCATCAATATAGTGTTCACTTTTTGTGATGTCTGTTTTCAGTACCCCATTTAAGGTCACTGTTGCTGAAATATATTCAAACTTTGTATTAAGTGTAGAAACCCTGTGATTCTTGACCTGCTTTCGTACCAGTTTACAGTATAAGAAAGATCGAGATGATGTTACTATGGTAACATATCCTGGTGGAAACGGAATTTTGTCACATGCTAAAGTTCTGTATTGATTTTGTGTCATAGAATATGGACATTACAAGTATGTGATATTTGTGAATATAGAGATATAAATAGGATGTGCTGTCCATGAATAGTGATATAAATAGGACGTGATATAGATAGAACGTGAATTCTTAGTCAAAAGCAGTACTATTGTTGTGTGTGTTGTTCTTTTCAGTACGACTGATGTGAACAGAGGATTTGACGAAACAGAAGATTAATTCTACCTTTGTTGTTTTCGTTTGTCATTGTTTGCTATCAATGATTAATGAAATAAATATTTCAAAAAGAGAAACAATGTTTATACATATCTTTGAAGACAATTTTGATAATGCAGATTTATTAGTTTTATATTAAAGACTAATTTTTGTTTGCAAGATAGAGTCATATTTCAGTATAATTGTAGATTTTAGACAACATAATTTGACATGAATTATCTCTGGGTCAAATAGGATACATAAGATAAACAAGATCCCATTTCATGGTTTTTGAGAAATGTGGTGAACATACTTTTCAAAATTTGACAGATGTGTAGTTACCCGGTATTTGATTTAAAAATCAGTTACTTTGAAGTCATATTCAGAGCTAATTCTCACCTGCACAGGTCATATTTAGCATGTCTCTTTGGACTGAATGGTTCTGTAAGGTCATACATGTTTCAGTATTCATAATCAGAATGAATGGATTTATGAAAGCTTTGGAAAAGTTTTCTGTTTTGCTGCTCCATTTCCTGTGCTGCTTCTTCATTTTGATTAACTGATTCAAATCACTGGAATTAAAATATCAAAAAGACCAATCTGTCATGGATATTGATTAATGTTAGAGTTCATCTGACCTAGAAAATTCCGTACAAGGTTGAAATATGGCAATATATAGTTCACTAAACAAAGATTAGGGTCTTTGACCAAGTTTAGACCAAGTCTGGTCATACCGAACTAGATAGATTCAGACCAAGAATAAACAGATTAAGATTTTACCAAGTCTAGACAGATTAAGATCATACAATATCTAGACAGATTCAGATTTTACCTTGTCTAGACAGATTCAGATTTTACCTTGTCTAGACAGATTAAGATCATACAATATCTAGACAGATTCAGATTTTACCATGTCTAGACAGATTCAGATTTTACCTTGTCTAGACAGATTCAGATTTTACCTTGTCTAGACAGATTCAGATTTTACCTTGTCTAGACAGATTAAGATTTTACCTTGTCTAGACAGATTCAGATTTTACCTTGTCTAGACAGATTCAGATTTTACCTTGTCTAGACAGATTCAGATTTTACCATGTCTAGACAGATTAAGATCATACATTATCTAGACAGATTCAGATTTTACCTTGTCTAGACAGATTCAGATTTTACCTTGTCTAGACAGATTAAGATTTTACCTTGTCTAGACAGATTAAGATTTTACCTTGTCTAGACAGATTAAGATTTTACCATGTCTAGACAGATTCAGATTTTACCATGTCTAGACAGATTAAGATTTTACCATGTCTAGACAGATTCAGATTTTACCTTGTCTAGACAGATTCAGATTTTACCTTGTCTAGACAGATTCAGATTTTACCATGTCTAGACAGATTCAGATTTTACGAAGACGGAACAAATTTAGATTTTACTATATCTAGACAGATTCAGGTATTACGAAGACTGAACAAATTAAGATGTTACCAAGTGGAGACAGATTCTAGTCTGAAACATATTGCCATTTATTTTAAATTCTACCTATGATAAGTATTCTGAAACGACGAATTTGTTAAATTGTTAGGAGAACATAACTCAGTAATTTTGTACATTGTGTTTTGGTTCCATTTATTTACTGTATATATATTCTTACTTTGTACACCAGGCAAAGGATGTCCATTTTTGGTCCCCTTTGATAATCAAGCTTATCGCTATAGTGATCAGAATGAGGGCTGGAAGCATTAATATATAATCATGTGTTGCTTTCAGACATTACAGTGGGATTTATCGCTGGTATTGTGGTAGCCTCAATTTTTGTAGCTGTCCTCGTCATGGCTGGCATATTTTTCGCTTGCAAGTAAGTTTTGGTCTAAACAGTGGTATCAAGCATACACAATATTTCAATTAGCTCACCATCATCAGATGAGGGGCATTCAAATCGCCCTATGTCTGTAGTCTATCATCCATTCCTCCATTTATCTCTAACACTCCTTTGTTATCACTGTTTCTTGAGAAGAAGTGGAAATTTCATCAAGAAAACAAAATGGCTGACAGATGGCCAACTTTTGACTCCAGAAGGATATTTCTAAAACTTGATGATTAGGGTCGTCTTGGTCCCTTGTTGTGCCTGTTTAATTTTGAGTTTAATCAGAAAAACAAAATGGCTGACAGGCATCCATACCAGATTTTGACAATGAAAGATCATTATCACTATTTCTTGAGAAGTACTGGATGGATCTTTCTCAGATCTAGTAAGTGGGTTGCCCATGATATTTATTTGTACTTAATAGGCAACCGTCTTCAATTTTGACAATGAAAGTTCATTTTCACTATTTCTCAAGAAGAACTGGATGCATCTTTCTCAAATTTCGTAGTCAGTATTCCCCTTGGTCCCTAGTTGTGGCTTTCTGTTATGTGGATCAATCGGAAAAAATATCTTTGTGGACAGGTGACCATCTTGGATTTGGCAGATAAAGATAATCTGTGCAACTTTGTAAGAAGAATTTTCAGATATCATATAATTAAGAAGAAGAAAATATTAAAAAACAAATAAGGATGGGTGCAAAGGTCCCTCGAGGGTCTCTTGTTGGAATCTTACACAAATTAAAAATTAGATTTGATAAACACTATGATATTCAATATCTTACACAGATTAATGGGTTAGATTTAATCAACACTGTTTGATATTCAGGACCTTACACAGATTAATGGGTTAGATTTAATCAACACTGTTTGATATTCAGGACCTTACACAGATTAATGGGTTAGATTTAATCAACACTGTTTGATATTCAGGACCTTACACAGATTAATGGGTTAGATTTAATCAACACTGTTTGATATTCAGGACCTTACACAGATTAATGGGTTAGGTTTAATCAACACTGTTTGATATTCAATATCTTACACAGATTAATGGGTTAGATTTAATCAACACTGTTTGATATTCAATATCTTACACAGATTAATGGGTTAGATTTAATCAACACTGTTTGATATTCAGGACCTTACACAGATTAATGGGTTAGATTTAATCAACACTGTTTGATATTCAATATCTTACACAGATTAATGGGTTAGATTTAATCAACACTGTTTGATATTCAGGACCTTACACAGATTAATGGGTTAGATTTAATCAACACTGTTTGATATTCAGGATCTTACACAGATTAATGGGTTAGATTTAATCAACACTGTTTGATATTCAGGATCTTACACAGATTAATGGGTTAGGTTTAATCAACACTGTTTGATATTCAGGATCTTACACAGATTAATGGGTTAGGTTTAATCAACACTGTTTGATATTCAGGATCTTACACAGATTAATGGGTTAGATTTAATCAACACTGTTTGATATTCAGGACCTTACACAGATTAATGGGTTAGATTTAATCAACACTGTTTGATATTCAATATCTTACACAGATTAATGGGTTAGATTTAATCAACACTGTTTGATATTCAGGACCTTACACAGATTAATGGGTTAGATTTAATCAACACTGTTTGATATTCAGGACCTTACACAGATTAATGGGTTAGATTTAATCAACACTGTTTGATATTCAGGATCTTACACAGATTAATGGGTTAGATTTAATCAACACTGTTTGATATTCAGGACCTTACACAGATTAATGGGTTAGATTTAATCAACACTGTTTGATATTCAGGATCTTACACAGATTAATGGGTTAGATTTAATCAACACTGTTTGATATTCAGGACCTTACACAGATTAATGGGTTAGATTTAATCAACACTGTTTGATATTCAATATCTTACACAGATTAATGGGTTAGATTTAATCAACACTGTTTGATATTCAGGACCTTACACAGATTAATGGGTTAGATTTAATCAACACTGTATGATATTCAGGATCTTACACAGATTAATGGGTTAGATTTAATCAACACTGTTTGATATTCAGGACCTTACACAGATTAATGGGTTAGATTTAATCAACACTGTTTGATATTCAGGATCTTACACAGATTAATGGGTTAGATTTAATCAACACTGTTTGATATTCAGGACCTTACACAGATTAATGGGTTAGATTTAATCAACACTGTTTGATATTCAATATCTTACACAGATTAATGGGTTAGATTTAATCAACACTGTTTGATATTCAGGACCTTACACAGATTAATGGGTTAGATTTAATCAACACTGTATGATATTCAGGATCTTACACAGATTAATGGGTTAGATTTAATCAACACTGTTTGATATTCAATATCTTACACAGATTAATGGGTTAGATTTAATCAACACTGTATGATATTCAGGACCTTACACAGATTAATGGGTTAGATTTAATCAACACTGTTTGATATTCAATATCTTACACAGATTAATGGGTTAGATTTAATAAAATTTTTGTTGATTTTCTTTATAGAAAGACAAAGAGTGGAATAGTAAAACTGAAAACTCCGTATGACATTGATGTTCCTCAACTGGACAAGGTAAATAGTAATTATGGAAAGTAGAGTGTAATTACTCATATGATCAGTTGCCAACTCCGAGTTGGAGTGATGGAAACAACTGAAATAGGACTGATGAGCATAATATTGATACTGAGTCAGGAGTGATGAGCATTATGTTGATACTGAGTCAGGATGATGAGCATAATAATGATACTGAGTCAGGAGTGATGAGCATAATGTTGATACTGAGTCAGGAGTGATGAGCATTATGTTGATACTGAGTCAGGATGATGAGCATAATAATGATACTGAGTCAGGATGATGAGCATTATGTTGATACTGAGTCAGGATGATGAGCATAATAATGATACTGAGTCAGGAGTGATGAGCATAATGTTGATACTGAGTCAGGATGATGAGCATAATAATGATACTGAGTCAGGAGTGATGAGCATTATGTTGATACTGAGTCAGGATGATGAGCATAATAATGATACTGAGTCAGGAGTGATGAGCATAATGTTGATACTGAGTTAGGAGTGATGGACACAATGTTGATACTGAGTTAGGAGTGATGGACACAATGTTGATACTGAGTTAGGAGTGATGGACACAATGTTGATACTGAGTCAGGAGTGATTGACACAATGTTGATACTGAGTTAGGAGTGATAAGCATAATGTTGATACTGAGTTAGGAGTGATGGACACAATGTTGATACTGAGTTAGGAGTGATGGACACAATGTTGATACTGAGTTAGGAGTGATAAGCATAATGTTGATACTGAGTTAGGAGTGATGGACACAATGTTGATACTAAGTTAGGAGTGATGGACACAATGTTGATACTGAGTTAGTGATGGACACAATGTTGATACTGAGTTAGGAGTGATGGACACAATGTTGATACTGAGTCAGGAGTGATGGACACAATGTTGATACTGAGTCAGGAGTGATGGACACAATGTTGATACTGAGTTAGGAGTGATGGACACAATGTTGATACTGAGTCAGGAGTGATGTACACAATGTTGATACTGAGTCAGGAGTGATGGACACAATGTTGACACTGAGTTAGGATTGATGAATGTAGACACTGAGTCAGGAGTGATGAATGTAGACACTGAGTTAGGATTGATGAATGTAGACACTGAGTTAGGTTCTATGAAAGTTAATATTGAGTTAGTATTGATGAATGTTGACACTGAGTTAGGATTGATGATTGTTGACACTGAGTTAGGATTGATGATTGTTGACACTGAGTTAGGATTCTTGAATGTTGACACTGAGTTAGGATTCTTGAATGTTGACACTGAGTTAGGATTCTTGAATGTTGACACTGAGTTAGGATTGATGAATGTAGACACTGAGTTAGGATTGATGAAAGCTGACGTTATCATACTAATTGTATTGCAGTTTAAAACAAGGACACAACTGGGAGTTGAGTCAGTAAGCAATCTTTATTAAATAATTATTTACTAACCCACTACACAGCTGGTCTGTAGTGTTACTAATGTGTCACAGCACAGAGGTCATGTTGATCATGTTAATCTGTAAATTTTTCTGTTTTTAAGACACAATTATTTATATAAATGTGTGTGATTCTTTGTTTAATAAAGGATTCCAGCCCTAACAGTTCTACAGGGTCCTGCAGGTCCACAGACAATTCCCAACAGGCCCTTCTCCCAAAACAACACTCTGTGGTAAATGCACTTTGGTTGTGTAGCATGTTTGTACCCTTGCCAGTTAAATAATGAAGATTTTGCTTGGAATCTGGTTACATAAGGACAAACTTGTCCACTGCATGTATGTCACAAGGATACAGGCAGATACTGATGTGTCCTATGTAATGCAAAGTTGTCCCAGTCAAAATAAGTTTGTGGGGAAAGCATGTTGGGAAACAAAATCTGACAGGTGGGAAGATATTTAAATATGTCTTTGTATGTTATTATGCTTATATTGGCCATCCTTAGATGTCTAAAATAAAAATATTGATTTTCGTTAGCTGTTTGAACTTACATTATGATTAACATTCAGGAACATTGAAGAGAAAAAAAAAAGAAAAAAAAGACAAATCCCTTTGAAAATTAAAAAAATTAAAATGTAAATAGTAGTCCTAAAAAATAAGGAAAGTTCTTTTCTGGTTAAATTGAAGTTAGAAGCTTAAGTGTACAAGGTAACTAATGACCCCTGTATGATCTATAGATTTAGACCACTGTTCTACCAAGATTTTAAATAACTGAACTGGCTTAAGTCATCAGGTGAGAGTTTGTTTATCATACCATGTAAATATGTTATGAGATCCTTATTGAAAAGAAATAAAATGTCAACTGAACAGAGGTCATTGTCACTGGGTCAATGAATATTTTGTCATGATACTATGAAGTAGTGTTCGAGGATTAGAAGTCAACTAACCATTGGTCAAGGTCAGGTCAAAGGTTCAAATGACTGCCATCTTTGATTCTTACTGAAAGCACATATAGTCAGTGTGGCTCCCTTCATGGTATTCTCAGTTAAGCATTGATGTTCAAAGGTCAAGGGTAAAGATTAAAAATGTCAAATTTCAGGTAATAAACAGGTATTTTGCATCAAATTCAAACTAATATTGCATGTACCTATATAATTTCTTTTTTTTAGGTCGAGATGACCTATAGCCATCGTGCTTCATCCGTTGTCGTGCGTCGTCCGTAAACTTTTCATTCAAAAAACTTCTTCTCAAATACTAGAAGGCCTAGGGGGCTAATACATGGCCCATAGCATGCTGGCATGGAGCCCTACAAAGTTTCTTCAAATTAATGACCTTGACCCACTTTCAAGGTCACAGGGGTCAAATATGTTAAAATATACAAACTACTTCTTCTCAATAAGCAAAAGTCCATGAATGCTGATATTGGGCCTGTAGGATGCTTGGAGGAAAGGCTGCCAAGTTTGTTCAAATGAATGACCTCAACCCACTTTCAAGGTTACAGGGGTCAAATATGTTGAAATTTTAAACAACTTCTTCTCAAAAACCAAAAGGCTCAGAATGCTGATATTGGGTCTGTAGCATGCTGGGATGAAGGGCTACCAACTTTGTTTAAATGAAAAACCTTTACCCACTTTCAAGGTCACAGGGGTCAAATATATTAAAATATACATACAACTTCTTCTCAATAAGCAAAATTCCAAGAGTGCTGATAATGGGCCTGTAGGATGCATGGATGACATGCTACCAAGTTTGTTCAAATGAATGACCACGACCCACTTTATAGGTCACAGGGGTCAAATATGTTAAAATATACAAACAACTTCTCTTCAATAAGCAAAAGTCCAAGAGTGCTGAAAATGGACCTGTAGGATGCTGGGATGACATGCTACCAAGTTTGACTTCTCAATAACCAAAACGATTAGAGTGCTGATATTGGGCCTGTAGGATGCTGGGAGGAAGGGCTACCAAGTTTATTCAAATGAATAAAGCCAACTGTTTTAACGGCAGACTCACTGTTGTTAGAGTTTGGCTTGCTTTTTGTCAGATGACCGTTAAGGCCCATGGGCCTCTTGTTTCTTACCTGCATATTGTTTCTGTTATTTAATGGTTTTGTCTGGCATAGTATTATCTGTCTAATGTAATTGATGCTTACTAGTCATGTAACACTGAAATTGTCATTATCTTAGTGTAATTCATGCTTACTAGTCATGTGACACTGATATTGTCATTATCTTAGTATAATTGATGACTTACTAGTCATGTGACACTGAAATTGTCATTATCTTAGTGTAATTGATGACCTTCTTGTCATGTAACACTGATATTGTCATTATCTTAGTGTAATTCATGCTTACTAGTCATGTGACACTGAAATTGTCATTATCTTAGTGTAATTGATGACCTTCTTGTCATGTAACACTGATGTTGTCATTATCTTAGTGTAATTGATGACTTACTAGTCATGTGACACTGATATTGTCATTATCTTAGTGTAATTGATGACTTACTAGTCATGTGACACTGAAATTGTCATTATCTTAGTGTAATTGATGACTTACTAGTCATGTGACACTGATATTGTCATTATCTTAGTGTAATTGATGACTTACTAGTCATGTAACACTGAAATTGTCATTATCTTAGTGTAATTGATGACTTACTGGTCATGTGACACTGATATTGTCATTATCTTAGTGTAATTGATGACTTACTGGTCATGTGACACTGAAATTGTCATTATCTTTGTGAAATTGATGACTTACTAGTCATGTGACACTGATATTGTCATTATCTTAGTGTAATTGATGACTTACTGGTCATGTGACACTGATATTGTCATTATCTTTGTGAAATTGATGACTTACTAGTCATGTGACACTGAAATTGTCATTATCTTAGTGTAATTGATGACTTACTGGTCATGTGACACTGATATTGTCATTATCTTAGTGTAATTGATGACTTACTGGTCATGTGACACTGATATTTTCTTCCTTTGTCATGTTATCTTGCGTTAATGATGAATTGTAAAATACATGAACAGTTGCATGTCAAATTGATTTTTTTCTGTTTTAACTACTTATTGTGACACTACTCAAGTGATGAGTTTCTGTGTATACCCCGGTACTATCCCAATGTTTTATGGTTGTATGTCAAACTACTTGTACATGATGGTTAATTTCTGTGTGATGTCTTGTTTACTAAAATATTGTTGTGCTGCCAGAGGAGAGATACATTGTGATGCATTGATTTTTAATTTAAAACTTATAAACACATATAAGCAGCTGCTATTTTCAAGGGATGTGTCTTGCACTGTTTTTTTTCTTTGTAGGATTTTAGCTGCCATAACAATCCTGGCCAAAATCATTTTGACAAATCAAAAAATGCCACAACCAAACGCCAGTTTAGTCGGGACAGTGGAAGGGGTGGTAGCTTGTCCTCAGAGCCTGACTATCCAGACAGACTGTATTCCGTTCCAGAGGATAACATCTGTGCCAATACTAAGATGCCAGGAGGGGATGGTTACACCAGTAAAATCAGGGATACTTCAGGGATTGAATCCTTCATCAGTACTCCTTATTCTGTAATACGCACCACACAGTCTGAAGGCTCTGATGAACAGGAGCCATCTGTAGAACAGAATGGAGACATAGTGTCTGATCATGCTAGTGAAGTACACATTAGTCCTTCAGAAATCACTGTGATGTTTGTAGTAGACCAAAACCGAGAATCAGATGTAGCCAGTAAAGGATATAACTGTCATGAACAGATTATGTCTGTGCCTACCTTTGAAATGGTCCAGTCAGGTAAAACTGGCAAGACTACAGCTAAGCCAGTTGTTATAAAAGATATAAGTCCCACAATGCCTGAAAATGCTGTGCAGTCAAGCACAACATGCACACATTCCAGTGGGGCTGCATCTCAAGAATCTCCTGCATGTAATTCCTCAGGCCCCTTGTCTTATACAATGATGGATACATCCTCCAGCCAGGTAGGTCCCATGGGACCAGGACTGAATTCCAGTACACAGTTGAGTGATAAGACATCAGCTGAGGATAGAGCACCAGAGAATCCTGATGGGTACAGCACTCTCGAAAATTTAGGTACATATACAAATGATGGGTACACCACACTGGAAAATTTAGGTACATATACAAATGATGGGTACACCACACAGGAAAATTTAGGTACATGTACAAGTGATGGGTACACCACACAGGAAAATTTAGGTACATGTACAAGTGATGGGTACACCACACAGGAAAATTTAGGTACATGTACAAGTGATGGGTACACCACACAGGAAAATTTAGGTACATATACAAGTGATGGGTACACCACACAGGAAAATTTAGGTACATATACAAGTGATGGGTACACCACACAGGAAAATTTAGGTACATGAACAAGTGATGGGTACAGCACACAGGAAAATTTAGGTACATGAACAAGTGATGGGTACAGCACACAGGAAAATTTAGGTACATGTACAAGTGATGGGTACACCACACAGGAAAATTTAGGTACATGAACAAGTGATGGGTACAGCACACAGGAAAATTTAGGTACATGTACTAGTGATGGTTACACCACACAGGAAAATTTAGGTACATGAACAAGTGATGGGTACAGCACACAGGAAAATTTTTAGGTACATGTACAAGTGATGGGTACACCACACAGGAAAATTTAGGTATATTTACAGCTCCTCAGAGGGTGACACAAATAATACACAAAAGCTACAGAGTTACCTCCCTTGATCTTTACAGACAAATAGTGTCACACCATCATCATACACAGGGTCATGACCTGCCATTTGAACTTCTGTTACATAGTAACAGAATGTTTTTTTTCTTACTTCACATTACAAAGCAGTTAGGGATTCAGGTTTTCATTATTGTTTTGTACTAAATATCAGCAAAGCAGAGTTAATCAACCTAGCAAATCCTGTGGGACAAGTAATGTATTTGAGGCAGCCATATGTCATAACCCTGATACATTGTATCACACTCAAGTTCACTGTGTCACTATCAAGTTCACTGTATCTCAACCTGATACAATGTATTACAACCAGCTACATTGTATCACAACCAGCTACATTGTATCATCACTCAGATACATTTTATCACAATCATGCATATTGTATCAAAACATTGTACATATCCAAACAATTTATATTGTATTGAAATCATGTACATTGTATCAAACTCATGTATATTGTATGGCAGCCATGAATTACAACTGTTTGAATTATTTTGAATCAATGTACAGTTGTTTACCCTTTAACAAAGTCGTTTATGTCTGGCTTTAAGGGTATTGGTGTTTATTTGTTGATTGACTTGAAGAATTGTTTGTATTTTTTGAGATTAGAAGGAAAGAAAATCTGTTTCTGAAATAAGTAGGTCTAGTTCTAGATTTGAAAGAAAGAAGATCTCATGGATAGGTGGGAAGCAGATATGTCTTGGCCTGGGGTGGCCCAATATGGGAAATAGAGCAAGTTCTTTAAAATCCTTTTTATATAGGATTGCTTAGATTCTGTTCCAATTTAGTCTGAAACATCCTTCAGTGAAGAGGATTAAATTTTGTGTAAACAATTGGTCATGGATGTAATAGGGAAAGTCAAGCAATTGCTATAATATCCTTCCTCTTTTGTTGAAATGATTGGATTTTGTCTCAAATTAGTCTGAAGTATCCTTAGGTGAAGTGGCATCAATTTTGTATATAAATGGTTTGTATTGAGGCCCCCTTGGACACGAGGGGTAGGGAACAATAGTGAAAAAGAGCTAATTCTTTGAAATCCTTCCCCTGTTGTAGGAATGACTGGATTTCCTCTCAAGTAGTGTTCCTATCTGTAATGATATATATTATAAATTTCACTCAGAATTGCGATACTCTTGTAATTCTGGTTTTTCTTTTTTTGATTATCAGCTATTATAGGAACTTAGGTCACGGATCTCATAAATGTAATGGGTGCCACTTATGCATTATGATTCAGGAGAAGTGAAATCAGCATTTTACTCCATTCATCTGTTTTACATAGAAAATGTCATGGACTCATTATACAATACTTCCTTTTGGTATTTTTTTGTTTTGTTGTTTTTTTAAAGGAGTGATTATGTCTATGTTTAAAAAAATTCTGATTCTGAACCATTATTGTCCATTATTGACTTGATGTAATAATAATATACAGTGTTTAGATCATGAAACATATCAAAATCCACATACCTGATGATGCATAATGGTATTCTACAATCACAAGGTGGTTTCATCAATCAGTATTATACAAAAAAACCAAACAAAATGGTTATGTACTAGTGAACAGTATATTTTATTTGGCGATTAGAGAGCTCTTTAGTAAATTGAGGGGAACAAACAAATCACACCTAATCTCTACATTTGTTGATGCTGTGTTTTGTCACACAATGTGTGTGTGTCATTTGTATACATTTCAATCAAACCTGATGTTTCTGTAATAAAATAACATTTATAACAATAAATGATAGCAAGATCTATTAAACATGTCACTTACATGTTGTGTATATATCATCGTTGTATATAGAAATGGCTTTTCATTATCAAGTGTAGGAAGTCAGCTGTTTAGTATATAAATGTCCATTCTATGTTGTATATGACATGTCAAAAAGTGCCATTAACATGAAAAAAATGTGATCTTTTCTAATAAAATATCGCCTAACCTAAATCTTATATCAAGTTATTTTTTCTTCAAATTGGAATCATTACCACGCTGTATCAACACGATGAAGAAGTCTTGTATTACCTCGCTGTATCGACACGATGGAGAAGTCTTGTATTACCACGCTGTATCGACACGATGGAGAAGTCTTGTATTACCACGCTGTATCAACACGATGAAGAAGTCTTGTATTACCACGCTGTATCGACACGATGAAGAAGTCTTGTATTACCACGCTGTATCGACACGATGGAGAAGTCTTGTATTACCTCGCTGTATCGACACGATGGAGAAGTCTTGTATTACCACGCTGTATCGACACGATGGAGAAGTCTTGTATTACCACGCTGTATCAACACGATGAAGAAGTCTTGTATTACCACGCTGTATCAACACGATGAAGAAGTCTTGTATTACCACGCTGTATCGACACGATGAAGAAGTCTTGTATTACCACGCTGTATCGACACGATGGAGAAGTCTTGTATTACCACGCTGTATCAACACGATGGAGAAGTCTTGTATTACCACGCTGTATCAACACGATGGAGAAGTCTTGTATTACCACGCTGTATCGACACGATGGAGAAGTCTTGTATTACCACGCTGTATCGACACGATGGAGAAGTCTTGTATTACCACGCTGTATCGACACGATGGAGAAGTCTTGTATTACCACGCTGTATCGACACGATGGAGAAGTCTTGTATTACCACGCTGTATCGACACGATGGAGAAGTCTTGTATTACCTCGCTGTATCGACACGATGGAGAAGTCTTGTATTACCACGCTGTATCCACACGATGGAGAAGTCTTGTATTACCACGCTGTATCAACACGATGGAGAAGTCATATTACCACGCTGTATCAACACGATGGAGAAGTCTTATATTACCACGCTGTATCGACACGATGGAGAAGTCTTGTATTACCACACTGTATCGACACGATGGAGAAGTCATATTACCACGCTGTATCAACACGATGGAGAAGTCTTATATTACCACGCTGTATCGACACGATGGAGAAGTCTTGTATTACCACGCTGTATCGACACGATGGAGAAGTCTTGTATTACCACGCTGTATCGACACGATGGAGAAGTCTTGTATTACCACGCTGTATCCACACGATGGAGAAGTCTTGTATTACCACGCTGTATCGACACGATGGAGAAGTCTTATATGACCACGCTGTATCGACACGATGGAGATGTGTTATATTACCACGCTGTATCAACACGATGGAGAAGTCTTACGTGACCACGCTGTATCGACACGATGGAGAAGTCTTGTATTACCACGCTGTATCGACACGATGGAGAAGTCTTATATGACCACGCTGTATCGACACGATGGAGAAGTCTTGTATTACCACGCTGTATCGACACGATGGAGAAGTCTTGTATTACCACGCTGTATCAACACGATGGAGAAGTCTTGTATTACCACGCTGTATCAACACGATGGAGAAGTCTTGTATTACCACGCTGTATCAACACGATGGAGAAGTCTTGTATTACCACGCTGTATCGACACGATGGAGAAGTCTTGTATTACCACGCTGTATCGACACGATGGAGAAGTCTTGTATTACCTCGCTGTATCAACACGATGGAGAAGTCTTGTATTACCACGCTGTATCAACACGATGGAGAAGTCTTACGTGACCACGCTGTATCAACACGATGGAGAAGTCTTATATGACCACGCTGTATCGACACGATGGAGAAGTCTTGTATTACCACGCTGTATCGACACGATGGAGAAGTCTTGTATTACCACGCTGTATCGACACGATGGAGAAGTCTTGTATTACCACGCTGTATCAACACGATGGAGAAGTCTTGTATTACCACGCTGTATCAACACGATGGAGAAGTCTTGTATTACCACGCTGTATCGACACGATGGAGAAGTCTTGTATTACCACGCTGTATCGACACGATGGAGAAGTCATATTACCACGCTGTATCAACACGATGGAGAAGTCTTGTATTACCACGCTGTATCGACACGATGGAGAAGTCTTATATGACCACGCTGTATCAACACGATGGAGAAGTTTTATATTACAACGCTGTATCAACACGATGGAGAAGTCTTACGTGACCACGCTGTATCAACACGATGGAGAAGTTTTATATTACAACGCTGTATCGACACGATGGAGAAGTCATATTACCACGCTGTATCGACACGATGGAGAAGTTTTATATCAACACGATGGAGTAGTCAGATACACAAAACATTATACGAGCACTAGACTTAACAAAGCACGCACAGATATAGACTCTTATCAACGGTAAATACTTTCAGCGCTTCATTGTCCAAACACTAAATTATTTGAAAAAAGTGTCCGATCACAGTCGTTTAGTTAACAAGCTCAAAATTATTTTCTTTCGAAATGGTGGGGATAAGATTTTGTCAAAAAGTTGGCACTAGTTTGATGGTTTTCGTTTTCATCGTTTCTGAGAGGTACGCTACCAAGTTTTATGTAAGTCACTGCTACAGGATGGTGACACTTATTAAGATCCATCCTGTAACTGGATAATTAAACTGGTAATTAATCGCCAGTGACCAAGTGTTGTGTTTACGATGGACCGATACGCCGTGATTAGCCATGTGTTAAGCTTCTCTGTGTATGTATTGACCGATTTCAGCAGAAGCCGTGCCAATGTTTTTTTTCCCAAAATTCATTTTGAGACAACGAAGGACTTATCCTTCCGTGGCGTATTATTTTAAAATAAAAAAAGTATACGAGAGAGAGAGAGTGTGTGCGTGCGTGCGTGCGTGCGTGCGTGCGTGCGTGCGTGCGTGTGTGTGATCTTAAACTTTATTCCGGTTGGAATAAAGCTTTTTATAAACATAATGAAGAAAGCAGCAGTTTCATCGAAGAAAATAGACTCTTTCTTCAGTAAGGCGGGTAGTGGGCAGTAGCAGTCTGAGATCTGAAACAAGTAAAGCTCAAGAACCTAAGCCGCATAGTCTGATCGCAAATCACGGTCCATCATAACCGGATATAGCACTTTTGGGGAAAGATGACTTGAAAAACGACACTGTGAAGTTGACATTGATTCCGGCTAAATGGGAAAATATGGATAATTATATGTTTCTTTCAAGGTAAGTACAGAATGAGTAATTTTTCTGTCGTAGCTTTCATTTCACGGGTTCCAAATTTTCCATCCTGTCATTATGGATCATTTACAATAAAAGACCCGGGTCCCCTAAAGGTAGTATGAAATCTTGACCGGTTCATCATTTGTGTGTATCAACACTATGATTGTAATTTGTATATATAATAAAGTGAACTTGAACTTTATTGCTATGTCAGAAGAACTGGTAGCTGTGCTTTCCGCCTGGCGCTCGGCATTTATTGGATAGAAGTTCCGACAACTGCCTTACCCGGTTGGTTGTAATGTTGCTTAACGTCGCATCGACAATTTTTCAGTCATTCGCGAAGGTACTATTTTATTAATCTTTAGGATTAATCTTATACACAATTTCATGTGATGCGTTAGATGCAAGTGTATTCATGTTCTGCCTTGTATTGGCCCAGCCATAGCCAAGTTTATAGTGCTAGTAGACATGAGCACAATGCTGCAGGTAAGCATCGATCATCACTCGGTCGCATTATACTGACACCGAACCAACCAGTAAAGACCAACGGACCGAGTGTGTATATATGGTATTTCAGTGAGCTAGCACTTAAACAAAGGTTAATGCTTAGCCATTATAAGCGAAACACATTGTCACGAAAAGCTATACATAAAAATGTCGCTGCAAACGTTAAATCACATTTCACCTAACCCCATTGCCAGCAGAATGCTCATACAAGATTATCCAAAACTCCGTAAAACACATCCGTAGTTTTAAAGACATGTCCATAGATTTGTAAGTTATGAAAAAAATAAAATCACGCGAAATCTGTGGATTCCTGAAACTTTCAAATTCGCATACCGGTATATTTAAGTTTTAGTAGACAGTCTGCAGTTTGAGGGTTATTCCGTAGACAATGGCCAGTGTCCCAGTCACTTTATTTTTTGTTATTTTTTTTTCGTCTCAAATATTCGCACAAAACATAGACTGGATTGGATAAGATTGAATGGTGTTTTACCCCAATTCAAGAATATTTCACTTATCCCGAGGCGGTCAGTTCCGGAATGGTGGAGGAAACCGGAGTACTCGGAGAAAACCACCGACCTTTGGCAAGTGAACTGACAAATTTTTTCACACTAGGAAGTCCGAACTGTCCCGGCCGGAATTCGAACCTAGGCACTGAAAGGCACTGTGATCCGTAGGCCGCGCTTAAGACCACTCGACAACGAGGTCCACACAAAACATAGACATTACATGGTAGAAATATAGGATATCTTTATATTTTACAGGGATATTGGTGGAACTAAGCGCACTTTCATCTCACTGGCTGAAGAAATACCCATGGCTTCGCTGTTCGGTCTCAACAGACGCGTTATATTCCTGTCGCTGTCTTCTTTTCAACACTGAAGGGGTTGAGGAGCGAGGTTTCACACTTGCGCCTGTAAATGACTGGTCGAATGTACACCGACTGACAAAACGGCACGAAAACCTTAGTGCACACACTCAAAACCTCATTGCATCTGAAAATTTCGTGGATGTAAAACACTCAAAAAAGGAATCTGTTATGACGTTATTATCGACAAAAAGAAAGGAAGAAGTCCGCATGAACAGAGATATACTGAGAGAAATAATTGGGGTACTAATCTTGCTAGCTAGACAAAATATAGCAATTCGCGGACACACGGACGACCGCAGCAATTTTATGGCCTTGCTGAAAAAAGTAGCAGAAAATAACAAGACTCCCAGAAATCATTTAGATAACCCCCTTGCCCAAGTGAATTACACGTCACCTAAAATCCAAAACGAATTGATAGAAATTTGCGGAGAAATGATCAGAGACAAAATTGTTCAATCTTGCGAAAAGGCTTCATTCTTTGCGTTAATTGCCGATGAGGCAACCGATAGTTCTACAACTGAACAGGTGTCAATTTGTGTTCGCTTTCTTGATGAATCCCAGGAAATGATTGTCAGGGAAGAACTCTTAGGCTTTGTTCAGGCTTCTGATACTACAGAGGAAACTCTAGCTGATCTTTTTCTGGATACTTTGGAACATTATGGTATTACGATTGAAGATATGAGGGCACAAGGCTACGATGGGGCTGCAAATATGTCTGGGAAGAATAGAGGAGTTCAAGCGCACATCAGAGAACGCATTCCGACTGCCACATATGTTCATTGTAAGGCCCATTTACTTAACCTGGCAATTGTGCACAGTTCATACGATGCTTGCGTTCGACTGATGATGGCTACTATGCAAGAAATAGCATTCTCCTTTCATTACTCAGCAGAGAAACTGGTTTCTTGATGAGCTGGATGTAAATAGGTATGCTCAAGAAGCAATGGATGGGAAAACAAAACTGAAGACCTTGTGTGAAGCCAGGTGGTTTAGCAGAGCAGATGCACTCGGTACATTCAAAGCCTCATTCCCCGTTATTGTAAGCGCACTTGAGCAGCTGCGAGATGGTGGTGACACTAAATCTGGGGAACAGTTAGCGGCCATCCTGCGTTTTGATTTCATTATTTCGCTAGTTGTCTGTTACCATATCCTCCAGGGCATAGTTCCTCACATTGGAATGCTACAGGAAAAGTCATTCGATCTCATCGAGGCTGTAAAGGAGTCGAAAGTTATTATACACATACTGGAAAATGAGAGAAATGACTTCTCTGTGTTCGATGCTGTATATGATATGGCTGCGATATTGGCTGGAAAGTTTGATGTTCCGGTGATAAGGCCAATGGTAACAGGGCGACAGAGAGATCGGGCAAACCCGCAGGTTGACGATGTCAAACATTACTGGAGGGTGACACTATACTGTACATTCCTGGATCATCTCTTGAATGAGCTAAGAGATCGCTTGGAGATAAATGAAGACCGTTTCAGGGCACAATATCTCATCCCTGCTCATGTCCAAAATTTGGATCGACAGACAGCTCTCCAGCTGTTTGAAGCATATGAGTCAGACATCGAAGATCAGGAAGTCTTCTTAAACGAAACTCAACGGTGGAGAACGCGTTAGTTGATGCTACCTATAGGCCAGCGGCCATCACATATATGTTAAACCCTTGAAAGGACAGACAAACATCTCTATCAATATGTCTTCAAGATCCTGAAAATTCTTGTAACCATGCCCCCTACAACAGCCACTGCCGAGAGAAGTTTCAGTGCGCAATGAAAGAAGATCGCCTTTCATCCCTTACATTAATGCACATACATCATGAGATGGACGTCGACGTAGAAACAGTTATTGACAAATTTAACGCCCAGAAGAAGAGGAAAATTAACTTTGAATGACCAATAAATACTAATATACATTTGGAAACCGTCGGCTACGATTATTAAAATAATCCCAAAATGTCTTTTAATTGTTTAAGTTGTACAATTCAAATTAAGAATGGAAGTAACAGAGATCAAACAGCAAGAAACAGGCACACAATAAATAAAACACTAATACAAAATTAAAAAATACTAATTTTCAATAAAGTATGCATCGTCATTTGTAATCGGAGCTCAAATATGAAAATCTTTCAAATTATCAAACCAAAAACTTTTATCCGTTTAAATCTATGATACAAACGCAGAGAACATGTGTGGTTAAACCTGGTACCCAACCTTCCACTCCCAAGGATCAGTAGGATCCGCATATTTAAAATTTGTAATTAAGCTCCAATTTGTATCAAAAATTTAACACGAGAAGGTATTGTATATCTGTCTCAAAATGCAGGAAAAGCATAGATTTCAAAATTTTGCGGGGGAGCATGCCCCCGGACCCCTCTAGCGTGGTTGCGCCTTCGGCGCTCCAAGTTTGCGTACACATATAATCAGGTCGCGGTACGCCGCTGTCCTTGCTTTACAATTGAAGGAACTGAAATATCGCTTCGACTCAACCGAAATTTCGACTCAATGAAATTCGAGTCATCCGAACTAAAATTACAAAGATTATAGAAGTGAAAAAATCGGGACTTGAAAATTACTTCGACTCAAACGGAATTTCGACTCAAGCGATTTCGAGACAACGAGTTTCAATTGTATTACCACAATGTATTAAGTATGAAGTTGACTGTAACAGGCAGAGAAGGAACTAAATTAAAGCTACATCGCATCACGGACTTCTGAAAACAATGTCAACCTTTACAGGTCAGCAGCCACAGTACAGAAAGAACATGTATAAAGCTGATATCAATTTGACTCTCTGGTAAAAGGCATTGTCACACTGATGTTCAATGTTCTTTGTAAAGGGTTAGATTCCGTGACCTGTGGAGACTGCTTTTCTTCATATTTTAATTCCTGGACGGAAAATTTATTCATCATGCAAAGGACGACTTCCCCGTGTTACGAGCGCAGCATTAAGCACCACACTAAGATCCGTCGCCTAATGTCAAGTCTCTTTAACTCCATAACAGGTGTCCATGCCATGATCCGATTGAAAAAATATGTCGGATAGAAAAAAAAATTTAAAAAAAACTTCCCTTGTTGCCTCCTTAATTGTGAATGTGAATAATAATAAAAGTGAATGAAAAGCTTATGGATTTGAGCTTTACCTGTATTTGTATTTCAGAAAGCATTTAGATACTTTTTTTCTGTTTTGTTCCATTGTCGGCAAAATATTTGAAGAATAGTTCAATTTGTCAGTACCCGGTAAGAGACTCGGGACAGAAAAAGTGGCTCGCCGAAGGTTGTCATTTTAGTCTTTCTTCACCCTCGCCATAATACATCTGGTATTTTAAGACACTGATCATGTATTCTACTTATCATGCATCATTGATTGAAAATCAGACCATCAAAACTTCTACAATTTTGTTGTTCAGTCTTTATTTACCTGACGTTGACGTCACGCTGAATTTTGTCTGATGACGGACGCCAAAATTATTGCTCCGCGCAGAGATATAGTTCCAAACTTCAATTAATATCACAGCGATTTTATGGATTTTAGTAAGTAACCTTGTTATACAACATATAAAAACGCTTATTTGAACAGTTATTTTTTATTGTTAGAGGTAATTTTAAAGTAATTTCAGAAAGACGGTAATTCTGTGGAATTATCGCACGTGCTAAAATACAGTTATTTTCCATCACTGCCGAATACATCGAAAATAATGTGGCAGGTGTATTCCGACAATGGCAACGCCAGTCGCAGGATTGAAAAAATGTTAATTACGTTGTTGACAGAAGTCTATAAATAGATTCTATATACATGTATTTAAAAACAACAATATTTATGATAATTCACTCATACGGTCTTTGATTTTCATCATATAATAATGTATTCTAGATACCTGGCTATCCATAAAAAATGCATTTTAAGCACTGGTTTGTAGTGTTAACCACTTGTTAGATGTAATCGACATTTCTGCAACTAGGGCCTTGACGTTTTCGACCACAAAATATAGAGATACTCATAACCCCTAAATATAGTTCCAGCCTTTAAGAAATACGTGTAAGTGGAAATGTGAGTTCACTGAAATGTCAGCTGTATCAGAGGCTAGGACAAGAAAGTCTGCAGCCTGCTACTATGTGGATAACTTACATCATGCGTAGAAGTTGAGTTGGATAAATTTGAGCCTGGGCCAAGAAAGTTTTATCAGATCTCCGTGCTTCTATATAAATCATTTCGATACATTTCGGTTCACCATACGTTCTGTATAGGAAATGGTATCGTAATTCGCAATGTTATCACAATAACAAGAAATCAGACTTCAATTTCCTCAGCTTTGGTGTCGGATCATGTTTTTCCTCTGAACCTGGCAATAATATAATATAAGCCGAATTCTGTTGATCTTGGTAATCTTGACATCAACGGAAAGGTTTTCTCACTGAGTTGTTAGCATCACCAAATCCTTTGTTCACTTAACCATTCACCTGTTGAATAGCTATCAAGTGCATCGTTTTGTTGGTCAAGCAATCTTTAAACATTGTTAACCTTCTTGGCCCACCGGTCACCATTACTTGTATGCGTTTTGTTTTAAATGTGTATACTTGAATTCAAATACCTTTGTAACAGACAATCTATAAATAGAGATACGATAAGTCTGGACAAAATGCCTTTAAACCACTTATATAGGTTCTGCAACAATTGTTTTACAAAGTCAACAACAACTATGCCCCCGGTTACAACACAATTCAGAAGTGGGACACTAAAACTATTCTGTGTAAGGCATGTGGTAATTGCATACACACTTGCCTTTGTTGTGGTAATGTTTTTTTTCCACTTTCAAATGTAGATCATGAAAGGTCGTTGTCAAGGTCACATTGTCAAAAATGTTGATACCACTGGAAAGGTTACTAAGACACACGTACCTAACATGAAAATCATACCTCTTAAAGTGCAATAGTTATGGGCAAGGTTAAAGTTGGCGACAGGCAAACAAATCTTTCGATCCGGGAGGGGGGGGGGAGGGGGGGGGGTGTATAAAAGACGAAGCACATGTAAAAGAGGAGTTCACCCGAACGAATTAGTTTTCTTCCGGGAAGTCATTATCAAGACAATACTTGTTGGCTCAGTAAACTTGGCAACGCTTTCTTTTCGTGTCGAGTAGCTGAGTAGCCTGGGACTCCCAATACTGTGACTAATCTTCATATATATAACATACACTATCTGTTACAAGGCATACTGCATGTAGCTTTGTGTTCCAGGTTTGAAGTGGACAATGGGTGTTACAACATCAACGTGCACGTGGATCAATAAAACTAATTTTTCATCACTTATACAGATAATGTTATGACCTATTATTTTAGCATCACATCAAAATAAACCGATGTGTTGTCTACAAGTCAACCATGTCCTTAGACTATTCAAATCAGAACCTCTTTCTCAAATTTCGACTTTATTTATCACAAGTTACGGTGATCTGATTGCGAGCTTTTGATTTCTTATAGTTTCCTGGTAACAAACCCGCCCCCTGTCTCCGTGCTTTATCACGAAATGTAACAGTTTTAACCTTAAATATATGCCCAACATGTCAGACGGGAGACACAGCAGGTGCTGATATCCCTTTCATGTCAAAATCTATCTGGTTGAACACTTTGACAGGTGTGTATTCAGTCACCAACTGATCTCAAGATGTGTTATTTATCTGTATATTTTTATACAGGCTAAACAGACTTAAAGAGTAAGTATTGCACCGTTATCAACAATCCTAATGTTAACTATTATATATATCATAATAAAATGAGATAACGCCAGTTATATCATCCCAAAATTCTGATAGAATAGTTATAAATTCTTCCGACACATTTACATATTTCCTTACTAAAGTATATTATAAAAAGTTTACTTATAGCAATCACAGAAATTCTATATACGTCGATCCTACCTCGTCGGTTCCATTTATGACCTATCCTAAGCTGTCTTTGACATGTACAACAAAAACGTTGTTTTTGTTCTTAATACTTAAATACACGGTAGCTGTTGATTTAAGTTTCCTAGTTTTAAAATAACAATTGGTAAAATCCAGAAACTAATTATATGATGATATATGCATGCACATTTATCAAATGTTTGTTTGAATTCGAAGTTATAAAGAGCCTTCGGCGTCCATCGGTCGAAGGGTTATCGAGACACCTAAATCTACACTACCGCTCTCGATTTCCATTTTTAATTTTGTTTTTCTTTTATATTCTATGTATGTGATGTAATTCATGTGATTTGTGTCTTGATTAAGGGGCAGGTTGACTCGAAAATTTGACAATACTCTTGTCCGTACTGTCGTTAATACTTCATAGATTGTATATCTTTGTGTTTTTATAGAAGTATGAAGAAACCGTCTAGATGTTTGCACAATGGTCGTGATATACCAATCATCTGTAAAAGTATGAATATCAAATCCACTTTTTTTAAAACTTTAAAGCAAGTGGAATTTAAAGGTACACATTTTTTTGGTCCAATTAACGTTTTTAAAGTTATATAAACTCCACACTCTACACATGACTAAAAAAACAACAACAACTGCGGCCTACTTTTTATTCTTGTCTGAAGTTTGTGATTAGAATGTTTGTGGTCGTTAGTAATTCATGAACTCTTTCTTACTTGGCACGAGCAATTTTAATGAGTACCAGATTGATGTATTTGGCAAAAAAAGTTATCATTTCGTAAAATCAGGGCTAACTTCTGGGTTATGAGCTCAGCTGTTGAATTAGCGCATACGCCTTGTCTCCGTTTTTGTAATAAAGCATTCATAATCTTTTCTGTTATAATGATAATATCTTTTACATTCACAGGGTAAGGAATTCAGACAAAGTCGGGTTTGTTTGGTCATATTATAATCCGCCAACCTGAAGACTTTTTCGTCATTTCTCTGGGCACTGAAGGAGTTGAATTACTCATTGAATAAATATTAACAATAATTAGAATTTGAATCCGAAAAAAATAAGAAAAAAATTAAACAATCATACCAATTGAAATCCATTCCAGATATTAGTGTTATGTTGTAGGGTGATTTTGTAGTGGTTGCGAAGGACGGCCTCACAAGTCAGGCGTCGCCCACAAAGTTTTAAAAGGATTCAATTTTCCCAAAGTAAATTGTATCTCTATTTGCCCACATAATAAACGATTATAATCTATTTCTGAAAAGTTTACTTGGGAATTATCTGTTTTCACTTGTGAATACACGTGTCATCTAATTAAAGTAGGAAGATTTGAAGTTACCAGGTAATGTAATTCAAGTTAAAGTTGTCTTACTTCATATTAATAACTTTGGAACTAATGACAAAAACAAAGAGAAAAATACTTAAAAGTTTATGTATAATTTGCAGTCCTACCAAAGTAATGAGGTTGCGTATTCACTCAAATAGATTATGAGACGGCTCACACTAAAATAACACAAGAGGTGCGATAAGCCTGTATCTGTATCTCTCACCTGGTACGCAATGATTTTCACAGATTTATATCAGTACACGTCCTTGACATTCAAAGTATTGGCTAATGAAAAGAAGTTATTTTAATGTTTCAACGAATTTATCACTCTAATTTAGCTTGTGTAACAGGGGTCATTTAGAATTCGAACACGGGACATCTGATTTACATAGGTTTTAAAACATTAACGTCTCTTTGCAGTCCCATAATGTACCAAACATCTTTGGCAGGTAAAATGATGACAGTTTTATGGAGAACGATGACAAACACTGGACGACATACTTGTAAGGTCACTGTTAAGGAGGACAAATATTGTTATAATAGGTATCAAACTTTCACCAGTGTCGTGCTGGAAACAAACACTAGTTTATGTGCATGTTCACTGCATCAAAATTCAAGGGAGAACGCACAATCTTTTCTCTACCTCTTACTAAGAAACCAGTGATCTCGCCAGCGGTAAGCTGAAACTGAAAACTTGTGTAAACCAACTGTGTCTATCTAGAGCACTCGTATTTAGTATGAGGGTCTGATAAGATTCGCGGAAGCGATCGACCTCGTGACAGGGCTTTACCGAGAATTTCAGGAGTACTTGGAAATATTTATTAGATGCGGTAGTCTGAGCAAGTGAACAGGATGCCTTCATGTGTCGTGCGCTTGTCACTGTTGTGGGCATCGCTTTCGGTCAGTGTTCGTGTCACCTGGTCGTGCTTTCTGTGCTGTCATTGCGGGGGTGAGTTTAGTATGACTGTAGCAAGCATTGGCGATGATATGGTTTATGTTCAATGTGATTCTAATTTCTGTAATGTCTTGTATAAGTCACGAGTCCTACACTCTATTTGAAAAATCTTCCTATTTTGCTTCTAAGGAATGGATACCTATTGATGGCATTTTGTGTAATTTTCAGACTTCATAAGAGCGCGTGTCTAATTATAGAGCTCGTTTAAGAGAGTTTGACCTTTTATTCATTGTATTTAATATGTGTTTTATAGTGGCTTGATAATTTATAATTTTAAGAGACAAAGGTATTCGAAATGTTTCCCCATATCGATCAATTTATATGAAACAATTTTAACTTGGAGCGTTTGGTCTATAATCTGTTTACCATCTCGTCACACTATTTTCGACATTGGTATACATAGGATTATAGTAAAACCGAAACAGTTAGTCGATTCTTTACCATTTTGTTGACATTACCAACCTGATGAAATTATTCCAAAATAATTCGGAACATTTTAAAGCGATTTTTTCATCATTCCGATTTCCTGTTTGTTCAAACACATAAGTTAAATGCACTTGTTTTGCGAAGTAAAAATGCTGCATTCAAATATGTAAAGTGCTCACGTTCCATCTGTACTATAGGAACATATGTGTAACTAACGTAAACAATTACACATAAACCGTCGAAATTGACCTGTGGCAAGCATTCAGCCTGATTGGATGTTACAGGAACAGTACAGACCAACACAATACGTCCTAAATATACATACAGCACAACGCTAGTGTAACCTATTAACAAGTCACAGTGCATAAAAGTCCGTAGGTATCGAGGAACATTTGAGGTATTTGAATATAAACGGACTGACACTACGATATCTATATATATGAGTTTACTCGTTAGGTGTTAGTGGCGAAGAATACACTTATAATTTTAAACGAGTTTCCATTCGCGTGAAAGTTTTGAAAAACGTATTAATATTTTAGTGAAGCGTTTCTTGTAAAGAAAGTATGGAAACCATTTACGGGCAAAAGGAACCTAAATTATATCGAGGATAAACTTTATCACTTTGATTATAAAGAAATACGATATAGACGAACTTAAAAATTGGAGAACCATAACGCTTTTGAATAAAGACTACAAAATTGCAGCATATGTTTTAGCAAGTAGATTAGAGAAAGCCTTGCCGACAGTAGTACATAATACACGAAATAGGTTGATAGTATTTAATATTACACAGATACAAGACTTTTTTTCCAGAAAGATTTCATTTAGATGCTTGTGTACTATTTCTAGATTTTGCTAAAAGCCTCTGATACAATAGAGAGAGAAGTATTTTTTTTTTATAACTTTTTGATTTTGGAATCACTTTTGAACATATCAATACATATATATAAAGAGACATAGGACAATGATATACAATGCATTCTCATTATGACTAAGACATACAGATACACGCTCTCTCACACACATGCATACGTGCACACATTTATTGACATCCTTATTGAAGTAAGACTACTTCTTTTTGATTTTGTTTACACTCATATTTCTCACGCAGACCGAAAAAAAATTAAATAAAGAAAGAAGGTGAAAGGAAAAGATGTGAAATTAATTTCATTTCTGTATTTGTTAGTTTGCCACTCGAGTTTGATATTATAAATTTCTTTTATATATAAAAGCACAAGGTAAGAAAGATATCTATCAAGGGAGATGTGTAAAGAACTTAAGAAGTTGTTAATAGATAAATATTTGGCAAACTGCCAGTCTTTAGTATTTACTATTAGATATCAAGTACCTCTTACTCCAGGTATTGGTAAATTTTGTTCTGCTAGATCGTTTTGAGCATTTGATCGACATTTCTTTATGTTGTAATAATCTTCTATGCTGCTGGCCAATGCATATTATATTCAAAGATTTGTAAAGATAGCTGGTTCTATCAATGTACTTTTAAATGATAAGAATTACTTTATTGTCAACCTTAGCATTACTACTATTATCAGTGATCCAGAAAAGGAAGGGGTGTTTATTCGCTGAAAAAAGAAATATAAAGTGCATTTAAAAGATTTTCAAGCATTTGTTATAAATTTTGCACTTCCAGGCATTCCCACGTCAAATGAATTATCGTTTCACTTTCGGAGTTACAGAAAGTGCACATAGGATTAACTACTATACCTAGTTTGAATAACTGGGAATTTGTGGTGAGGATATGATGAGATATACTGAAGCCATTGAAGTTTTGTATTTTCCGTAACTATATGTGAAATTTTGTGTATTTTATACCATTCCTCTTCAGCGGAAAACATCTGTTCTTGCCATTTTAATTGACCAGTGGCTACAGTATCTGTTTTGTTAAAAATGTTGTAAAAGAATTTGGAATCATTGATATTGTGTAGAAAAGTTCGTATATTCTAAGTTAGGAACGGATCATTAACTGGAAGGACATCTTCAGGTAAAAGTTCAGGCAGACATGTACAAACTGCAGATATCAGTCCTTGGGCCTGAAGAAAATTTGTACGCAAGTGATATTTTTGTGAAAGTTCTTCAAATGATAAGAAAGAAATATTGTCTGAATCCTTTTGGAGATCACCAATCATCTGTATTGGTTAAATTGGGATATTATCAATGACTTGATGGTATAAATTTTACCTAAAGGCGTTAGTTTCCTTTTCTTCCATGTACTAATTAAACCTTTTAATTTTACAATTTTCTTGTCAAAATTTAGTTTAAGAATGTTGACCAAGTTCACAAATTCAATTCTGTGTTGTGTAAATTTAGTTTTTACCCAATTTAGATTAAATATGGAAGCATGATATTATTACTATATTTCATACTTACAATCCAAGTTATTTCCATTTTATCTACATTATTATTTAATTAGATATATGTTCAACAATTATGCAATTCTAAAGTTTCACGTAGTGATGTAACTGATCCATCTTATGCAAGAGAATTATCGTAAAGGGAGGTCATTTTAACTAGTCTTGAAAAGTTTGGGTTAAAAGGGGGTTGTGTGGAAAACAATAATTGGATTGTTAAAGAAGATCCGTATAAGGAGGGTGTCTGTTCGTTGAATGTTTCCTTTTTCCCGTTTTTGCTGCTGTGAAAATACTTGCAAACCATTTAAAAATAACTAAAGAATGTGATGCAGTTTCTGGTTTGAAGTTGAATAGAGAAAAGATGGAAGGCATAATATGGTTTGTGTAAAACAAAAGAAAGGGAGATAACTATAAAGGTATTGGATGGCAAGAAAAGGTCAGTCTTAGCCGTTTATTTCCAAACGAATAGAAATTAATAATCTAAGATAGGGAAGTAATATTGTTCTTCTTGGCGGCTAAGAAAATGAAAACAAATTACCTTGACGGACAGAATGTTAATAACACAAGTTTAATTATACCTAAAATAACACACATGACAAGCAAACAAGGGGAAAACCGAGGAAAAAAGGTGTAAGAATTTAAGTGGGAAGGAAATGGGGAAAGATGAAAAGAAAAAAAAAACATTGAAAGTAACTATGATCAAATTGGACCAAAAGTTAGAGACATTGAAACTCATATAGACATGCTGAGTATAACTTGGGTAAAAAGACTCACAGATAAGTTCTTATTGAAAAAAAAATACCAAATTTACTTTTGAAAAAAAAAAAAAAAATGGCGGAAAGAAATTAATGTTTTTAAAAAGGAAATCAGGAGTGCATCCTTTCTCTTTTTCACACCCGTATCTTGGAATAAAGGACAAAATTATGGGATGGGGCTCGTGCAAACTGCAAAGGATTTGGGGATACAAGTCATTGGATGAATAGCCAAGTTATATCCTTCGATGACGTGTTAAATGATAAGAGTAATATAAATGAAAGTAGTGTTGAATAAACTTAATTAAGACAAGCTATTCCAAAAGTATGGAAGCCTTATCAACAAAATATCAATTCCACGAAAATAAAGGGTAAAAGGGAGTTCAGCTTAATAGGTGTAATAAAACTAAAAAAAAAATAACAAATAAAGAAATTGATTAATTAGGAATACAAAACTAGTCACTGGAAGGATATTGTGGAGAATGCTGGAAATAGTTTGACATATTACATTCAGAAGCAATCAAAAACAGTTTGTATTTGATATGAAAGATGGAAAGTATAAAGTACTCAACTGGAGATTATATTGTAAAATATTATCAGCAAAAGACCTACTGTGTAAATGGAAAACAAGCAGATAATTTAGTTTTATATGCAAAGCCATAGAAAATTATTAACATTATTTTACCAAGTTATTTAGATGTACTTTGGAATAGCATACCAAAATCTCCCAAATACGTGAATTACGAAGTGAACTTCAGACAATATGAAGATATTAATTTTTATATTAGTTTTGATTGTGCAAACAGAAGAAGAAACGCACAAATTTATTGATACTTAAAAATTAAATTTTGTAAAATACGTTATATATTATAATTAGGGGTAAAACGGTATCTCGTGAGTTAGAAAAAAATGATTTATACATTTTTGTTTAGAATTTTATTAGAATATACATGTAAAATGAGATGTAAAACATTCAATTTAACACAATGAATTGTGATATAAAAACAAACAGCTGCATTGAAGATATGCAGTATATATCAATGACAGAACAACTCAAATCAAATTAATTTTTTTCTTTATGTCTCATACAATTTATTTGTTAAATCTTTTAATTCTGGTCTGTCGAAAGGAAATGGTTTTTTATCAATATACTACAGATTTTCACGGTATGCATCATAGAAAGCTGTAAAACAACAAGCACTTTCATTTTCAAATTAAGATGTTTTACATGAAATTATGACGCCATGTTACATCGAGTCTCTTAGTGACGTCATAGTGATATGGGAGATAATAATTACTATCCTACACATGTATTTTTAAGTAAGACTCTTTAGTTTCGGAGAAAGCTTGGATTTTCTTCTCCTTCCTTGCAATGTGACTTCATAAAATGGATATATTTTGAATTTGTTCTTTCTACGCGTGTCTAAATGTTCACACAATTTGACGATACTGAGATTTATGTTGTTGATAGTTATTCTAATTATTCTAATTTTGTGGATTTGGTAACAGTGTTGTGTGACCTTAGAGTCATGTGTTGTTATCGCCCCTGTTATGTAACTCTCTTATTTTGTAACATAATAAACCAGTTCTACGTGTTGTGCGCCATTTTTACACATTTCTCTTTAATATGTGGTGTTGAATTGGCCCGTTAAACATATGTTTATGCTGGGTTGTTTTGTCTTCGTAAATTTCACGGCACCTGGGGTATGTTTTTACATAAATGACATTTTTTGCGTAACATGACATATATGATATGACACGGGACTCTTTTGTTCTAAACTCGCATGTATCGCAGCGTGAATTTTAAAAATATTTTACCATGCTGAATACGTGATGTTCCTGATGTTTTGATATGCATAAAACTCTTTTCGTTTACTGTTTATTAATTTGGTCTCTGCAAATATGTTCTGTGTTTGATGATCTTGTTGGTTCTACTTGAGTTTTTTTCTCGGATTGCGCGTCAATACAAATGAGATGATCGATGGGTTTGCCTTTTTCGTTTTCAACTGGTTGTAATAATGCTGATCTGTTAAGTTCTAGGGTATTTTTTCCCGTCTTCTATTAATCCAAGTGGGAAAAGTTTTAAGTTCATTGAGGCGTTTTTCTCTCACATATTCTTCACTAACTATCGCAGCGATCCTTCTCGCTAAATTGTACGTGATCGTCCATTTTGTATACTCTGGATTTCCAAAATGTAGATACTGGTGAGCATCACTTGGTTTAAAGTAGATATTCGTAGCTTTTTTGCCATTTTTTCGCTAGGATGTCTAACATAGAATTTGGTTTCCATTGTAAATTAAAAATCTATATCGAGTGTTAATTAATCACATTCCAATAAGCATTCATTTGAGAAAACAATTGTCCAAAAAATGAATGCCAGTTTTCTGCAGTATTATTTAAAATATAGCACAGTAATTGATATCTTTCGTATCACTTTGACGTCACTAAGAGACTCTGTGTAACGTTATTTATGACGTCATAATTATATCTACTGAAGGTAAAAATGAAAGCATTAATGTTTTACAGCTCATCAACGTTCACTTTAAATACTGGACATTGAGGTTTTTTTTCCATAATTCTGGTATATATTTGATAAGAGATTGAATCTATAAATTACCAGGAAAATACCAACATGTAAACATCATAATCCAAACTCAGAGTCAATGACAGTTATGCAAAATACGAACAAAAGAAAGAGTTACACGGAATTCCTGAAAAAAGGAGAATAACACCAGGTGTTCCAGAAGAGAAAGCGTCTTCTACTTCATCGATGACACCCGCCATGAAAACCTTGATCAATTCAAGTAATGTCACGTTCTCAAATGAGAACTAGGTATAAAACAACAGAACCAACAGGCAAACCTGCAAAAATAACTTCGCCACGTGTTATTTTGACTTATAGATATATTGATGATGTCTTGACAAGACGTTTATAGAACTTATTGGAAAACGCTCGCCTCGACAGTACCAACAGGAACAGCTATATGATAAGCACGATAAATTTGATTTCCCTCAAGGGAAATTTTCATTTCTTTATATAATTGATAATAACTTTTTTCTTATGCCAAATTTGACAAATAATGTGTGCTTAAAATGACAAATAGATTCCAATGAACAAAATAAGAGGTTATAAGAAGCCTTGCGATGAACCCTTGCCTTGTTATGGAGCCATTTCTGAACCTTACCTTATACCCTCCGTAAATGTCACAAATTCTTTAATAATTCAGGCCCTATGGGCCTTTTGAATTTTTAAAGTGCTATTTCAGGGTAGTGTATTGTGGTGCTATAAATGCCACATGGTTTGGATTAAATCGGGTCATGGGCAAAATTCCATTGTTCGTGAAAGAGGTCCTTTGTTAATCTTTCAATCAGGTAAGACTGTTATCTCCTTATCAATGTCGTGACGCATCTGATTAGCTGTATATCACCAGTCACACATTTCATATAGACGACGTGTCATTTCTGTAATCCATGTGATGATCGGAAACGTCTGTTTTTGTTTAAGAAGTTCTTTTCATTTATTACCAATTTAATTTTGGCTCCTTTGATCGATTTGCATATTCAAATTTCTCCTGTGCAGATTCTTACTGAGTCACTTGGATTGACCAGGCGGTTGTCGTAGATGAAGCAGAATACGCCTGTTCTTCTGTAACATCTGGTCTTATTTGTAATATTCCAAGGGTCTCCGTGTATAGCTTTCCTTTTGTTCATATTTTCTCTTAGTTTTATTGAATCTGAGTTTGGGATAGAATTATGTTGACATGTTTGTATTTTCTTGTTTTTTTTTGTTTTTTTTTGTGTGTTCTTGTATAGCTCTACGGACACTGGAGTCCACGGCTGTTTTTACGTAAGAGAGTTTTTCAATTTCAGTATTTCTTTTGTTTCATTGTCCGATGGCAACTCAGGTTTAAGGTTCTATTTCTTAGCTTAACTAACATACAGTATGTGTAAATATTTTCAACCTATTTCGGATTAAATATACAGTTTTGTCTGAATCTGGAGGTTCTCTGTGTGTTTAAAATCACCTATCATTACGTTGTAAGGAAAATAAGTTGATCTTACATATGCATTCATAACTGTGGGGAAGTATCATCGAGACATCGGTTCCAGAGCGTTATGTATTTCGGAACGGCCAATTTGGCAAACCGTATCACTTGAACTATGGACCTGCTTGACGTCGCCCCACCATAACTTTTTTTAGGATATATTTTTTTTCAGCAAATCTGTGTATTTTTTCTTAATGCACATTTTTACATGTCAAAAATCCTACGAGATATGATGAAATTACCAATCAATCCACCCTCGAAATCCCAGTGTTTTGATGTCGCCTGTCAAGTGTTTTGTTGTTGCCTGTCCAGTGTTTTGTTGTCGCCTGTCCAGTGTTTTGTTGTCGCCTGTCCAGTGTTCTGTTGTGTTGTCGTCTGTCAAGTGTTTTGTTGTCGCCTGTCCAGTGTTTTGTTGTCGCATGTCCAGTGTTTTGTTGTCGCCTGTCAAGTGTTTTGTTGTCGCCTGTCCAGTGTTTTGTTGTCGCCTGTCAAGTGTTTTGTTGTCGCCTGTCCAGTGTTTTGATGTCGCCTGTCAAGTGTTTTGTTGTCGCCTGTCCAGTGCTTTCTTGTCCTCTGTCCAGTGTTTTGTTGTCGTCTGTCCAGTGTTTTATCGTCGCCTGTCCAGTGTTTTGTTGTTGTCTGTCCAGTGTTTTGATGTCGCCTGTCCAGTGTTTTTGTTGTCGCCTGTCCAGTGTTTTGTTGTCGGCTGTCCAGTGTTTTGATGTCGCCTGTCCAGTGGTTTGTTGTCGCCTGTCCAGTGTTTTGTTGTCGCCTGTCCAGTGTTCTGTTGTGTTGTTTTAAAAAAACAAACAAACAAAACAAAAAACAGAAAAAAACAAAAAACTGATATATTAAACTATTCAGGATTTCATACTGTTATATGAAAATGAAAACAATCACAGAAAATATCAAATCTTGGTCAGAAAACACGAACCATATTTAACAGGAGTAATAACGTATACCGAAGGACTCGATGTCTTGGTCCGAGCGATCTGTTCGTTTTAGGAAATATGTCTCCCGATCAGAACCGATCGCTGTCAGTCTAGCTAAGTGTGTAAATTAATGATTTTCGTTTAACACAGTGACACAAAGCTATACCACATATTGAATCTGTAATTTTTTTCAGATGTTGTTCCGTCCGACCCCTATGTGTTTGTCAATGAAACACTACAGATAAATTGTACCCTGACATCACCGCACGAAACGAAAAATTCTTCACATTTGTACTTTGAACACGCTGGAAAACCCGTCAATGACACTTACTATGAATTGGTGGATGATAAAACTCTGTCATTCCGGAAAGTTGCGGAATTTGCAGACGCTGGAGCATACTATTGTTATCGTGATGATATGAGTGGTCCGATGGGCATTGTCGGAGGGCAGGTAGCATCGGTGGACTGTAAGTAAAGGGGGATAACTCAACGTGTCTAAAGACGAAAATGATCTGTTATTCTGCTTTCAGTATGGTTTTGGAAGTATTAGAATCTGTTATCAGTATGGGTTGAAGATTAGTGTAATTTGTAACTTGTAGCCGAAGCTACACATTTCACTATATAACACAAGCTACACTTTAATTTTCTATAAATCTCATCATTTCACTATATACCACACGCTACACTTTAATTTTCTATAAATCTCATCATTTCACTATATATCACAAGCTACACTTTAATTTTCTATAAATCTCATCATTTCACTATATACCACAAGCTACACTTTAATTTTCTATAAATCCTATGAAATTACTATATAAAACAAACTAGTTTGTTATATATTATATAAAATTATTATATAACACAAACTAGTTTGTTATAAATTATATAAAATTACTATATAACACAAACTAGTTTGTTATATATTATATAAAATTATTATATAACAAACTAGTTTGTTATATTTTATATAAAATTACTATATAACACAAACTAGTTTGTTATAGATTATATAAAATTACTATATAACACAAACTAGTTTGTTATAAATTACATAAAATTACTATATAACACAAACTAGTTTGTTATAAGTTATATAAAATTACTATATAACACAAGCTAGTTTGTTATAAATTATATAAAATTACTATATAAAATTACTATATAACACAAACTAGTTTGTTATATATTATATAAAATTATTATATAACACAAACTAGTTTGTTATAAATTATATAAAATTACTATATAACACAAACTAGTTTGTTATATATTATATAAAATTACTTGTTATAAATTATATAAAATTACTATATAAAATTACTATATAACACAAACTAGTTTGTTATAAGTTATATAAAATTACTATATAACACAAACTAGTTTGTTATATATTATATAAAATTATTATATAACACAAACTAGTTTGTTATAAATTATATAAAATTACTATATAACACAAACTAGTTTGTTATAAGTTATATAAAATTACTATATAACACAAACTAGTTTGTTATATATTATATAAAATTACTATATAACACAAACTAGTTTGTTATATATTATATAAAATTATTATATAACACAAACTAGTTTGTTATAAATTATATAAAATTACTATATAACACAAACTAGTTTGTTATATATTATATAAAATTACTTGTTATAAATTATATAAAATTACTATATAAAATTACTATATAACACAAACTAGTTTGTTATAAGTTATATAAAATTACTATATAACACAAACTAGTTTGTTATATATTATATAAAATTATTATATAACACAAACTAGTTTGTTATAAATTATATAAAATTACTATATAACACAAACTAGTTTGTTATAAGTTATATAAAATTACTATATAACACAAACTAGTTTGTTATATATTATATAAAATTATTATATAACACAAACTAGTTTGTTATAAGTTATATAAAATTACTATATAACACAAACTAGTTTGTTATATATTATATAAAATTACTATATAACACAAACTAGTTTGTTATAAGTTATATAAAATTACTATATAACACAAACTAGTTTGTTATATATTATATAAAATTATTATATAACACAAACTAGTTTGTTATAAGTTATATAAAATTACTATATAACACAAACTAGTTTGTTATAAATTATATAAAATTACTATATAACACAAACTAGTTTGTTATATATAAAATTATATAAAATTATTATATATAACACAAACTAGTTTGTTATAAATTATATAAAATTACTATATAACACAAACTAGTTTGTTATAATTATATATATAAACACAAACTAGTATATATTATATAAAATTACTATATAGTTTGTTATAATTATATAAAATTACTATAAACACAAACTAGTTTGTTATAAATTACATAAAATTACTATATAACACAAACTAGTTTGTTATAAGTTATATAAAATTACTATATAACACAAGCTAGTTTGTTATATATATAAATTACTATATAACATATAAAATTATTAAAAACTAGTTTGTTATAAATATTATATAAAATTACTATATAACACAAACTAGTTTGTTATAAATTATATAAAATTACTATATAACACAAACTAGTTTGTTATATAGTTATATAAAATTACTATATAACACAAACTATTTGTATATACATATAAAATTACATATAACACAAACTAGTTTGTTATAAATTATATAAAATTACTATATAACACAAACTATATAACACAAACTAGTTTGTTATAAATTATATAAAATTATATATATATAACACAAACTAGTTTGTTATATATAACACAAACTAGTTTGTTATATATTATATAAAATTACTTGTTATAAATTATATAAAATTACTATATAAAATTACTATATAACACAAACTAGTTTGTTATAAGTTATATAAAATTACTATATAACACAAACTATATATTATATAAAATTATTATATAACACAAACTAGTTTGTTATAAGTTATATAAAATTACTATATAACACAAACTAGTTTGTTATATATTATATAAAATTACTATATAATATAAAATTACTATATAACACAAACTAGTTTGTTATAAATTATATAAAATTACTATATAACACAAACTAGTTTGTTATATATATAAAATTACTATATAACACAAACTAGTTTGTTATATATTATATAAAATTATTATATAACACAAACTAGTTTGTTATAAATTATATAAAATTTTGTTATAAATTATATAAAATTACTATATAAAATTATAATTTATATATATATAAAATTACATATAACACAAACTAGTTTGTTATATATTATATAAAATTACAAAAACTAGTTTGTTATATATTATATAAAATTATTATATAACACAAACTAGTTTGTTATAAATTATATAAAATTATATATAACACAAACTAGTTTGTTATAAATTATATAAAATTACTATATAACACAAACTAGTTTGTTATAAATTATATAAAATTACTATATAACACAAACTAGTTTGTTATAAGTTATATAAAATTACTATATAACACAAACTAGTTTGTTATATATTATATAAAATTACTATATAACACAAACTAGTTTGTTATAAATTATATAAAATTACTATATAACACAAACTAGTTTGTTATAAATTATATAAAATTACTATATAACACAAGCTAGTTTGTTATAAATTATATAAAATTACTATATAACACAAACTAGTTTGTTATAAATCCCATAAAATTACTATATAACACAAGCTAGCCTGTTTTTTTTATGGTAAACATATCATTAGTATCCCTGGATCAGAGGTGCCTTCTTCAATTCCAACATTAGTCTTTACTACAGATAATGGACTCTGTATACAACTGAGGAGTGTTTTAACATATCTAGTCTAAGATAAAAGAACACTACAACCTGACCCATAATGCTGTTTTCTAGGAATCGATAGTGATGCTTAGATGAAATTAACTCACAACATTTCTGGTGTAGCTTTATTTCTATTCAAGACGCACCACAAGTGGTGACAGAGCTACAGTGTGTGTGGTACCATTGGAAGGAGAGGCTTGAGTGTACCTGGGAGTTACCGCCCTATGATATGAAGTATATTGACGTCGAATTCATATGGTTTGTGAAATCCTGTTCTCTCTACACCAACTAAACCAGCAAGTAACAACACAATTATATATCGGCAAGCAAACATTTGGTATAAATTATATGCTATTTGTATTTACAAAGATCCATATTTTCTCTATAAAAGTATTAAGTATTGAAGACAACATTTTTGACTGTTTGTACAGGTACAATGGCGCTATGGGGCTTTGCTCGAATATGAGTGATAACAAGACGACCTGCATCTTTCATTCCGACATCATTCTCGACACGAGTCCCTGGTTTTTCAAAATCACAGTCACCAACACTAGACTGAATGTTTCCGCGGTCGGTCCGTATATTGAAAAGATCCAGCATGAAAATGGTATGTATAACAACATTTCATTCACTATTTTCTGGGCGTGTCGTGAACTGTAAACAGTCAACTTAATTATGTTCTATATACGACTGAGTAAGGATCAGTTAGATTAATTACATAATGAAATATCCATAGACTGGAATATCATATATTTATCGGGTTAGTTTTGTTTCTACACCAACCACTCCCCCCACCCGCACCCCCACCCCCATCCCCACCGCCATCCCCACCTCCAGTGTCCATTTAGACCAACAAGAGCGACTAATATTAAGTTCAGATTTGCAGTTTTTAAGTTACAGTATAATCCGCCTCCATTTCAGTTAAACCGAACAAAGTTGATTGGTTTGGTTACGAGTATGTAGACAATAGCAGTTGTGTTCTACTAAAGTGGAGTTATGACCCTTTTATAAGTCGGTCCAGGAAGAAACAGTTCCGTGTACAATACGTGTCTTCATCTGGCGAACAAAAGGTAGGAACTTTGATGTATATATATACAAAATTTATAAATTGTCTTTTCTATCATTCCAGCATCTGTTATATATATGAGATGAATATTCTATAACGATATGGATTGTCACACCACAGAAACGTCCCACACAAATCTTACTATAGAGTGACGTAAACCAACAGGGTTACTATAGAGTGACGCAAACCAACAGGGTTACTATAGAGTGACGTAAACCAACAGTGTTACTATAGAGTGACGTAAATCAACAGGGTTACTATAGAGCGACGCAAACAAACAGTGTTACTATAGAGTGACGTAAACCAACAGGGTTACTATAGAGTGACGCAAACTAACAGGGTTACTATAGAGCGACGCAAACTAACAGGGTTACTATAGAGTGACGCAAACCAACAGGATTACTATAGAGCGACGCAAACCAACTATAGAGTGACGTAAAACAACAGGGTTACTATAGAGTGACGCAAACTAACAGGGTTACTATAGAGCGACGCAAACCAGCAGAGTTACTACAGAGCGACGCAAACCAACAGGGTTACTATAGGGCGACGTAAACCGACAGGGTTACTATAGGGCGACGTAAACAAACTGGGTTACTGTAGAGCGACGCAAACCACCGGGGTTATCATAGAGCGGCGAGCATACAACTTCAAACCAACAGGGTTACCATAGAGCGCCGAGTATACAACTTCAAACCAACAGGGTTACCATAGAGCGTCGAGCTTACAATTTTAAAATAACAGGGTAACTATAGGATGACGAACCATGGACTGGCATAATATGTCTGGTCTTTACCTCGGGGTCATAAACTACGGACAGGCAGCCGTTTTGCATTTAGCTCAGTAAGGATTGTTATCCCTATTTCTCAAGAATTGCTGAATGAATCTCTCTCAGATTTCATTAGTATGTTTCCTTTGGTCTCTACTTGTGCCCGTTTGATTTTGGGACTGATCAGGAAAAATATAGCTTTCTTGGATGTTGCAGGTAAAGATTATAATTGCTATTTTTGCAAACGAATGTTCAAACGTCTTATCATTAAGAGCAAAAACAGTTAAGAGTCGAGAAAAGAAGGGAAAAGATCCAACTTTCAAAGAGCAAATGAAGATCAAACAATGTTAGGCGTCAAGATCCTTCTGGGATCTCTTATTTTTAAAAAATCATTAAGTCTGGTGTTGACCACGGGGTCATAAAATACAGAATACAGACTTTATTGATTCTCATCAGAATATTTGACCAATTGATGTTATCCTCTGTGTTCTCGTTTCACCTACTCTCTGACATGAAGTTCTGTACGTACCTTGAAGCTTACATCCTGAATAATGAAAAGCATTCCTCAGTATTTTTGAACCTGTATAAAAAGATCTCCTGAGGTTCAAGCTTTTGAAATGACACTCTTATTCTTGTGTAAAAAATATCGATCGTAACGTTACTCACTTTCAAGAGTCTGATGCTGGCACCTGATTAATGTTCAAAATCATCTCCCGGCCCTTCTGATGTTCCAACAAATAAGGGGCCTATGAATTAGCAGTGATACACACACACACACACACACATATATATATATATATATGGATTAAGTTGCTCTTGAGACGAATCCAATGGAATTGTTTGAAGAGAAACTCAGTTGCTCTTGAGACGAATCCAATGGAATTGTTTGAAGAGAAACTCATTTCATATATATATATATATATGAAATGAGTTTCTCTTCAAACAATTCCATTGGATTCGTCTCAAGAGCAACTTAATCCATCACCCCATGAAATCAACCGGAACAAGATTCAGTACTTAAATAACATGGCAATATATACATATGTTCAAAATGGTAAACTAACTGAATGTAGTATTATAGGGAGTCATTCACATTAATTAAACTAGACAACATTTGATGATTCAGGAGGAGATTAATGAAGATACGGGTAGCAGTATGTTGGTATGTGACCTTGACCCTGACACCAGTTATACGTTCACTATAGACGTGAAGGCGGTCAGATCGCACTATTACAGTGATCCTGTCACCATTTCTGTTACAACTGACGAGGACGGTAAGGAATCGGGTTTAATTTTGTATCGTTGTGTTAATATACATCAGAACGTCGCTATAATTCCTTTTGTTTTGGTAAATGTAATATCGTTTCCTTATTTGGGACCATTCCACCTTATCGTGTGATGTATGAAACCGTTTTGTTTGATGAGTTCATGTCAAAGTGTATTGCGATCTTTATCAACTATCTGAGAATAAATATGACGATAAGAACAGTTTTACTCTTTAGCCATTATGGTTCAATTTCATTTTCAGTTCCACTATCGGCCCCGGAACTCCAGCAGGGGGCATATCAACGTAATATCTTCAATTGTCTGAATGACTCAAATGGCTACCATGATGTCAACATATACTGGAAGGTAGGATATTTAGTATCGATCGGCAAAATTGGATTGGAAAAAGTCGGTAGGTTGACACCGTCATTTATAGTTACGATTTAACTCAGGACACGCTCACTCTTTTGCTTTAAACTGATAGATAACAGGTAACTTTCATACGTGACGTTCGGCTCCCACTTGGTCAAAGCATGGAAAGGGTTAACCAATGGCCAGAAAAAAGTATTTCACAGTTTAATCAACCCTGAAAAATACCAGTCTGACCTGTTTCAAAAAATTAAGAAGTGATAAAGACTGTTCGATATTTTAATCCATTCCTTTTTGAAAGTTTTCAATAACCCTTTGATAGCTCTAAACAAGGTTTGAACAAATTTGGGTCATATGTCTTTGCTTTTAAACTTAAGTCGTCTAAAAAGAAAATTGTATCATCTTTGTAAGTAGATAGAGACTGTTTAATGGCCTCGTTAAACTGGTAAATCATTTAGTTATATTTGATGACTGTAAAAGACACGTAATTGAATAGCACTTTTTATACAAAAGACACGCAATTGAATAGCACTTTTTATACAAAAGACACACAAGTGAATAGCACCTTTTATACAAAAGACACACAAGTGAATAGCACCTTTTATACAAAAGACACACAAGTGAATAGCACCTTTTATACAAAAGACACACAAGTGAATAGCACCTTTTATACAAAAGACACACAAGTGAATAGCATCTTTTAATAATTTAGTGATAGAAATGAAGCTATAATCTACATCACACAGCTGTATCATCCTTTTTAGGACTCGTCAGTGATGTTACATCACACAGCTGTCTCGTCCTTCTAGGACTCGTCAGTGATGCTACATCAACAGCTGTATGACGTAGCATCACTGGCGAGTCCTAGAAGGACGAACAGCTGTATGACGTAGCATCATTGGCGAGTCCTAGAAGGACGAACAGCTGTATGACGTAGCATCACTGGCTAGTCCTAGTGTTCTCCTAATTAGGTTAAGCCTTGTTTTAATCCGAAGTCAGATATAGACAAGCTAATATTATTTTGTTGTCATAAGAGACCTCTTCATTGTCTTTCGTAATGGCTTAAATCAATGTCAATCTACCTTTGAAGAAAGTTCCCAGGGATGAAGCTCGTGGAGTCATAGTTAATTACATCATAAATACATCGGAGTACCAATCAGCAGACGAGATCAACGCCAGGACTGAGTATATGGAAACTAATTACTCGTCCAACTATTTGTCGGGTACAGTACATCTCAAGTGTGGCGCCCCCTATATCATCAAAATGACAGCAGCAACAAAAAAGGGATTATCAAAAACGTGGTCTTATCTGCGAATTCCACCATTCTCCAGGAAAGGTATTATAATGATTAGCACAAGATAAACACTAATCTTTCAAAACAGCAGGAATGATGGTTGAGACAAGAAGCCAACGACAACATTAAAACAGAAATTGACAACTCGTATAGTTGCAGTTACAGTGAATACATTATATTCGTAAAAACATAAGTGGCGAGTTTTCAAAAAACAAGATTTTTTTTATTTTATTATTTTAATCATTTTCTCTGCGTTTCTCCGTTTCTGGCGTCTTTTTAGTGTTATGTTTTCATTTCCTTTCGGTGTCACTCCTTTTGTGGTGACGTTTTCTTTGTGTCTGTAACTGTCTCTCCTTTTGTGGTGGTGACGTTTTCTTTGTGTCTGTAACTGTCTCTCCTTTTGTGGTGGTGACGTCTTCTTTGTGTCTGTAACTGTCTCTCCTTTTGTGGTGGTGACGTTTTCTTTGTGTCTGTAACTGTCTCTCCTTTTGTGGTGGTGACGTTTTCTTTGTGTCTGTAACTGTCTCTCCTTTTGTGGTGGTGACGTCTTCTTTGTGTCTGTAACTGTCTCTCCTTTTGTGGTGGTGACGTTTTCTTTGTGTCTGTAACTGTCTCTCCTTTTGTAGTGACGTTTTCTTTGTGTCTGTAACTGTCTCTCCTTTTGTAGTGGTGACGTTTTCTTTGTGTCTGTAACTGTCTCTCCTTTTGTAGTGACGTTTTCTTTGTGTCTGTAACTGTCTCTCCTTTTGTAGTGACGTTTTCTTTGTGTCTGTAACTGTCTCTCCTTTTGTAGTGGTGACGTTTTCTTTGTGTCTGTAACTGTCTCTCCTTTTGTGGTGGTGACGTCTTCTTTGTGTCTGTAACTGTCTCTCCTTTTGTGGTGGTGACGTTTTCTTTGTGTCTGTAACTGTCTCTCCTTTTGTGGTGACGTTTTCTTTGTGTCTGTAACTGTCTCTCCTTTTGTAGTGACGTTTTCTTTGTGTCTGTAACTGTCTCTCCTTTTGTAGTGACGTTTTCTTTGTGTCTGTAACTGTCTCTCCTTTTGTGGTGGTGACGTTTTCTTTGTGTCTGTAACTGTCTCTCCTTTTGTGGTGACGTTTTCTTTGTGTCTGTAACTGTCTCTCCTTTTGTGGTGACGTTTTCTTTGTGTCTGTAACTGTCTCTCCTTTTCTAGTGACGTTTTCTTTGTGTCTGTAACTGTCTTTCCTTTTGTGGTGGTGACGTTTTCTTTGTGTCTGTAACTGTCTCTCCTTTTGTGGTGACGTTTTCTTTGTGTCTGTAACTGTCTTTCCTTTTGTGGTGGTGACGTTTTCTTTGTGTCTGTAACTGTCTCTCCTTTTGTAGTGACGTTTTCTTTGTGTCTGTAACTGTCTCTCCTTTTGTGGTGGTGACGTTTTCTTTGTGTCTGTAACTGTCTCTCCTTTTGTGGTGGTGACGTTTTCTTTGTGTCTGTAACTGTCTCTCCTTTTGTAGTGACGTTTTCTTTGTGTCTGTAACTGTCTCTCCTTTTGTGGTGACGTTTTCTTTGTGTCTGTAACTGTCTCTCCTTTTGTGGTGGTGACGTTTTCTTTGTGTCTGTAACTGTCTCTCCTTTTGTGGTGGTGACGTCTTCTTTGTGTCTGTAACTGTCTCTCCTTTTGTAGTGACGTTTTCTTTGTGTCTGTAACTGTCTCTCCTTTTGTGGTGACGTTTTCTTTGTGTCTGTAACTGTCTCTCCTTTTGTGGTGACGTCTTCTTTGTGTCTGTAACTGTCTCTCCTTTTGTGGTGGTGACGTCTTCTTTGTGTCTGTAACTGTCTCTCCTTTTGTGGTGACGTTTTCTTTGTGTCTGTAACTGTCTCTCCTTTTGTGGTGGTGACGTCTTCTTTGTGTCTGTAACTGTCTCTCCTTTTGTGGTGACGTTTTCTTTGTGTCTGTAACTGTCTCTCCTTTTGTGGTGGTGACATCTTCTTTGTGTCTGTAACTGTCTCTCCTTTTGTGGTGGTGACGTCTTCTTTGTGTCTGTAACTGTCTCTCCTTTTGTAGTGACATTTTCTTTGTGTCTGTAACTGTCTCCTTTTGTAATGACGTTTTCTTTGTGTTTGTAACTGTCTCTCCTTTTGTGGTGACGTTTTCTTTGTGTCTGTAACTGTCTCTCCTTTTGTGGTGGTGACGTCTTCTTTGTGTCTGTAACTGTCTCTCCTTTTGTGGTGGTGACGTTTTCTTTGTGTCTGTAACTGTCTCTCCTTTTGTGGTGGTGACGTTTTCTTTGTGTCTGTAACTGTCTCTCCTTTTGTGGTGACGTTTTCTTTGTGTCTGTAACTGTCTCTCCTTTTGTAGTGACGTTTTCTTTGTGTCTGTAACTGTCTCTCCTTTTGTGGTGGTGACGTCTTCTTTGTGTCTGTAACTGTCTCTCCTTTTGTGGTGGTGACGTCTTCTTTGTGTCTGTAACTGTCTCTCCTTTTGTAGTGACGTTTTCTTTGTGTCTGTAACTGTCTCTCCTTTTGTGGTGGTGACGTTTTCTTTGTGTCTGTAACTGTCTCTCCTTTTGTAGTGACGTTTTCTTTGTGTCTGTAACTGTCTCTCCTTTTGTGGTGGTGACGTCTTCTTTGTGTCTGTAACTGTCTCTCCTTTTGTAGTGACGTTTTCTTTGTGTCTGTAACTGTCTCTCCTTTTGTGGTGGTGACGTTTTCTTTGTGTCTGTAACTGTCTCTCCTTTTGTAGTGACGTTTTCTTTGTGTCTGTAACTGTCTCTCCTTTTGTGGTGGTGACGTTTTCTTTGTGTCTGTAACTGTCTCTCCTTTTGTGGTGGTGACGTCTTCTTTGTGTCTGTAACTGTCTCTCCTTTTGTGGTGGTGACGTCTTCTTTGTGTCTGTAACTGTCTCTCCTTTTGTGGTGGTGACGTCTTCTTTGTGTCTGTAACTGTCTCTCCTTTTGTCTTCGTGGAATCTACGATATCCTTAAGTGTTGTCATGTTCGTGGAACCTTCGATGTCCTTAAGTGTTGTCATGTTCGTGGAACCTTCGATGTCCTTTAGTGTTGTCGTGTTCGTGGAACCTTCGATGTCCTTTAGTGTTGTCATATTCGTGGAACCTTCGATGTCCTTTAGTGTTGTCGTGTTCGTGGAACCTTCGATGTCCTTTTGTTTTGATATCAAGCGAGGTTGAATGATTTCCTCCATGTGTTTTAAAATCGAGTGTTTGATTTTCATTTCTGAGGTTACTTAAACGATACTTTTATTATCCAGGACCCTCTCCCCCTCCCGTGTTTGTGGAGGAGGGCGGGGAGGAGTACAAAGTGAACTTTGCTACCTCTCCTTTAGATGGACAGACGGGGTATACCATATTTTACTGCCAACGTAAAAACAATACTCATTGTGAGGTTGGTATTTAGTAATGATGCATGGGGTCAGAAAGTGTCCTTTTTCCTTGTCATTTGTATCCCTATGTTTTATGTACTGTAGACATCAGTATATATTGATGCTAAGGGTAAGGTATACTAATTGAGTATGATGATTACTTAATTACCTATATTACACAATATATATCACACTTTCCCCCCTTAACTCTTATCTTATATTCATATCCCGCGGAAATGATATTTGGATGTCCGTTCGATGTGTCAAATATCGATTAAAAACGTGTTTGTTGATATTCACGGTTAAATCACATGACTACAGTGTAACCTTTCGAATGTCAGTTGTATTTTACCAGCTTTTGAATTTCCAACGATGTAGGGAAAATGCAACTAAAATGATATAACAAAATAGAGACAGTCTCCGTTTGTAACAAAACAAGAATTAAAAATGATCAATATAAGTTTTAAACGCTTGGAAGTCATTATATATTATAAATAACTATATAAATGCCGAGTAGATTGTGTATTTGTGACATGTTTTGATACGAAACAAAAATGTCCATCCTGTTTCCAGAGTGAAAAACATTCTTCCTTGGATGGAACGATTAAACTCTGGAAACAGGATGGAATATTTTACTGTAGAAACAGGATGAAATGTTTTACTGTAGAAACAGGATGGAATATTTTACTGTAGAAACAGGATGGAATGTTTTACTGTAGAAACAGGATGAAATGTTTTCACTGTAGAAACAGGATGGAATATTTTAACTGTAGAAACAGGATGAAATGTTTTAACTGTAGAAACAGGATGGACTATTTTACTGTAGAAACAGGATGGAATGTTTTACTGTAGAAACAGGATGGAATGTTTTACTGTAGAAACAGAATGGACTATTTTAACTGTAGAAACAGGATGGACTATTTTACTGTAGGAACAGGATGGAATGTTTTAACTGTAGAAACAGGATGGAATGTTTTAACTGTAGAAACAGGATGGAATGTTTTAACTGTAGAAACAGGATGGACTATTTTACTGTAGAAACAGGATGGAATGTTTTACTGTAGAAACAGGATGGAATGTTTTACTGTAGAAACAGGATGGAATGTTTTACTGTAGAAACAGGATGGAATGTTTTACTGTAGAAACAGGATGAAATGTTTTACTGTAGAAACAGGATGGAATGTTTTACTGTAGAAACAGGATGGAATGTTTTAACTGTAGAAACAGGATGGAATATTTTAACTGTAGAAACAGGATGGAATATTTTAACTGTAAAAACAGGATGGAATGTTTTAACTGTTGAAACAGGATGAAATGTTTTACTGTAGAAACAGGATGGAATGTTTTACTGTAGAAACAGGATGGAATATTTTAACTGTAAAAACAGGATGGACTATTTTAACTGTAGAAACAGGATGGAATGTTTTACTGTTGAAACAGGATGGAATGTTTTACTGTAGAAACAGGATGAAATGTTTTACTGTAGAAACAGGATGGAATATTTTACTGTAGAAACAGGATGGAATATTTTAACTGTAAAAACAGGATGGAATGTTTTACTGTAGAAACAGGATGGAATGTTTTACTGTAGAAACAGAATGGAATATTTTACTGTAGAAACAGGATGGAATGTTTTAACTGTAGAAACAGGATGGAATATTTTAACTGTAGAAACAGGATGGAATATTTTAACTGTAAAAACAGGATGGAATGTTTTAACTGTTGAAACAGGATGAAATGTTTTACTGTAGAAACAGGATGGAATGTTTTACTGTAGAAACAGGATGGAATATTTTAACTGTAAAAACAGGATGGACTATTTTAACTGTAGAAACAGGATGGAATGTTTTACTGTTGAAACAGGATGGAATGTTTTACTGTAGAAACAGGATGAAATGTTTTACTGTAGAAACAGGATGGAATATTTTACTGTAGAAACAGGATGGAATATTTTAACTGTAAAAACAGGATGGAATGTTTTACTGTAGAAACAGGATGGAATGTTTTACTGTTGAAACAGGATGGAATGTTTTACTGTAGAAACAGGATGAAATGTTTTACTGTAGAAACAGGATGGAATATTTTACTGTAGAAACAGGATGGAATATTTTAACTGTAAAAACAGGATGGAATGTTTTACTGTAGAAACAGGATGGAATGTTTTACTGTAGAAACAGGATGGAATATTTTACTGTAGAAACAGGATGGAATATTTTAACTGTAAAAACAGGATGGAATGTTTTACTGTAGAAACAGGATGGAATATTTTAACTGTAGAAACAGGGTGGAATGTTTTAACTGTAGAAACAGGATGAAATGTTTTACTGTAGAAACAGGATGGAATATTTTAACTGTAGAAACAGGATGAAATGTTTTACTGTAGAAACAGGATAGATTGTTTTAACTGTAGAAACAGGATGGACTATTTTACTGTAGAAACAAGATGGAATGTTTTACTGTAGAAACAGGATGGAATGTTTTACTGTAGAAACAGGATGGACTATTTTACTGTAGAAACAAGATGGAATGTTTTACTGTAGAAACAGGATGGAATATTTTACTGTAGAAACAGGATGGAATATTATACTGTAGAAACAGGATGGAATATTTTACTGTAGAAATAGAATGGAATATTTTACTGTAGAAACAGGATGGAATGTTTTAAATGTAGAAACAGGATGGAATATTTAACTGTAGAAACAGGATGGAATATTTTAACTGTAGAAACAGGATGGACTATTTTAACTGTAGAAACAGGATGGACTATTTTACTGTAGAAACAAGATGGAATGTTTTACTGTAGAAACAAGATGGAATGTTTTACTGTAGAAACAGGATGGACTATTTTACTGTAGAAACAGGATGGACTATTTTACTGTAGAAACAGGATGGAATGTTTTACTGTAGAAACAGGATGGAATGTTTTAAATGTAGAAACAGGATGGAATGTTTTAACTGTAGAAACAGGATGGAATGTTTTAACTGTAGAAACAGGATGGAATATTTTACTGTAGAAACAGGATGGAATGTTTTAACTGTAGAAACAGGATGGAATGTTTTACTGTAGAAACAGGATGGAATGTTTTAACTGTAGAAACAGGATGGAATGTTTTAACTGTTGAAACAGGATGGAATGTTTTAACTATAGAAACAGAATGGATGGTTTTAACTGTAGACACAGAATGGATGGTTTTAACTGTAGAAACAATGTGTAATTTGTGTCATTTTATTTGATTGTTCATCATACTCCTACTTTTGTGTTGAATTGAATGGTTAAGTAACTGGAGCTGACATTGAATTGAATAACATATCATTATTGATTCTGCGAAATTATCATTGCTATGAGTTAATGCATATATATTTAATACCTATACCAAGATTTAAACTTTCTATTGTATTTGCATCGGAACTTAATTTCTCAATTGTATTTGACTGTAGTTACCAAGACAGCATATATAATTATTTATACTAGTTCTACATAGACACATCTTTACTTACAGAATCAATCGAATGTTGCATGATCAGTATTGAACCTTGTTAATACAAGACCAGATTCACCATTCTTATTTCATGAAACTTTTCTCAGGGAGAACTCTTGTCTACTGAGATGAAACCAACGGACACTCGATACGCTTCAGTGGTTGTGCCAGACACAGAAGTGGAGTACTTGTTCGGTGTGTCACGTGACTTCAATTTCTTCGGAAGTGGCTTTGTTCTAATCAGTTGTGTTTATCACAAAACCGCAGGTAAATGACGCTTTTAGTCTTGATATCATTTACGTCACGCCTTACTGTAGATTTTCTTCATCTGCGTCCGTGGTCCGTGGTCTGTCCTTCCGTCCGTCCGTCCGTAAACAATTTTCGCTATCGCTATTTCTTGAGATGTACTGGTTGGATCCTTCTCAAATTTCAAATATGGGTTCCCCTTGGTCCCTAGTTGCGCTCTTTTGATTTTGGGACTGATCAGATATACAAAATGGCCGACAGACGGCCATCTTGGACTTTGATTTTGCAAATTTGTTATCGCTATTTCCTGACAACTACAACGCGTACTAAAAATTGTTAACCTATTTCCTTACTGTGTGAGTATCTTTGAAATTTCATACGTATGTTCCCTTTGGTCTCCTTGTGCCCGTTGGATTTTGGGACTCATCAGAAGATACAAAATGGGTTCCAATCGGCCATTTTGGATTTGGCAAGTAAAGATTTCTATCGCTATTTCTACAAAGGAATGTTCAAATATCTTATCATTGAGAGTAAAAGCAAAACAAGAGAAGAGAAAATCAGTGAAAAATCCAACTTTTAAAGATAAATAAAATGGTAGGTGTGGTGTCATAACAAACCTGTATCTCTGGTATCATAAACATAAACCTGTATCTCTGGTATCATCAACATAAACCTGTATCTCTGGTATCATAACAAACATAAACCTGTATCTCTGGTATCATAAACTTAAACCTGTATCTCTGGTTTCATAAACATGAACCTGTATTTCTGGTATCAAAACTTAAACCTGTATCTCTGGTATCATAAACATAAACCTGTATCTCTGGTATCATAAACATCAACCTGTATCTCTGGTATCATCAACATAAACCTGTATCTCTGGTATCATAACAAACATAAACCTGTATCTCTGGTATCATAAACATAAACCTGTATCTCTGGTATCATAACAAACATCAACCTGTATCTCTGGTATCATAAACATAAACCTGTATCTCTGGTATCATAACAAACATCAACCTGTATCTCTGGTATCATAAACATAAACCTGTATCTCTGGTATCATAACAAACACAAACCTGTATCTCTGGTATCATAACAAATTAAACCTGTATCTCTGGTATCATAAACTTAAACCTGTATCTCTGGTATCATAACAAACATAAACCTGTATCTCTGGTATCATAAACATAAACCTGTATCTCTGGTATCATAAACATAAACCTGTATCTCTGGTATCATAAACATAAATCTGTATCTGTGGTATCATAACAAACATCAACCTGTATCTCTGGTATCATCAACATAAACCTGTATCTCTTGTATCATAAACCTGTATTTCTGGTATTATAACAAACATTAACCTGTATCTCTGGTATCATAAACATAAACCTGAATCTCTGGTATCATAGACGTAAACCTGTATCTCTGGTATCATAAACATAAACCCGTATCTCTGGTATCATAACAAACATAAACCTGTATCTCTGGTATCATAAACATAAACCTGTATCTCTGGTATCATAACAAACATAAACCTGTAACTCTGGTATCATAGCAAACATAAACCTGTATCTCTGGTATCATAAACATCAACCTGTATCTCTGGTATCATAACAAACATAAACCTGTATTTCTGGTATTATAAACATCAACCTGTATCTCTGGTATCATAAACATAAACCTGTATTTCTGGTATCATCAACATAAACCTGTATCTCTGGTATCATAAACATCAACCTGTATCTCTGGTATCATGAACATAAACCTGAATCTCTGGTATCATAGACGTAAACCTGTATCTCTGGTATCATAAACATTAACCCGTATCTCTGGTATCATAAACATAGACCTGTATCTCTGGTATCATAACAAACATAAACCTGTATCTCTGGTATCATAAACATAAACCTGTATCTCTGGTATCATAACAAACACAAACCTGTATCTCTGGTATCATTAACATCAACCTGTATCTCTGGTATCATAACAAACATAAACCTGTATCTCTGGTATCATACATATCAACCTGTATCTCTGGTATTATAACAAACATAAACCTGTAACTCTGGTATCATAACAAACATAAACCTGTATCTCTGGTATCATAACAAACATAAACCTGTATCTCTGGTATCATAAACATCAACCTCTATTTCTGGTATCATAAACATAAACCTGTATCTCTGGTATCATAAACATCAACCTGTATCTCTGGTATCATAAACATAAACCTGTATCTCTGGTATCATAACAAACATAAACCTGTATCTCTGGTATCATAGCAAACATAAACCTGTATCTCTGGTATCATAAACATAAACCTGTATCTCTGATATCATCAACATGAACCTGTATCTCTGGTATCATAACAAACATAAACCTGTATCTCTGGTATCATAAACATCACCCTGTATCTCTGGTATCATAAACATAAACCTGTATCGCTGGTATCATCAACATCAACCTGTATCTCTGGTATCATAAACATAAACCTGTATCTCTGGTATCATAACAAACATAAACCTGTATCTCTGGTATCATAAACATCAACCTGTATCTCTGGTATCATAAACATCAACCTGTATCTCTGGTATCATAAACATAAACCTGTATCTCTGGTATCATAAACATAAACCTGTATCTCTGGTATCATAACAAACATAAACCTGTATCTCTGGTATCATAAACATCAACCTGTATCTCTGGTATCATAACAAACATAAACCTGTATCTCTGGTATCATAAACATCAACCTGTATCTCTGGTATCATAAACATAAACCTGTATCTCTGGTATCATAAACATAAACCTGTATCTCTGGTATCATAACAAACATAAACCTGTATCTCTGGTATCATAAACATAAACCTGTATCTCTGGTATCATAAACATAAACCTGTATCTCTGGTATCATAACAAACATAAACCTGTATCTCTGGTATTATAAACATCAACCTGTATCTCTGGTATCATAAACATAAACCTGTATCTCTGGTATCATAAAGATAAACCTGTATCTCTGGTATCATAAGAAACATAAACCTGTATCTCTGGTATCATAATAAACATAAACCTGTATCTCTGGTATCATAACAAACATCAACCTGTATCTCTGGTATCATAAACATAAACCTGTATATCTGGTATCATAAACATAAACCTGTATTTCTGGTATCATAACAAAAATAACCCTGTATCTCTGGTATCATAAACATAAACCTGTATCTCTGGTATCATAAACATAAACCTGTATCTCTGGTATCATAAACATAAACCTGTATCTCTGGTATCATTAACATAAAACTGTATCTCTGGTATCATAACAAACATAAATCCGTATCTCTGGTATCATAACAAACATAAACCTGTATCTCTGGTATCATAAACATAAACCTGTATTTCTGGTATCATAAACATAAACCTGTATTTCTGGTATCATAACAAAAATAAACCTGTATCTCTGGTATCATAAACATAAACCTGTATCTCTGGTATCATAAACATAAACCTGTATTTCTGGTATCATAACAAACATAAACCTGTATCTCTGGTATCATAACAAACATAAACCTGTATCTCTGGTATCATAAACATCAACCTGTATCTCTGGTATCATAAACATAAACCTGTATTTCTGGTATCATAAACATAAACCTGTATCTCTGGTATCATAAACATCAACCTGTATCTCTGGTATCATAAACATAAACCTGTATCTCTGGTATCATAACAAACATAAACCTGTATCTCTGGTATCATAGCAAACATAAACCTGTATCTCTGGTATCATAAACATAAACCTGTATCTCTGATATCATAAACATAAACCTGTATCTTTGGTATCATAAACATCACCCTGTATCTCTGGTATCATAAACATAAACCTGTATCGCTGGTATCATCAACATCAACCTGTATCTCTGGTATCATAAACATAAACCTGTATCTCTGGTATCATAACAAACATAAACCCGTATCTCTGGTATCATAAACATAAACCTGTATCTCTGGTATCATAAACATAAACCTGTATCTCTGGTATAATAACAAACATAAACCTGTATCTCTGGTATCATAAACATAAACCTGTATCTCTGGTATCATAAACATAAACCTGTATCTCTGGTATCATAACAAACATAAACCTGTATCTCTGGTATCATAAACATCAACCTGTATCTCTGGTATCATAACAAACATAAACCTGTATGTCTGGTATCATAAACATCAACCTGTATCTCTGGTATCATAAACATAAACCTGTATCTCTGGTATCATAAACATAAACCTGTATCTCTGGTATCATAACAAACATCACCCTGTATCTCTGGTATCATAAACATAAACCTGTATCGCTGGTATCATCAACATCAACCTGTATCTCTGGTATCATAAACATAAACCTGTATCTCTGGTATCATAACAAACATAAACCCGTATCTCTGGTATCATAAACATAAACCTGTATCTCTGGTATCATAAACATAAACCTGTATCTCTGGTATAATAACAAACATAAACCTGTATCTCTGGTATCATAAACATAAACCTGTATCTCTGGTATCATAAACATAAACCTGTATCTCTGGTATCATAACAAACATAAACCTGTATCTCTGGTATCATAAACATCAACCTGTATCTCTGGTATCATAACAAACATAAACCTGTATCTCTGGTATCATAACAAACATAAACCTGTATCTCTGGTATCATAACAAACATAAACCTGTATCTCTGGTATCATAACAAACATAAACCTGTATCTCTGGTATCATAAACATGAACCTGTATCTGTGGTATCATAACAAACATCAACCTGTATCTCTGGTATCATAAACATAAACCTGTATCTCTGGTATCATAAACATAAACCTGTATTTCTGGTATCATAACAAACATAAACCTGTATCTCTGGTATCATAAACATAAAACTGTATCTCTGGTATCACAACAATCATAAACCTGTATCTCTGGTATCATAACAAACATAAATCCGTATCTCTGGTATCATAAACATAAACCTGTATCTCTGGTATCATCAACATCAACCTGTATCTCTGGTATCATAACAAACATAAATCCGTATCTCTGGTATCATCAACATAAACCTGTATCTCTGGTATCATAACAAACACAAACCTGTATCTCTGGTATGATAAACATCAACCTGTATCTCTGGTATCATAACAAACATAAACCTGTATCTCTGGTATCATAAACATCAACCTGTATCTCTGGTATTATAACAAACATAAACCTGTAACTCTGGTATCATAACAAACATAAACCTGTATCTCTGGTATCATAACAAACATAAACCTGTATCTCTGGTATCATAAACATCAACCTGTATCTCTGGTATCATAAACATAAACCTGTATCTCTGATATCATAAAAATAAACCTGTATCTTTGGTATCATAACAAACATAAACCTGTATCTCTGGTATCATAAACATCAACCTGTATCTCTGGTATCATAAACATAAACCTGTATTTCTGGTATCAAAACTTAAACCTGTATCTCTGGTATCATAAACATAGACCTGTATCTCTGGTATCATAAACACAAACCTGTATCTCTGGTATCATAAACATAAACCTGTATCTCTGGTATCATAAACATAAAACTGTATCTCTGGTATCATGAACATGAACCTGTATCTGTGGTATCATAAACATAAACCTGTATCTCTGGTATTATAACAAACATAAACCTGTATCTCTGGTATCATAACAAACATAAACCTGTATCTCTGGTATCATAACAAACATCAACCTGTATCTCTGGTATCATAAACATGAACCTGTATCTGTGGTATCATAACAAACATCAACCTGTATCTCTGGTATCATAAACATAAACCTGTATCTCTGGTATTATAACAAACATAAACCTGTATCTCTGGTATCATAACAAAGATAAACCTGTATCTCTGGTATCATGAACATAAACCTGTATCTGTGGTATCATAAACATAAACCTGTATCTCTGGTATTATAACAAACATAAACCTGTATCTCTGGTATCATAACAAACATAAACCTGTATCTCTGGTATCATAAACATAGACCTGTATCTCTGGTATCAAAACTTAAACCTGAATTCTTGCAAGCAGAACTACAATACAAATGTTTCCTTGGTAACACAATTATTTTAGACCTATTACCTTGGTAACTATTACTACAAACCGATATACTCAGTAACATTATTATTGTAAACATGTGTCCTTGGTAAAACAATTATCATAAACCTGTGTCCTTGGTTACACAATTCCCATGAATCTGTTTCCTTGGTGACAAATATCTTTGGTGACAGTTTTTATACATGTACGATTTTTAGCTTGGTAATATACTGATAAACAGCAGAATTTATCTGTCTCTATCTATTTTGTTGCAGTACCACCTCCACCTTCTGGTATTCGGGTTAGTTCTCGTGATTCCTCTCAAGCGATGGTTACGTGGAATCACGTGACATGCTCAGAAAATACCCCATTAATTTTCTTCTACACAATAAAATGGTGCAAAATTTTCAAAGAAAAGATCCAAGACGAAGATACCTGTATCAGTAAGTAATCTAATTATAAATTGTTGTCTTTTGAATACGAAAAACGAAAATTTAAATAATTTTTTTCTGAGATAATTCTCTTTCAGATAGAATCCTGACAATACCACTTCATCAATCTGCACTCTTTCTACTGGAGGAGATAGATACTGACTATACGTACAGCGTACAGATCCGTAGTTCATCTGCTGTTCAGTCAAGCGTATTCTCCGATCCGGTGTACTTCACACTGACCCAGAAAGGTGAGCATGGCTATTTCCTCTGTTACCAAGGGTATCTGTAGAACGTGCTCTGTCTTAGCCAGTTAGGGAGAAATAGATTTTGTTGAGACTGAAACTAATTTTTATATGAAATAGCTAATTGTCCTTGTATAATACCGAAAAGCTAACGTTGTCCATAGGACACAACTACACACCTCTTAACTTTAGCATAACGTCGTCAGTTGGTGATGTTTTATCAACGATTAACGTCGACAGCTGGTGGTGTTTTATTACAGATTAACGTCGACAGCTGGTGATGTTGTATTACAGATTAACGTCGACAGCTGATGATGTTTAATTACAGATTGACGTCGACAGCTGATGATGTTTAATTACAGATTGACGTCGTCAGCTGGTGATGTTTTATTTACGATAAACGTCGTTTGTATTGAGGATACAGAGAGTGAAAGTGATCGTAACCCTGGAGTATTGAGGATACAGAGAGTGAAAGTGATCGTGACCCCTCGAGTATTGAGGATACAGAGAGTGAAAGTGATCGTAACCCCTGGAGTATTGAGGATACAGAGAGTGAAAGTGATCGTGACCCCTGAGTATATACAGAGAGTGAAAGTGATCGTGGAGTATTGAGGATACAGAGAGTGAAAGTGATCGTAACCCTGGAGTATTGAGAATACAGAGAGTGAAAGTAATCGTAACCCCTGGAGTATTGGGGATACAGAGAGTGAAAGTGATCGTGACCCCTGGAGTATTGAGGATACAGAGAATGAAAGTGATCGTGACCCCTCGAGTATTGGGGATACAGAGAGTGAAAGTGATCGTGACCCCTGGAGTATTGAGGATACAGAGAATGAAAGTGATCGTGACCCCTCGAGTATTGGGGATACAGAGAGTGAAAGTGATCGTGACCCCTGGAGTATTGAGGATACAGAGAGTGAAAGTGATCGTAACCCTGGAGTATTGAGGATACAGAGAGTGAAAGTGATCGTGACCCCTCGAGTATTGAGGATACAGAGAGTGAAAGTGATCGTAACCCTGGAGTATTGAGGATACAGAGAGTGAAAGTGATCGTGACCCCTGGAGTATTGAGGATACAGAGAGTGAAAGTGATCGTAACCCTGGAGTATTGAGGATACAGAGAGTGAAAGTGATTGTAACCCCTGGAGTATTGAGGATACAGAGAGTGAAAGTGATCGTGACCCTGGAGTATTGAGGATACAGAGAGTGAAAGTGATTGTAACACCTGGAGTATTGGGGATACAGAGAGTGAAAGTGATCGTAACCCCTGGAGTATTGAGGATACAGAGAGTGAAAGTGATCGTAACCCCTGGAGTATTGAGGATACAGAGAGTGAAAGTGATTGTAACCCCTGGAGTATTGAGGATACAGAGAGTGAAAGTGATCGTAACCCTGGAGTATTGAGAATACAGAGAGTGAAAGTAATCGTAACCCCTCGAGTATTGGGGATGCAGAGAGTGAAAGTGATCGTGACCCCTCGAGTATTGGGGATACAGAGAGTGAAAGTGATCGTAACCCTGGAGTATTGAGGATACAGAGAGTGAAAGTGATCGTAACCCTGGAGTATTGAGGATACAGAGAGTGAAAGTGATCGTAACCCTGGAGTATTGAGGATACAGAGAGTGAAAGTGATCGTAACCCCTCGAGTATTGAGGATACAGAGAGTGAAAGTGATCGTGACCCCTGGAGTATTGTGGATACAGAGAATGAAAGTGATCGTGACCCCTCGAGTATTGGGGATACAGAGAGTGAAAGTGATCGTGACCCCTCGAGTATTGAGGATACAGAGAGTGAAAGTAATCGTGACCCCTCGAGTATTGGGGATACAGAGAGTGAAAGTGATCGTGACCCCTCGAGTATTGGGGATACAGAGAGTGAAAGTGATCGTAACCCTGGAGTATTGAGGATTCAGAGAGTGAAAGTGATCGTGACCCCTCGAGTATTGGGGATACAGAGAGTGAAAGTGATTGTAACCCCTCGAGTATTGAGGATACAGAGAGTGAAAGTGATCGTAACCCTGGAGTATCGAGGATACAGAGAGTGAAAGTGATCGTAACCCTGGAGTATTGGGGATACAGAGAGTGAAAGTGATTGTAACCTCTGGAGTATTGAGGATACAGAGATCGAAAGTGATCGTGACCCCTCGAGTATTGGGGATACAGAGAGTGAAAGTGATTGTAACCCCTCGAGTATTGAGGATACAGAGAGTGAAAGTGATCGTAACCCTGGAGTATCGAGGATACAGAGAGTGAAAGTGATCGTAACCCTGGAGTATTGGGGATACAGAGAGTGAAAGTGATTGTAACCTGGGAGAGTATTGAGGATACTGGAGTATTGAGGATACAGAGATCGAAAGTGATCGTGACCCCTGGAGTATTGGGGATACAGAGAGTGAAAGTGATCGTGACCCCTCGAGTATTGAGGATTGATGTTATGATATTGATGGAGTTATACTGTTTATGCAGACACTGTGAATTCTTGTGAGAAGACAACTTACCTCACACAAGACGTTTTAGAAATGTGTCTGATTGTGGTCGTCGCTCTTCTCTCGGTCACGTGTATCGTCTTACTGAGCTGTTTCTTCAGGTGAGTAATTTTCAAATTTCTTTATTTTTTCTTCGGCGTCATTGTTTTTTAAAGTTGATAACAAATTACAGTTTTTAAATCTAATGCCAATGCTAATAAATACAATTTATAGTCACTATTCAATAAATACACTATATGGTCACTATTCAATAAATACTCTATATGGTCACTATTCAATAAAGACAAGGTATGGTCACTATTCAATAAAGAAAACGTATGGTCACTATTCAATAAAGACAATGTATGCTCACTATTCAATAAAGACAACGTATGGTCACTATTCAATAAATACAATTTATGGTCACTATTCAATAAATACACTATATGGTCACTATTCAATAAATACTCTATATGGTCACTATTCAATAAATACTCTATATGGTCACTATTCAATAAATACTCTATATGGTCACTATTCAATAAATACACTATATGGTCACTATTCAATAAATACACTATATGGTCACTATTCAAGAAAGACAACGTATGGTCACTATTCAATAAAGACAACGTATGGTCACTATTCAATCAAGACAACGTATGGTCACTATTCAAAAAAGACAACGTATGGTCACTATTCAATCAAGACAACGTATGGTCACTATTCAAAAAAGACAACGTATGGTCACTATTCAATCAAGACAACGTATGGTCACTATTCAATAAATAGAACGTATGGTCACTATTCAATAAATACACTATATGGTCACTATTCAATAAATACTCTATATGGTCACTATTCAAGAAAGACAACGTATGGTCACTATTCAATAAAGACAACGTATGGTCACTATTCAATCAAGACAACGTATGGTCACTATTCAAAAAAGACAACGTATGGTCACTATTCAATAAAGACAACGTATGGTCACTATTCAATAAAGACAACGTATAGTCATTATGGAAATTTAATTCGTCATTACTTTTTGATGAAAAATATCTTGATTTGGTTAAAAAAGTAATTTCTGATACAAAAAGACAGTGTTGTCTTCCAGTTTACAACAGAGATACTATTGATAATATTTCAGATACAGATATTGAATTTATTATTGATGATCGGATTTTTCTTGAAACATTATTAATGGAAATAAGGGGGAAAACAATATCCTATTCATCATATAAAAAGAAACTGCAAAATTTAAATGAAGATATCTTAAAGAAAACTATACAAGATTTGGAAGAGCAAGAGCAGGTAGATTCTGAGGAGTTAGAAGCTATGAAAAAGGAATTGGAAAATATTAGAGTTAGTAAAGTTAAAGGTAGCCTTATTAGAGCCAGAGTTAGATGGCAAGAAGAAGGAGAAAAACCAACTAAGTATTTTTTGAATTTAGAAAATAGGAATTTTGTCTCTAATATCATACCAAAACTAGAAAAAGAGCATAGTATTATAACAAAACAAGATGAGATATTGGAAGAAATACGTAGTTATTATGAAAAATTATATGATGATATAGACTTATCAGAATTTTTATACTCATCGGTTGTTCCAAAACTAGATAAAAAGGAGGCATAAGACTTAGAAGGATTAGTTACTCTAGACGAGGCAGCAAGAACATTAAAACACATGAAGAACAATAAAAGTCCTGGTAGTGATGGATATACTGTTGAGTTTTTTAAATGTTTTTGGAAGCAGATTGGTGTTTTTATTGTTAGATCTATAAATTGTGGATACAAAAAAAAGGCTTACTTTCCGTTACTCAAAGACAAGGTGTCATCATATGCATTCCTATGGGAGATAAACCTAGACAGTTTTTAAAAAATTGGAGACCAATTACTCTATTAAATATTAGCTATAAAATTGCTTCAGCCTGTATAGCAAGTAGGATAAAAGCAGTTCTAGATAAGTTTATATGTGAAGATCAAACAGGGTTTCTTTCAGGTCGGTACATAGGGGAGAATACTAGGCTTGTATATGATATAATGCAGTTTGCTGAAGATATGAATATTCCAGGAATGTTGTTAATGTTAGACTTTGAAAAAGCCTTTGATTCTGTGTCTTGGAAATTTGTTGATAAAGTTTTTGATTATTTTAATTTTGGTTCAGAGGTTCGTAATTGGGTTAAGTTATTTCATACTAATGTTTCAGCTGCTGTTAACCAGGGTGGTAACCTGTCAAATTTTATAGATATTAAACGAGGTTGTCGTCAAGGCGATCCGATCGCCCCTTACATCTTTCTTCTTTGTGTTGAAGTTCTAGGAATCAGATTTAGAAACAATAAAAAGATCAAGGGTATAGAAGTGAGTAATTGTCCAATCCTAATAACACAATATGCAGATGACACCTCATTAATACTTGATGGCTCTGAATTATCATTGAAGGAATCTATTGTTGAGTTGAATAAATTTGCAAGAATATCGGGTTTAAAACTTAACATTGATAAGACACAAGTTGTGTGGATAGGAAGTAAAAGTTACAGTAGTGATACTTTTTTACCTGAATTAAATTTACAGTGGGGAAGGGTTAGATTTACCTTACTTGGAATATAATTTAGTGTAAATTTGCATGAAATTCCTAAGTTGAACTTTGATAAAAAACTAATTAAACTTAAAACACTAATTAAAACCTGGGCTAGAAGGTGTCTCACACCTATTGGGAAAATAGCTGTTATCAAATCTCTTCTATTATCTCAGTTCAATCATTTATTTATTTCTATACCTAACCCAAATGAACACTTGCTGCAAAATCTTAACTCAATTCTTTACAATTTTTTGTGGAATGGAAAGGTTGACAAAATTAAAAGGGATGTCATGACGCAGAACTATTATGAAGGAGGTCTAAAAATGGTAAACGTACGTCTGTTTATTGACTCACTAAAACTTAGTTGGATACGAAGGCTCTATCAGAAATCATCTAAGTGGCAACTCATTTTCAAAACATTCTTTGATCTGCATAAATTATCTACATGTGGAACAAGATTTCTTCAAGATTGTGAAAAAAATTGTAAAAACAAAATTTGGAAAGATGTATTTAGAGCATGGGTAAAGTTTAATAATTCTAATGAAGTAAAGAAAATAAGTGAAAAGTATGTTTTGAAAATGCGGCTTTGGTACAATAGAAACTTTACTATTGGAAAAAAAGCAATTTTCTATAAGGCCTGGTTTAATAGTGGGTTAAGTATTGTTAATGATTAAGTTAAAGACCCAGGCTCTCTCACATTTTACTCCTTTGAAGAGTTTACTGAGATTTATAGAGTTAATGCAAATTTTCTTGAATATCAGGGTGTTATTTCAGCAATTAGATCATATTTAAGGAAATCAAATATTTGTTTTAATCAACAGTCACTTGCTCTTCCATTAATTCCAGCCAATATTACATTTTTTATAAACAGGACTAAGGGATGTAGGGACTTGTATAATCTTCTTGTTAAAAAATCTATTGTTTCTTCAGGTAGAAGTAAATGGGAAAAGACATTTGAAGATGATGAATTGAAATGGGTTGAAATATTCAGTACACCTTTCAAAGTAACAAGACATACAAAACTTCAATGGTTTCAATATAGGGTATTACAACACATTCTAACAACAAATACTTTTTTGTTTAAATTAGGTCTTGTTAATAGTCCATTTTGTAATCTCTGCAATTTACAACGAGAAACAATTATTCATATTTTATGGGAGTGCCTTGAAACCCAGAAATTTTTGCAAAGTTTAGAAACACTTTTTGATGCCCTTCTGATCCCATTCTCTTTTAATAAACAAAGTTTTATTTTTGGTATATTTGCAAACAGTAGGAGAGAAACAGGAAATAAGACGGATAATGTCATTCTAACTTTGATTAAATTTTACATATACAAAACAAGGTGCCAACATAAGATATTAAACCTTGTTGCCTTCATTAATTTGATTAAGGATTATTTTATTTGCCAAAAATACATTGCTAATATTCAAGGGGAACAATATAGACAGAAATTTGAGATTGAATGGAGAAAATGGAAAAAACTCCTTAATTGTGATTTTTCCTGAACTTTGTACATTATACAGCCTTATTACCTGTACATGTAGGTTTTAATTAGATTATTTAATTAGTTGATCATACAGCAGTTGTTGGTCTTGTTTTTCCTTCCACTTGTTAATGCATGTACAATGTTTTCATTTGTTCCCATTAGGGTATATTTCCCTTTGAGACCCAAATTCTATTGCTTATAGAAAGTGCTTGGAAGTCTCTAGCCCAGCATCTCTATCCTCCCCCCCCCTCTCTCTCTCTCTCTCTCTCTCTCTCTCTCTCTCTCTCTCTCTCTCTCTCTCTCTCTCTCTCTCTCTCTCTCCTGTCTTTCTCATATCGTACATGTGGCCCTGTTACTCTGTGCTTGCCTTTCTTATATTTTTTTTTATCTTTTTCTCTTTCCAATCTTTGTTTCTGTGTATTTTTTTTTGATCGTGTGTATGTGTGTGGGTGTACATGTATGTGTGGTAAAAATATGCGAGTGTGTATGAATGTATGTAAACAAAAATGCATTTATAATTGATGATGATGATGATGATGATGATGATGATGATGATGATGATGATGATGATGATGATGATGACGAATGGATGATAGTTATAATTATGATTATATTGATAATAATGATGATAGTAAGAATGATTATGATGATGATGATGATGATGATGATGATGATGATGATGATGATGAATGCATAATTATCATGATCATGGTAGTGATGATGATGATGATGATGATGATGATGATGATGATGATGATGATGATGATGATGATGATGATGATGATGATGTGTGTAAAGATGTGTGTATGGTTCTGTTTATTTGTCAATACATGTTGAAAAATATTTTGAAAAATAAAAAAAAAATAAAAAATACAACGTATGGTCACTATTCAATAAAGACAACGTATGGTCACTATTCAATACACTATATGGTCACTATTCAATAAATACACTATATGGTCACTATTCAATAAAGACAACGTATGGTCACTATTCAATCAAGACAACGTATTGTCACTATTCAATAAAGACAACGTATTGTCACTATTCAATAAAGACAACGTATGGTCACTATTCAATAAAGAAAACGTATGGTCACTATTCAATAAGTACACTATATGGTCACTATTCAAAAAAAGACAACGTATGGTCACTATTCAATAAATACACTATATGGTCACTACTGAATAAATACAACGTATGGTCACTATTCAATAAAGACAATGTATGGTCACTACTCAATAAATACACTATATGGTCACTATTCAAAAAAGACAATGTATGCTCACTATTCAATAAAGACAACGTATGGTCACTATTCAATAAAGACAACGTATGGTCACTATTCAATAGATACACTATATGGTCACTAATCAATAAAGACAACGTATGGTCACTATTCAATACACTATATGGTCACTATTCAATAAATACACTATATGGTCACTGTTCCATAAAGACAACGTATGGTCATTATTCAATAAAGACAACGTATGGTCACTATTCAATAAAGACAATGTATGGTCACTATTCAATAAAGAAAACGTATGGTCACTATTCAATTAGTACACTATATTGTCACTATTCAAAAAAGACAACGTATGGTCACTAATCAATAAATATACTATATGGTCACTATTCAAAAAAGACAACGTATGGTCACTATTCAATAAAAACAACGTATGGTCACTATTCAATAAAGAAACTATATGGTCACTATTCAATAAAGACAACGTATGGTCACTATTCAATAAAGACAACGTATGGTCACTATTCAATAAAGACAACTTATGGTCACCATTCAATAAAGACAATGTATGCTCACTATTCAATAAAGACAACGTATGGTCACTATTCAATAAAGACAACGTATGGTCACTATTCAATAAAGACAACGTATGGTCACTATTCAATAAAGACAACGTATGGTCACTATTCAATAAAGACAACGTATGGTCACTATTCAATAAAGACAACGTATGGTCACTATTCAAAAAAAGACAACGTATGGTCACTCTTCAATAAATACACTATATGGTCACTATTCAATAAAGACAACGTATGGTCACTATTCAATAAAGACAACGTATGGTCACTATTCAATAAAGACAACGTATGGTCACTATTCAATAAAGACAACGTTTGGTCACTATTCAAGAAAGACAACGTATGGTCACTACTCAATAAATACACTATATGGTCACTATTCAATAAATACTCTATATGGTCACTATTCAATAAATACTCTATATGGTCACTATTCAATAAAGAAAACACTATATGGTCACTATTCAATAAATACACTATATGGTCACTATTCAATAAAGACAACGTATGGTCACTATTCAATAAAGACAACGTATGGTCACTATTCAATAAAGACAACGTATTGTCACTATTCAAAAAAGACAACGTATGGTCACTATTCAATAAAGACAACGTATGGTCACTATTCAATAAAGAAAGACTATTCAATAAAGACAACGTATGGTCACTATTCAATAAATAGAACGTATGGTCACTATTCAATAAATACACTATATGGTCACTATTCAATAAAGACTATATGGTCACTATTCAATAAAGACAAGGTATGGTCACTATTCAATAAAGACAACGTATGGTCACTATTCAATAAATACACTATATGGTCACTATTCAATAAAGACAACGTATGGTCACTATTCAATAAAGACAACGTATGGTCACTATTCAATAAAGACAACGTATGGTCACTATTCAATAAAGACAACGTATTGTCACTATTCAATAAAGACAACGTATGGTCACTATTCAATAGACATTTATATTTTTACAGACACAGAAGCCGGCGAGAAAAAGGTGACAAATTTAAATCCTGAGAAAGTTAGGTAAGCTAATTAATGGGTCTCATTTGAATGCATCAAAAGAACGTGTTTCATCAATTACTGTGCATTTGAAGATGACTTTTATTGACTATTCTTAGTATTTCTGGTTATGAAACCTCCTATTCCCCACAGTCGATGTGATAAATGCAAATGTATTATTATATACACTTGACTGCAAATGAATGCAGCTTTCCACCACGTTATATTAAGTTTAACTATCATGATTTTTTATGTTCCCATAAGGGAGAGGATATTGTCCGTCCGTCCTTCTGTTCGTCCAGCCGTCCGTCTGTTTGTCTGTCCTTCTGTTTGTCCGCCAGTCTGTTTGTCTGTCGGTGATAATTTTGTCTGGAACATAACACAAACGCTCGGCAAGGAGAAGTGCAGTGTACACGAACCATCACTCTCTTTTGCGTAATTTAGGAATGATTGTCCTTTATTATTTCTCATACATATATTTCGTCTCATTCGGGGAGCATAACCCGTCTCTGACGGCCCTTATTAATTTCTGGATAGCAAGATCCTTGCAATATCAACCTATGGTATTTACATGTAGCAGTCGATTCGATATTTAAGGGCCTAGCTGTTCTCAATGTCACGATTTTCATGCAATATTACATCGAATGGCAAACTCCTAACACATTCTTCCGGAACATCTGGCTCCTTCTCCCTGTACCTTTTCAGTAGTTTCTGTATAAATCTGTCTTTTGTACATATTTTGCCTAAGTTTTTTTCTTTAAAGTAATGTTTGTTTTAATATTTCAACTTCCTTGATTATTTTATAATGTCGATGAGTGTCCGTATTCTGGAAAAGTACCACCGTACAAATGACCTTACACTTGACACATTGTACTGTAGACAACGTCGGGAACACTATAGTTGTCTCCATCACACTGCTACGCCATATGCTTGCAATGACTGCGTGGAAAATCTTCCAAGTCGTAGACGCAGTAGCACTAACATTATGACTTTATTCACTTCGGAGATTAGACGTTTTCATTGCCACGGACAGCGGCATCACAATCAATTTAACAAATATGTCGTCGTGTATGAAAATCTAATGGATACTTTACAGAAACCATAAGGTGTCCATGTCCACACTACATTATATTCTCGTCCACTCTCTGTGTTACAAAAACTTAGTGGATTCATCTGAAATCGCTTCAGGTGACCCGTGGAATCTAGCCTTAAGGCTTCATAAAATTATTGATGATATGGCACAAATAAGAGGTTTTAAACCTGTTTGTATTGATAACGGCGATTCTCCGATTTATGAAAGTTGAGTTAAAATACCCCTGTGATTTCCTAGTTAACCCAGGCCCATTGCATCCAGACTTTCAAGCTACAAAGAAACGCTGCAACACCTGAATGTAAATGACCTAAGCACTACCCATCCATCACTTATTCTTGTCCTACCTCTATATCTGTGGTCCAACTAGGCGCATAGTGACTGGTAATTAAAGCATTGTTATTTTTATGAAAGGTTCTAAATATCTTGAAACCCTGTCAATTAACTATCGTGAATTTTCCATCTCTGGATAGCAACATCCCTTCATCCCCATCCTTTAGTGAAAACATGTTGCAGTTGATTCAATATTCAAGGTCCTGTTCCTAATACCACGATTTTCATGTATGATGTTGTCCATTGACAGACTCATAAAACAGGATTTAAAAAGATGCCCGTTTCTGAAAATTATAGGCACGTTCGTCATAGAAATCTCGCTGAGATATGTTCTAATTCTTTGTGCGATATGAAACTCGACGTGTTTGATGTTTGTCAGTGGAATCCGTAAATGTATACTTTGTTCTAATCTGAAAAAGTGACATTACTTACCTAGACTGAACAAAATTTACATGGCGTTCGTCTTCAATGAAGCAGAAGACACTTGCTCTTCCGCAACACCTGGTCTTATTATTCTTGATCTTTTTCAGGAGTCTCCGTGTAAATTTGTTTGTTTGTTCATGTTCTATCCTAATTTGCCTGAATCTGAGTTTGGATTATGATTATGTTGACATGTTGGTATTTCCTTGTTTCTATTGATACATTTCTATCAAGAATACGATGGTGTTATAGCTATCATTGATACCAGACGCACAGGACGGCCTTCAACGTATATTTAACGATAAATTAAACCCAGGATTACAATGATTTTATATTTAACTGCGGTACATTATGCCAATAGATATAGCAATAATAGGATTTGCAGTTGGGAGTGATTTTTATATAAATCAACGATTAGAGTTGTCAAACAATGTCCATTTTGTATTTCAGAAACTTCCTGAAGAAGAGAACAGTTCACACAAAGCCAGATTTCAAATACATAAAATAACCAAGGTCATGCGCCTTTTGCGACAAACAAATATGGAACAACTTGCACTTCCATCAGGGAAAACAAAGAAAATCCGAAATTTTTTTTGAATTATTAAATTTGGAAATATTTCATTTTCTTGTGTGTTGTATGAAGTTGGCAGTGTTTGATGTTCGTAACTGTTCCTGGTGGTTTCAATTTTGTATACCTTGTTCTCATTCGGGGACGGTGACGTTAATTACTTGAATTGACCAATTGAAATGAGCATTATCTCAGAATCAGTGGAAGCTTACCCATCTGGAACACCTCGTTTTATTCTCCTTCAACTTTTTATGGAGTCTCTGGGAAAATCTTTGTTTTATTCATTCATATATTTTGTAATAAAGTTATAGAATTTAAGCTCTAATTAAGAATATGTTAACTTGTTGGTATTTTCTTGTTTTCCTTTTTAACTTACATTGTAAAATGAAAAGGTTTGTTAAATATAAATATGCCCTTAATTTTAACTTGATAGAAATTGAGAAAATAACAGTAGATGCATGTCTGAATAACATGTCAATCTGTATAGCGCATTGTATGTTTTTCCTGCAGCTTCAAATATTCCAGTGTGCATTATTTTTTTTAAAGATATGTAAGCAAAACTCTTTGTTACTTTGCAATTTTGCTTTCAGAAAGTTTTTTGGAGATTTAAAAAAAAAAAAAAAAATGTGATAAAAATGTTCATAAATTAACAAAGACAAAGTTTCCTAAAAGTTCATCCAAAGCATCATTGTGTAGGCATACCAATTTATTTAATTCTTAGCGATAAGATTTCAGTTACATTTGTGAAAACATAACTAAGCAAAATAAGTGACTGAAACACATGTGTAGACTTGGAACATCATTAAAAAAGGTCGGATTGAAAAGTAAGTGATTTTTTTTTAAAAAAGTACCTTTACGAACTAATCAATATAAAAGTTACTGTTCCCATCATCAACGACTTTAAAACTAGAGGGAACAGAAAACCGGATTCCGTGGAAAGTTTCACCGACATACAGTACATGAATTTTGGGATTAACTGATTCATCATCAGTAAATAGTGTTGTAATTAATCACGTGTACAACTGTTTTTCATATGATCTTTGCATGAATGAAAAAACAAGATGGAGTTATTTTGATTCTTTAATTTACTGACAGTGTATACTGCATTTACTCGGAAAACATTGGATTTAACCATTATGTTCTACAAATGATATAAAAGTTTATATAATAAACACTGTTCTATTGTGATTATTTCAAAAGTAAAATTAGAAACAATTTAAACAGCTTGAGTCAACTGCTCTAGATCAGAATATAATTTCTTGCCACACATGATACAAAGCAACTTATTCATATTGCTTATAACAATTTATACACATTATCCAGACAGTGTTCAAGTGGAGATACTGTCCCACTATCAAGCTAGTGTATACGTGACAGGTTGTCCCACTATCCAGACAGTGTTTAAGTGGAGATACTGTCCCACTATCAAGCCTGTAATTTAGGAACAGATTTTTCAGTTTTTGGGAAAAAAATCTTCCACCTTTCCTCTACTGAGGGAGAATGAAGCTGGATTGATTACTCTACAAGACACAGTACTGTACATCTGCAGCAGAATCATCAAAGACATATAATTTACCAAAATCATTTTTTCACTCCAGAGTGAACCTGTCAACAGAGATGATTACAAATTTAAATGTCAATATCCTGACACAAAACAAGAGGCCCTATGGGCATGCAATGCTCACCTGGTATACAAATACCAGCCAAATATCAAGCCTCTCAGCCTTTTAGATCACAAGAAGTAGTCATTTAAAACTTTTTTGAAAAGTTTGATCCCTGTTACCTTGAATTTAGGTCAAGGTCATTTCTTTGTCCAAACCATGTCGGGGTTCATCCTAGGAACATACCAGCCAAACATCAAAATATCTGGTCCATTGGTTATTTAGAAGAAGTCGTTTGAAGGAAAAAGTTGATGCCAGACGATAGACGGACGAGGGACCATGTGCCATAGCCAGGTGAGTTAAAAAAAACCTACAACTAGTCAGGTGTCTTATATATGGTATAACAAAATAAAACTTGTAAGGAAATTGTACAGCACTGTATCCGGCATTTAACAACACCGACTTGTGTACAGTAATGACACATATACCTGGTACAATGTACACAACATTTTTATAACACCAACTTGTGTACAGTATTGACACATATACCTGGTACAATGTACACAACATTTTTATAACACTGACTTGTGTACAGTATTGACACATATACCTGGTACAATGTACACAACATTTTTATAACACCAACTTGTGTACAGTATTGACACATATACCTGGTACAATGTACACAACATTTTTATAACACTGACTTGTGTAGAGTATTGACACATATACAATATTGTACCAGATGTTTTACACTGTGACACGTTTACACACATATAAACTTCAATGCAGATCTCAGGTTTATAGCATGTATAAAATGTAAACACAGAACCAGATCTAAGGTAGTTACCTGAGTAGTAAATACGAAGACAATTCTGAATGAAAATTTCACATCAAACCATTATAATCACATGATTAATGACATCATCAATAACCTAATTAATCTTATTCATTCACTGAAAAGACAATAGTAGGATGCTGTAATTTTTAGCATGTCTGATCACAAGAAACCCATCAGGTACATATCTAATAAAAAAATCTATTTGTAATAACAAGTATCACATCAAAGACCTGGTCAACCTACTTGTGATGAAAGAACTGGTCAGAATCTGACCGGGAATAAAGAGCTGTGAGACCTGAATGAAAGAGCACAAAGCATTACTGGGAATTCCACTTCCCTGTCATAACTTCATGACTGTTAGTATGTTTGAAAATTTTCACTGCTTTCTTTGTGTGTATTATCTTTATGGCTTGCTTCTTAAGCTATCCTTATGGGGCTGCTCGAGCTATGCTCAATACAGATTTATATATTGTTGGAATGGTCATTGAATGAAATCTATGATGATAATTACTGTAAAATTGCACGATCTCCCGGGAAATGTTATTTGCAAAACATGCAGGAAATTCATATAGGATTTGAAACTCTGATCATGATTACTTGTTCATGTGGCTTCAATTTATTGCAGCACATTTCAATCATAGGTATATCAATCAATGCTTCATTAACAAACAAACAAACAAAAAAAACAAAAAAGGAAAAAAAAAAGGAAAAAAGAAAAACAAAATGAAAAATGGTACACACACTTTTCTATACTTAAATTTCACATGATATTTTTGGTAACAGCTTTTTCATCCTCTACCAAAAACGATCAGTTATACTTTTTATATACATATATAAAATTACAATCTTCAGTTGCCCCTATCCTGATAATGACAACTATACCTTAAATGATGTCCTGTTGGAGTATTCTCTTAAAAATTTGAGCAAAATTTGTTTAGATTTTTTTTCATGAAAATGTGCCTAATAACAAGAGATACAATATAGGGTTTGGACTGCTCACCTGCCTTTGTTTGGCTGAAACTGTTTCGTCCAAACAAAAGGAAAAGGGATTCTAAGGGTTTAAATCTATTTTCTCCTGTCCAAGGGGTGTCAGCCAAACCATTGATGCTTAAGACTGTACCAGGATAGAATCCTGACATTTCTACAGAAGAAGGATATTAAAGAATCTGTTCTATTTCCCCTACTGGGTCCTGCTCCTTCCATCTCACTGTGTATACAAAAGGAATTCTCCTGAACCCAATAATACTTGATACCAAATCAGGATAGAATCTTGATTTTCCTACAGAAGAGGAAGGATTTTTGAGAATTTTCTCTTTTAGGCCCAATAATCCTGCCCCAAGGGGCCCCTAAGACCAACACATTACACAAAGTTGATTCCTTTCCTCCCAGGATGCTTCAGCCTAACTTGGGACAGAATCCTGGTATTTCTACAAAAGAAGATGGGGTTTGTGATGAGTGAGACAAATCGGTGGACCCAACATATGGTGTGGGTGATGGTTGTGTCACATCGGTGGAGTCAACAACAGATGAGGGTGATGATTGGTTAGTCACAGTAGTGGAATCAACATATGGATTTGTTGATTGGCTAGTCACAGTAGTGGAATCAACATATGGGGTTGTTGATTGGCTAGTCACAGTAGTGGGATCAACATATGGGGTTGTTGATTGGCTAGTCACAGTAGTGGAATCAACATATGGGGTTGTTGATTTGTTAATCACAGTAGTGGAATCAACATATGGGGTTGTTGATTGGCTAGTCACAGTAGTGGGATCAACATATGGGGTTGTTGATTGGCTAGTCACAGTAGTGGAATCAACATATGGGGTTGTTGATTGGCTAGTCACAGTAGGGGGATCAACATATGGGGTTGTTGATTGGTTAGTCACAGTAGTGGAATCAACATATGGGGTTGTTGATTGGCTAGTCACAGTAGTGGGACCAACATATGGGGTTGTTGATTGGCATTGGCTAGTCTAGTCACAGTAGTGGAATCAACATATGGGGTTGTTGATTGGCTAGTCACAGTAGTGGAATCAACATATGGGGTTGTTGATTGCTTAGTCACAGTAGTGGAATCAACATATGGGGTTGTTGATTGGTTAGGCACAGTAGTGGAACCAACATATGGATTTGTTGATTGGCAAGTCACAGTGGTGGAATCAACATATGGGGTTGTTGATTGGTTAGGCACAGTAGTGGAACCAACATATGGATTTGTTGATTGGCAAGTCACAGTGGTGGAATCAACATATGGGGTTGTTGATTGGCTAGTCACAGTAGTGGAATCAACATATGGGGTTGTTGATTGGCAAGTCACAGTAGTGGAATCAACATATGGGGTTGTTGATTGGTTAGGCACAGTAGTGGAATCAACATATGGGGTTGTTGATTTGTTAATCACAGTAGTGGAATCAACATATGGGGTTGTTGATTGCTTAGTCACAGTAGTGGAATCAACATATGGGGTTGTTGATTGGCTAGTCACAGTAGTGGAATCAACATATGGGGTTGTTGATTGGCAAGTCACAGTAGTGGAATCAACATATGGGGTTGTTGATTGGCTAGTCACAGTAGTGGAATCAACATATGGGGTTGTTGATTGGCAAGTCACAGTAGTGGAATCAACATATGGGGTTGTTGATTGCTTAGTCACAGTAGGGGGATCAACATATGGATTTGTTGATTGGCTAGTCACAGTAGTGGAATCAACATATGGGGTTGTTGATTGCTTAGTCACAGTAGTGGAATCAACATATGGGGTTGTTGATTGGCTAGTCACAGTAGTGGAATCAACATATGGGGTTGTTGATTGGCAAGTCACAGTAGGGGGATCAACATATGGGGTTGTTGATTGGCTAGTCACAGTAGTGGAATCAACATATGGGGTTGTTGATTGGCTAGTCACAGTAGTGGAATCAACATATGGGGTTGTTGATTGGCTAGTCACAGTAGTGGAACCAACATATGAAAGTGTTGATTGAACATATGGGGCAGACACATGGATGGACAGTGCATTCAATGAATTTGGAGACAACTGGTTCAGATTCACATGCACATTATTCAACATTTTGCTTTGGGCTTGATTTCCTCGTGTTGACACAGGTATCTTTGCTGTGTCTACTTTGCAGTAATCTGGTGTTCCAGATGAATTGTTTTCAGAATGTTCCTGTGACATAGTTACATTCTTGTTTGGGTGTACCTCTGTGGGTGAGATCACTCCCACGGCATGTAATCCTTCTGTAACATAGACTGGTCTTGGGTGAAATTCCCCTGCAAATCCAACTATTTGATGATTGTGATCAATGTGTACCCTACCAGGGTCTGATCTTTCCGAAGTTGTTGACCTATGTGATGTGCTTTGTATTATTGTGGAATAGTTTTCATTGCCTGAGGAATGAGTAGAATCAGGTTCAGTGCTGTCACTACTTGTTCCTGGTACTTTCTTGGTGAAGGGACTAGGGTTGTTCTCAGGGACGGGGCTTAGTCTGCTGGGGGACTCTGGTTCTGTAGATAAACTTTCACCTGTACCGCTGTCAATACTTATTTGGTTTTCTATTGGAGCTCTCCCCATGACTGGATTCGTCCGGCCATCAAGTCCCTACAAAAAAAATCAGATATATATCTTGCTTAAAAAATGATATTATATTCTTTTTATGGATGTGTGAACATTGGATAAAAATCCCTCAAAAAAAAAGTGATGATGACAATCCTCTGAGATAAGATAGTCTCTTATACACATGTCAAGTTTGATCAAAATCTCTTAAAGGATGGCTCCTGTTAGAATGCTGACAAGTGTTATATCATTTCATGGTTATTTGCATTGAGTGAGGATAGTGAGCACCTTGTTACATCATAAAGATTGTTTTTTCAAAATATTTTTCTGTTAACTTTGTTATTTGGCTGAAAAGGTAGTATGTACGTGGTTGTAATTACTTTATCATCTGTGTAATGACCTCATGTTTACTATTTGACATGGCCCTCTCCTAAGTCCTCCATTGGTCTACCATTCGTTAGGTGGGAATGATAGGCCGTGTACATAAGTGTGCTCCCATAGTGGTCAGCAGGGATCTGGTACCTGCATTGCTGGTAGCTCTTTTTCTCTTCTGAGTTTGTCAGAGGGAAATTCATTCTGGTTCTTTTCGTAGGATATGTTTCTATTGCAATACACGGTATTTAGAACAGGTTGGTAATGTTCGTTGTTGAAGGGGTGGCCATATAGTATGGCGCAGGTTGTTGAGTTTACTGTTCATCATCAACATTGGCAGTGTCAATAAATGTTGATGATGAACAACGAACATTACCAACCTGTTCTAAATACCGTGTATTGCAATAGAAACAAATCCTACGAAAAGAACCAGAATGGATTTCCCTTTGACCCACTCGGAAGAGAACGAGAGCTACCAGCAATGCAGATACCAGCTACGCCATTCCAGATTAAAGTAAATGTCACACACTTTCGGACTTGTAGCCAGTGTAATAGGCAAACCAAAAGAACATTGGAATACTTTACCATAGCATGACACAGATGAACTGTTTTTCACTCCTATTTACTTTTCAACATCAACATTTATTGACACTGTCATCCAATGACGGCTAGCCTAGCTGGTCTCAACGCATCGATGATACATTTAGAACTTCCAATTTACATTTGAAAACTGTTACAGAACATTTTAATTACTTTATAAACAGCATCGCTGTATCACTTTTGCATTTTATATAATCTTTGCTACCTTTGTTCCTTTACTTTGTATAGTGTAACGAAGTGTATTGTTATCATCACGTGATCAAGACAATGCATTATTACGTCATGGCTGAACTGTAATTTTAAGCTTAGCTATGCCGATACTTGTACCGCCGTTCTGATGACGGCTAGCCTAGCTAGTCGAAACATGTCAACGAAATAAAATTACCGATCACGGAATCCTTGGTGTTGATGCTCCATCCTCTATTTAGTTAGTAATGTATTTTTGTATATGTCACCAGTGTAATATACCCTGACTTTCCATTGGTCAGTCAGAAACAGATTGTAATTGATAATACAGATATTGATGCTATATCAAGAGTTGAAAACAGTGCATCATGCATACCAACATACCATATTTTTCATTTTTATTTCAAACTTGTCAAACAGTAACTTTTTGAAGTTATATGATAAAAATTATCTCCAATGCTTGCAAATCTAAACATTTTTTCAGTTACATTTCATACAATCACAGATGAAAGTCATTTAAGATCTTATAAGTATGGTTCATCAATAGATACATTTCTTTTTTATCAAACACGTAGCCCCTCATTTATCAATCAACATGCATTATAAACTTCATCACCACAATGGTTTCTGCAATTCTATGACAGAAGATATTCTTAACATATACACTACATATCTAGATAAAAATAAATGTGACGTAAAAATTCTGTAAGAATAAAGGTTAGTTACTGATATAAACAAATCACAACAGTATATAGCTAGGAGAAGTGAGGAGGTGATCACTGCTTGGTTAATTTGATTCAAGATATTGCAGGAAAGAAAAGACATTATGATGGACTCCAAACATCAAAGGACCATAACTCCAATAAAAAGGCAGAGATCAGTCTCAAGTCAACCTTGATCTCTAAACAGTTATGATGAAGCCTTATGTATCATTTCTGATTCAAAACTTACAAGCAAACTCAGAAATAAAGATTATCATTGTTTAATGCTAACAAGGTTGGAAGGATCAAAAATTGCATATAACAAGAGGCCTACAGGGCCTGTTTCGATAACCTGGTATCTTTTTATCATGCTCAATTTATATAAACTGGAGGGAAAGGATATTTAAAGTTTAGCCCTATTTTAAGCTTTTTTGACTATTTAACCTCTCAGACACGTCAATCTTGCTACTGGGTCTTACAATCCATTTATAAAAAATTGAGTCCCCTTCTAGAAATGCTTCTGACCAATTTGGTCAAAATACCCCATCCCACCAGTAGAGGGTTTTTAAATTGATTCCTCTACATTGCCTACTTGGCCCCACTCCTCTGCCCTAAGGAACATCAAACCTATTGTTTATAAAAAATGAGTAGATGCAGATTCATGACAAATGAAATAGGATTCTAAAGTGATATCTTTGTTTTCTCTCCTTGGCCTTGTCCTTCTGGCCCAATGGGTATTAAACCCATTGTTTACACAATATTGAATCTGCCCTATCCAAGGCTGCTTCTGACCGAATTGGGATAAAATTCTGTCATTCCTTTGGAAAAAAATTTCAAGAATTTGCGAAGTTCCCTATTGTAACATCCTTCCCTCCCTCTGATTCCTGGGGCAAACCTGACATAAAGTTTATATATAAAACTGGTTCTACTAACCTGAAGAAAACTTCAAACCAAGTTTTGGTAAACTCAGCTCAGCAAGTTAAAGTTAAGGGATGATTGTATTATGGGTGATTTGCATGGCATAATTTTCCTGGTCCTTTGTATCAGCTAAACAGATGGTCTAATCTAGTATGGCTAACCCTTTATGAAGCCACACACCCATTTTACAATTCTAAAGCATAACAGAGAAAGAGGCCATTAGCTGTTAATTACTTACTTACACATTTACTCTGTCATGACAGAATTTTCTCCTTCAATAAAGCTCATAAGTATTACAAATGTTCCATGATTTGTCCATGACAAAGACCAGAGATATTGTTTGATCAAACATCACTTCGGCACATTATTTCATCTTTTCAGCAGATGATCTCATCTCTCAGACCGATGATCTCATCTCTCTGGCAGATGATCTCATCTCTCTGGCAGGTGATCTCATCTCTCTGGCAGGTGATCTCATCTCTCTGGCAGATGATTTCATCTCCGAGAGAAATTAAAAATATAATAATGCTTTCTAAAGAAGCTATTCCAAAAGCGATGTCAACAGGTCAACTATGGTTTTCCAGCACAAGTGAAAAATTCAAACAGAGACAAGACATAAACCTTTACATGTTAATAATACAAAGTTGAAATATTCATGTGATATATATTTATTCATTAGTCATGGGTCAAATAGGTCAGAGGACATGGGTTAAATTAGAAAGAGGAAACAGATTCAGGAACATATTTCTGCACCTTATTCTCAGAAATCTTACCTTGAAATCCAGCTGATATGTACAAGTGGTCTCCAACAAAGCTGGATGGCAATCAAAAATGGGCTTGTTTTTCTGGTTAGAAATACCAACAGTGGATTTACGAGAAAACTAAAACTAACTCAACACTTGACTTTGTGACACTGATGATAACATCAATTAACAACAGCCACACCTTTCTATACCTAACTTGTCTGGGTGTACAACATAAGTAGAGGTGAGTTTGAGCTGATATATTTCAATTTGTACATTTTTTTCAACCATTTGCTCAATTTAACATAAATCAGTACAACAGAGTACAAATGATGTAGCTTGTTGAAATATTCTCAAAATAAACACTCTACGATATCATGAAGGCACAGAGTCAGTTTCTGTCTCAAGATGTTAAGAGTGACAGACCAAATGGATTAAATCAGCTCTGAAAAAAATCAAATGCTGCATGCTTGTTTCATACACTCTAGGCATTGAGCTCTCAGGTCATCTAAAATCACTTCATGAAGTGTTTGTTTGTGACTGAAAGGTTAAGCAACAGCCTTTCCGTACGTGTAAGAAATGATGTGCAAAGAGTGGTGAAAATGTGATTTAGTGAAATACAGATTTTGAGGTGATGAAATACAGACACTGAGGTGGTGAAAATGTGATTTAGTAAAATACGGACTCTGAAGTGGTGAAAATGTGATTTAGTGAAATACAGACTCTGAGGTGGTGAAAATGTGATTTAGTAAAATACAGACTCTGAGGTGGTGAAATACAGACACTGAGGTGGTGAAATACAGACACTGAGGTGGTGAAAATGTGATTTAGTAAAATACAGACTTTGAGGTGGTGAAAATGTGATTTAGTAAAATACAGACACTGAGGTGGTGAAAATATGATTTAGTAAAATACAGAGTCTTAGGTGGTGAAACACAGACTCTAAAGTGTTGAAATGGACTTGAGTAGGTGACATAATGAAACAGATAACATAAAAGAATTTAGGTGACTAAAGATGACATTGTCTAGACAAAAAGAGACATTTCTACTACTTTCTGGGTATGACTGACCACATCTATTTATGTAATTCTATTACTTTCTGGGTATGACTGACCACATCTATTTGTGAAATTCTATTACTTTCTGGGTATGACTGACCACATCTATTTGTATAATTCTATTACTTTCTGGGTATGACTGACCACATCTATTTGTATAATTCTATTACTTTCTGGGTATGACTGACCACATCTATTTGTATAATTCTATTACTTTCTCTGTATGACTGACCACATCTTTGCTTAAAGAACAAAAAATATCACATCAAGTACTTTTAGAGTAAGATGATTCATTTAGACAGAATAACTGATACAATACATAAGAGAGTATTGTGATAAGAAATATTTTTGCTATACACATGGAATCTAACCAAGCAGAGCTATGCTTTACAGTATGTTACTGTTGTTTCTATTTCATCCTGTTATATGCATTATGATGTCCCCAAATGAAAAGGCAGAGAATGAAAATAATGCCAATTTGTTTTTGTTTCAGTTTGAAAAAAAAGCCATTTTCAGAAATGGTGATAAAGTAAGTGACCTGATAAACAGAATCTCACATTTGTGTAAATTTCATAAAAATGAAACTCATGAAAGATCCTGTATTTTTCAAGACTTGTCATAGGGATTATCACGGGCAGTAATATAAAAGATAGAAGAACAATTTATGCAGCGGTCTTTCTCTTTTGGATATGAAATTCCAGTACTTGCCATGTAACTTTGTAGTATGGGAGGTAACATCTACTAAAGTAAATCAAGTTTTGTAGCAGTCTTTTCTGTTTGGTTGTTCAATCACTGTACTTACCTCATGTTTAGGTCGAAGTAAAGCCTCATTGGAATCAGTGGGTGGATCTGAATCTGAGTCTTCAGCCTTTAACATAAAAAAACAAATTTACAGAATACAGCTATATACTGTGATGTTACAACAAGGAGGTTATACCAATGCTTTTTCCCCCAAAAAATTGATCATTGCACTCTAATTTTCTTTTCTTATCATGATTTGAATATTGTACACTTAAGAATCTCACTACATACTAAATGAGAAAGAATCTATGAATTAAACTGGTCTTGCTTCATGTCCACCAATAACTCAGTATCAACATTGTGTCCATCACTCCTAACTCAGTATCAACATTGTGTCCATCACTCCTAATTCAGTATCAATATTGTGTCCATCACTAACTCAGTATCAACATTGTGTCCATCACTCCTAACTCAGTATCAACATTGTGTCTATCAATAACTCAGTATCAACATTGTGTCCATCACTCCTAACTCAGTATCAACATTGTGTCCATCACTAACTCAGTATCAACATTGTGTCCATCACTCCTAACTCAGTATCAACATTGTGTCCATCACTCCTAACTCAGTATCAACATTGTGTCCATCACTAACTCAGTATCAACATTGTGTCCATCACTCCTAACTCAGTATCAACATTGTGTCCATCACTCCTAACTCAGTATCAACATTGTGTCCATCACTAACTCAGTATCAACATTGTGTCCATCACTAACTCAGTATCAACATTGTGTCCATCACTCCTAACTCAGTATCAACATTGTGTCCATCACTAACTCAGTATCAACATTGTGTCCATCACTCCTAACTCAGTATCAACATTGTGTCCATCACTAACTCAGTATCAACATTGTGTCCATCACTCCTAACTCAGTATCAACATTGTGTCCATCACTAACTCAGTATCAACATTGTGTCCATCACTAACTCAGTATCAACATTGTGTCCATCACTCCTAACTCAGTATCAACATTGTGTCCATCACTCCTAACTCAGTATCAACATTGTGTCCATCACTCCTAACTCAGTATCAACATTGTGTCCATCAATAACTCAGTATCAACATTGTGTCTATCACTAACTCAGTATCAATATTGTGTTTATCACTGGCTCCTATTTCGTTTGAGAAATATTGATGAGTTCATTACCCTAATAGGCAGGTCAGGTGTGTCAAACTCAAATGGTTTTGTAGCTTGTTTGTATTTCTGCTTCAACAATCTGAAATAACAAAAACAATAGTATCACTGTTCTGCTACTTCAGCAATATGATAATATTTTTGTTACCATAGCAATGTGATTACATTTTTGTTACCATAGCAATGTGATTACATCTTTGTTACCATAGCAATGTGATAACATCTTTGTTACCATAGCAATGTGATTACATTTTTGTTACCATAGCAATGTGATTACATCTTTGTTACCATAGCAATGTGATTACATTTTTGTTACCATAGCAATGTGATTACATCTTTGTTACCATAGCAATGTGATTACATCTTTGTTACCATAGCAATGTGATAACATCTTTGTTACCATATTTTTTACTATGTTATAAATATTTAACTTAATATATTGAAAATGAAGACATTTGTTTATTACCTGCAGAGACATGAAAATCCAGCAATGATGAAGATCACCACAAACAAGCTAGATATTACAATTACAACAATGATGCCTTTGGAAATGTCTGAAAAATAAAATTTAAATTTAACTTATTCTAAACAAATATGACATGTTTGAAGGGAAGTCTGAAGCTTAGCAAACATGGGGGCTAGGACATACATAAAAATGTAGTTAAAAAAAATGTGGAACAATCAAGTGAAAGGTTTTTAGGAGTATATTTGATATATATGAAAGCATTTTCTTAAATGATACAGATTGGCATGGAGACTACGTGACATACTCTACAAATCAAGGAAAGTGATATACAACGAAACACATATCTAAGGACAAAGCCCTTTGATGTTTGACTGGAAATACAACATGAATCAACATCAAACTACTTCCAACAGAATATCTTGGACTTGAGTGTTCTGATACATTCTGTTACCCATAGCTGTATTTATCAACTTAAAAATGGACATCTTTATAACATTTTGAAATTTTTCTTGTGGACAACTTTTTTTGAGTAATTGTAAGCATGAATCAGTTAAAAACATCAACTATTTCAATGTTTTCTAGGTTGCACATTACCTACAGTCTAATACTGTTGGTGTACACACAGATCAACATAACCTACAGTCTATCACTATTGGTGTACACACAGATCAACATAACCTACAGTCTATCACTATTGGTGTACACACAGATCAACATAACCTACAGTCTATCACTATTGGTGTACACACAGATCAACATAACCTACAGTCTACCACTGTTGGTGTACACACAGATCAACATAACCTACAGTCTACTACTGTTGGTGTACACACAGATCAACATAACCTACAGTCTATCACTATTGGTGTACACACAGATCAACATAACCTACAGTCTGCCACTGTTGGTGTACACACAGATCAACATAACCTACAGTCTACCACTGTCGGTGTACACACAGATCAACATAACCTACAGTCTACCACTGTTGGTGTACACACAGATCAACATAACCTACAGTCTACCACTGTTGGTGTACACACAGATCAACATAACCTACAGTCTACCACTGTTGGTGTACACACAGATCAACATAACCTACAGTCTACCACTGTTGGTGTACACACAGATCAACATAACCTACAGTCTACCACTGTTGGTGTACACACAGATCAACATAACCTACAGTCTACCACTGTTGGTGTACACACAGATCAACATAACCTACAGTCTACCACTGTTGGTGTACACACAGATCAACATAACCTACAGTCTACCACTATTGGTGTACACACAGATCAACATAACCTACAGTCTAAGACTATTGATGTACACACAGATCAACATAACCTACAGTCTACCACTGTTGGTGTACACACAGATCAACATAACCTACAGTCTACCACTGTTGGTGTACACACAGATCAACATAACCTACAGTCTAAGACTATTGAAGTACACACAGATCAACATAACCTACAGTCTACCACTGTTGGTGTACACACAGATCAACATAACCTACAGTCTACCACTGTTGGTGTACACACAGATCAACATAACCTACAGTCTACCACTATTGGTGTACACACAGATCAACATAACCTACAGTCTACCACTGTTGGTGTACACACAGATCAACATAACCTACAATCTACCACAAACAGATCAACATAACCTACAGTCTACCACTGTTGGTGTACACACAGATCAACATAACCTACAGTCTACCACTATTGGTGTACACACAGATCAACATAACCTGCAGTCTAACACTATTGATGTACACACAGATCAACATAACCTACAGTCTACCACTGTTGGTGTACACACAGATCAACATAACCTACAGTCTACCACTGTTGGTGTACACACAGATCAACATAACCTACAGTCTATCACTATTGGTGTACACACAGATCAACATAACCTACAGTCTACCACAAACAGATCAACATAACCTACAGTCTACCACTATTGGTGTACACACAGATCAACATAACCTACAGTCTACCACTGTTGGTGTACACACAGATCAACATAACCTACAGTCTACCACTATTGGTGTACACACAGATCAACATAACCTACAGTCTACCACTGTCGGTGTACACACAGATCAACATAACCTACAGTCTACCACTGTTGGTGTACACACAGATCAACATAACCTACAGTCTACCACTATTGATGTACACACAGATCAACATAACCTACAGTCTACCACTATTGATGTACACACAGATCAACATAACCTACAGTCTACCACAAACAGATCAACATAACCTACAGTCTACCACTATTGATGTACACACAGATCAACATAACCTACAGTCTACCACAAACAGATCAACATAACCTACAGTCTGCCACTGTTGGTGTACACACAGATCAACATAACCAACAGTCTATCACTATTGGTGTACACACAGATCAACATAACCTACAGTCTGCCACTGTTGGTGTACACACAGATCAACATAACCTACAGTCTACCACTGTTGGTGTACACACAGATCAACATAACCTACAGTCTAAGACTATTGGTGTACACACAGATCAACATAACCTACAGTCTACCACAAACAGATCAACATAACCTACAGTCTACCACTGTTGGTGTACACACAGATCAACATAACCTACAGTCTACCACTATTGGTGTACACACAGATCAACATAACCTACAGTCTACCACCGTTGGTGTACACACAGATCAACATAACCTACAGTCTAAGACTATTGATGTACACACAGATCAACATAACCTACAGTCTACCACTATTGATGTACACACAGATCAACATAACCTACAGTCTACCACAAACAGATCAACATAACCTACAGTCTACCACTATTGATGTACACACAGATCAACATAACCTACAGTCTACCACAAACAGATCAACATAACCTACAGTCTGCCACTGTTGGTGTACACACAGATCAACATAACCAACAGTCTATCACTATTGGTGTACACACAGATCAACATAACCTACAGTCTGCCACTGTTGGTGTACACACAGATCAACATAACCAACAGTCTACCACTATTGGTGTACACACAGATCAACATAACCTACAGTCTAAGACTATTGGTGTACACACAGATCAACATAACCTACAGTCTACCACAAACAGATCAACATAACCTACAGTCTACCACTGTTGGTGTACACACAGATCAACATAACCTACAGTCTACCACTATTGGTGTACACACAGATCAACATAACCTACAGTCTACCACCGTTGGTGTACACACAGATCAACATAACCTACAGTCTACCACCGTTGGTGTACACACAGATCAACATTACATAATCTAAATCTTACCATTATTTGTAGGTGTTCCATACTTCATCCCACTAAGACGACTAGATTGTGATGAAGAAGAGCTCAACATTCTAACACCATACCGTACATCCTTCTCCAGGTTGCTGATGATGTATTCTGTCTTTGCTGTGGATGGGATTACCTTCATCTGTTCTTGTCCTATAGAAAAATGATTCATATTTGCTTTGCATACAAAATAAACTAAACAAAAGCAATGATCAAAATATAATTAATTTGATTGCTTTTATATGGATATACTGGACATCCCTACACTACACAATGTTGTCTGTGTACCAGTCATCCCTACACTACACAATGTTGTCTGTGTACCAGTCATCCCTACACTACACAATATTGTCTGTGTACCAGTCATCCCAACACTACACAATGTTGTCTGTGTACCAGTCATCCCTACACTACACAATGTTGTCTGTGTACCAGTCATCCCTACACTACACAATGTTGTCTGTGTACCAGTCATCCCTACACTACACAATGGTGTCTGTGTACCAGTCATCCCTACACTACACAATGTTGTCTGTGTACCAGTCATCCCTACACTACACAATGTTGTCTGTGTACCAGTCATCCCTACACTACACAATGTTGTCTGTGTACCAGTCATCCCTACAATACACAATGTTGTCTGTGTACCAGTCATCCCTACACTACACAATGTTGTCTGTGTACCAGTCATCCCTACACTACACAATGGTGTCTGTGTACCAGTCATCCCTACACTACACAATGTTGTCTGTGTACCAGTCATCCCAACACTACACAATGTTGTCTGTGTACCAGTCATCCCTACACTACACAATGTTGTCTGTGTACCAGTCATCCCAACACTACACAATGTTGTCTGTATACTCACCACTACACTGATCCTCCTGTTTATATTTTGTAGGACACCATGTAATAGTAAAACTTATGACATATGGCTGTTTGTTGTTGCATGTTGAAGGATCCCAATCCACCCGTAGACTGTTATCTCCAATACTGTCCTCTACAGTGAACTCTGGTGTAGTTGGTGCTGTAGAATAATGATATCAAATTACAATAAAAAAAACATAACACATTGAAATAAAAAAGTGACAACGTAAACACAGCTCTCAAGCATGACAACACTGGTATCTCATTAAACAGTGCCTTTACTTTCAGTGACAACGTAAACACAGCTCTCAAACATGACAACACTGGTATCTCATTAAACAGTGCCTTTACTTTCAGTGACAACGTAAACACAGCTCTCAAACATGACAACACTGGTATCTCATTAAACAGTGCCTTTACTTTCAGTGACAACGTAAACACAGCTCTCAAACATGACAACACTGGTATCTCATTAAACAGTGCCTTTACTTTCAGTGACAACGTAAACACAGCTCTCAAACATGACAACACTGGTAACTCATTAAACAGTGTCCTTACTTTCAGTGACAACGTAAACACAGCTCTCAAACATGGCAGCATTGGTAAGTCCATCCCTAATGACTGACACACCAAACAGGTACGTTGTGTTGGATGTCAGAGACAAAGTTTGGGAACGTGTGTAGGAGCCTGGAACATCCACCTTCTCTAAATCACCCTGTCAACAAGATATGGTAATATACAGTAAAGTTTGAGCTACCTCTGATCATTTATCATTTACTGTAATATAGATAAAACAGTGGAATTTGAGCTACCTCTGATCATTTATCATTTACTGTAATATAGATAAAACAGTGAAGTTTGAGCTACCTCTGATCATTTATCATTTACTGTAATATAGATAAAACAGTGGAATTTGAGCTACCTCTGATAATTTATCATTTACTGTAATATAGATAAAACAGTGGAGTTTGAGCTATCTCTGATAATTTATCATTTACTGTAATATAGATAAAACAGTGGAGTTTGAGCTATCTCTGGTAGTTTATCATGAATTCAAGGACCTGTTAAGTATAGACCAGTGTACCATGGACCTGTGTACCAATATGACCTGTATACCATGGACCTGTGTACCAATATGACCTGTGTACCATGGACCTGTGTACTGAGGACCTGTGTACCATGAAGGACTATGGAATCACAGTATTACAGACTGTGTTCAGATTGTACTTACAATACAGCTTTGTTGTGAACCAAGCTGCTTACAATAAACCACACTGAAACTGATGAGGGAGTCTACATGCCAAGGGACAGTCCAGGAAACATTGTAGAGTGAATTATTACGCTCCACCATAACAACAGGTAAGGAAGTACCTGAAATACAATAAAAATACACAATTTATAACAATACAAATTCCATATGTAAAGAATTTGTTGTTATTAATGTTAAATCAAAACCTGTTAAAATTGTCCAGTTGAGGATTAAAGAGGCCTTCAAATCTTTCCCAAAAACGTACAAAAAATTGTCAGTGTTTCACCAGAAATATCCATAACAAACTATCACTGTCAAAATCAGAAAAGGCCATGTTGTTTTCTTCAGATCAGTCAGAAAATGACAAAATGCACAACAAGGGGCCATTTACCTGTGTTACTTACCTGTGGTGTTGATGATGAGACTGGAGTGGTGTGGTGAGTACCTGTGTTACTTACCTGTGGTGTTGATGATGAGACTGGAGTGGTGTGGTGAGTACCTGTGTTACTAACCTGTGGTACTGATGATGAGACTGGAGTGGTGTGGTGAGTACCTGTGTTACTTACCTGTGGTGTTGATGATGATGAGACTGGAGTGGTGTGGTGAGTACCTGTGTTACTTACCTGTGGTGTTGATGATGAAACTGGAGTGGTGTGGTGAGTACCTGTGTTACTTACCTGTGGTGTTGATGATGAGACTGGAGTGGTATGATGAGTACCTTTGTTACTTACCTGTGGTGTTGATGATGAGACTGGAGTGGTGTGGTGAGTACCTGTGTTACTTACCTATGGTGTTGATGATGAGACTGGAGTGGTGTGGTGAGTACCTGTGTTACTTACCTGTGGTGTTGATGATGAGACTGGAGTGGTTTGGTGAGTACCTGTGTTACTTACCTGTGGTGTTGATGATGAGACTGGAGTGGTGTGGTGAGCACCTGTGTTACTTACCTATGGTGTTGATGATGAGACTGGAGTGGTGTGGTGAGTACCTGTGTTACTTACCTGTAGTGTTGATGATGAGACTGGAGTGGTTTGGTGAGTACCTGTGTTACTTTCCTGTGGTGTTGATGATGAGACTGGAGTAGTGTGGTGAGTACCTGTGTTACTTACCTGTGGTGTTGATGATGAGACTGGAGTGGTGTGGTGAGTACCTGTGTTACTTACCTGTGGTGTTGATGATGAGACTGAAGTGGTGTGGTGAGTACCTGTGTTACTTACCTGTGGTGTTGATGATGAGACTGGAGTGGTATGATGAGTACCTTTGTTACTTACCTGTGGTGTTGATGATGAGACTGAAGTGGTGTGGTGAGTACCTGTGTTACTTACCTGTGGTGTTGATGATAAGACTGGAGTGGTGTGGTGAGTACCTGTGTTACTTACCTGTGGTGTTGATGATGAAACTGGAGTGGTGTGGTGAGTACCTGTGTTACTTACCTGTGGTGTTGATGATGAGACTGAAGTGGTGTGGTGAGTACCTGTGTTACTTACCTGTGGTGTTGATGATAAGACTGGAGTGGTGTGGTGAGTATCCCTTATTTGTAGCTGCACTGATAGAAACATTGTAGAGTTTGTCACAAAGAAGCCTCAGGTTGACTGAATTGTTCTCTGTGTTTTTAACAATAACCTCTGTAGCTATTCCTCCCGGAGAGAAGTGAGCATAGGACACCATGTAATTTGTGATCACACCATTCCTGTCCACCTCCGGTAGAGACTGAAGCAATAAACAACAAGCATCAACTTTAATATCCTTTACATTGCAGAGTAATCAAATAGGTATCACTCACCTAGTTTTATTTGTAAAACAAATGTATTAATGATTTCAAATACAGAATCGATAAAATATCCTCAATTTATTGACAAATAACTTGGAATAATGCGATATTTTTCTTCGTTATCAATTAATTCATCACAAGACATAAGAGGACTGACTCTGTGTCTTTCCTGTTTGGAAATCCTTCAGGAAAATAAATATCCATGAATAGTTTTTTGAAGTGTTTGGAGGTAAAGTTGAAGCATAAAAGGCCAGATAGAGTCTGAATAGGTCATCTCAACACTTTGTGTCATAGATTCAAAAAATAAATTACAGATTTAAACAATATTATCTTTCATCAATACAAACCTATGTAATAGCACTTGGGTTTTTATAGTGTGATACCAGAAACTTTAAATATACAAAGTTTTATTTCAAATTTGTACTGTTACATTTTATTGTGAAATCAATGGAACAGTTTAAAAGAGACCTTTAGTGACCACTGATAAGTATCAGTCTGTTTAAGTTTTTATTTTTATAACATGTACCTGATGCCACGTAAACAAAGAATGTGTTTTTTGAAAACGTAATATTGATCAATCATAGTAACCACGGAATATGATTGTCATAAAACACAATATCAAATGAATTATAGTAATATGGCGGGTGAAAAAGGGACAGGTTGTTAGATCAGAGAAGGAGGAAGAAAGTAATTAAAAATATATTGGAAAGAGATATATCAGCAAATAGACGACCAGACCACACTCAGTGGCTGGATTTCAAAGAGAATGAAATGTGTGGTGATGTCTGTGTGAGGGTTGCTGGACAATAGTGTGTGGATGCAAGGTCCATTTAGTGTAATTAATTGATAGATGCAATCTGGAACCTTAAACTGAGAGTGGACATCAAAAAGGCTTTATTCAGATAGGTTAGTCCCACCTCTTCCATATACAACTGACCAATAGGATAAGAGAATTGAGCTTGTGTAGGAATGACAGGAGACTGTCTTGGTATATTAGATGAGATAGATAGAGAGATCGAGAGAAGCCCGGACACATCAGAAAAGTGAGAGAGAGATCAGAAGGAGAGAGATACAACATTGCTGTACAAGATAGCAAAACGGAAGCTACAAATAAAACCGAAGTGGAACAGTATATCTGTCTTATCCGTATGTTAATTTCCCTGTGGCACATCAAACAAGAACAATGTAGGGCACACGGTCACAGTAACGACGGAATATGGTTTTATAAAACACAATATCAACTCAATTATAGTAACCACATAATATGGTTTTATAAAACACAATATTAAATAAATTATAGTAACCACATAATGTGATTTTATAAAACACAATATCAACTCAATTATAGTAACCACATAATGTGATTTTATAAAACACAATATCAAATAAATTATAGTAACCACATAATGTGATTTTATAAAACACAATATCAAATAAATTATAGTAACCACATAATGTGATTTTATAAAACACAATATCAACTAAATTATAGTAACCACATAATATGGTTTTATAAAACACAATATTAAATAAATTATAGTAACCACATAATGTGATTTTATAAAACACAATATCAACTCAATTATAGTAACCACATAATGTGATTTTATAAAACACAATATCAACTAAATTATAGTAACCACATAATGTGATTTTATAAAACACAATATCAACTCAATTATAGTAACCACATAATGTGATTTTATAAAACACAATATCAAATAAATTATAGTAACCACATAATGTGATTTTATAAAACACAATATCAAACAAATTATAGTAACCACATAATGTGATTTTATAAAACACAATATCAACTAAATTATAGTAACCACATAATATGGTTTTATAAAACACAATATTAAATAAATTATAGTAACCACATAATGTGATTTTATAAAACACAATATCAACTCAATTATAGTAACCACATAATGTGATTTTATAAAACACAATATCAACTAAATTATAGTAAGTACTGATTAGGTTTTTTATCAAACACAATCTTACTACAAGATCTACTTTGATAGAATTTACCTTCCAAAATACTGTAGTAACAGTTTCAGCAGGAGTCTCTCTTTTCTGGGCACAGAGCTCTACAGACTGTCTGTATGCCACGATTTCAGGGGCTGTTCTAGGAACTAGCAAGTGAAACAAGTGGAATAAGATGAAAATCTACTGATGATTGAGCAGAGCACTGGATTCTCTCAAGCACGGATCTTGAGAAGAAGATTTTAAAAACTTTTAGTCAGTCTGACCCCTTTTGGTTTTGTCCATCAGTTCCTTAGGGTCAGCCAGGGTCAACATGTGCACTCTATCTACCTGTCATCCTACGCTAATAATTCAAATCAAGTTTGGATTTATTTTCAATTGACAAAAACAACTTATGCTCAAAAGTGTAATGTTCCTACTTATACTATAGTAAACTTGCTTCCCTCCTTAGGATGGGAAGTAAAACCCAAAATTACACAAAAAAAAACAAGAGTGCCGTCGACACAATAAAACCGCCACATTGAGCAAGTTTTATGAAAATCTGATGATTAGTTTAGGAGGAGTTGCGTTCACAAGGCTCCACTATGAGCAAGCTACAGATACAAAGTTGAAAATGGCATAAATCTTACAAAACTTAACGAACAAAAAAGTCACCCCTTCATGCACATCTACCCACTGTAGTAGTGACATTGAGCAAGTTTCATGAAAATCTGATGATTAGTTTAGGAGGAGTTGCGTTCACAAAAAATGGATGTACAGACAGACGTACTGACGTACGGACAGACAGACAGAGAAGATGATGCCAATATACGACCGCTTTTGGCGGCGTATAAAAAAACCCCAGAAATTTCATTTAATCGATTTGGCGGATTCAGATATCCCGTACTGTAGTGTGATAATATTTCTGGTTTCAATGGACGAAACACAAAACTTGGAAGTAAGATGTTGGCTTCTGCTGTCACCAATTGGAAAATTAACACTACAATCTCTATTCCAGAGCTTTTTATCACAAATGAAACAAAATATTGATCCATGAGAACAAGCCAAATTAAGACAATAGCAAAATGTTACATGTGTAGCCTTGTGAAATTAAGCAAGACACCCAGAGGGTCTATTTCACTTACATGGATATTCTGCCATTCACATTAAATTATATCAAGAATTTCCTGAAGGAGATATTCTGAAGCTTCAAATCAAAATGTAATAAAATTTCTTCATCCAAACAGATGAAGCATACTTATTAAGATATTCACCTCTATTTCCCCTCCTTGTCCCCTGGATGATCTGATGAGCAGTTTATGCAACACTTACCTCCCATAACCCAAATTTTGATGAAATTTTTTCATTCTTACAAAAAAAAAGAATTTTTAAAAATTGCTACATATCCTTTATTTGTCTTATCTCCTTGACCCATGTGTTCACCGATGCCAGTCAGTTAATCTTAACCAATTTTTAAAAATTGCCACATATCCTTTATTTGTCAAACTAAACATAATACAGTTTGTTGATTTTAATGAAACAAAGAAAACCTGATTATTTAAACAAGAAGAAATCATTTCAACAAAAGAAATATAGATGACATACTATCTTGGTCTGTACGAATGTGAATAGTGACTGGGTCACTCCGGTAGCCCTTAACTTCTGTAACTCTGCCAGGATGGACAGTGATAGTGAACTTGTACTCAGTGTAAGGGGTAAGCTGACAGACAGTCGCATTGTCTTCATCAGTCTCCACCTGATAAAATAACATATACACACTTGTTATAATAATCATTTCATAAAGATTACATTATAACAAAGGGGCATAACTTTCCAAAAAGGGGAGATAACTTATATTGATATAGATTTTGCACATTCAGAATGTATAATGATTATAGCCAGTATCACTGAAATAAATTCAATAGTTTAGGAGAAGTATATGGAACATCCTTGCATCTACAGCTACAGATGGACGGACAACCTGATTCTCAGTATTACCCCCATACCCCCCAACCCCTTATCTCCTTGACCCATGTGTTCACCGATGCCAGTCAGTTAATCTTAATCCCAGTAAACCAATACCCTAAAGGCTCTTTATCACTCAAAAAATTGTCATTTAAAGAAAAAAATTAAAGCAGAAAGGACAGATGGAAAATAATCACTTCACCATGGTATAAGGACACTTTGTCTACAATTAATGAATACAATTCTATACATTGACTCTGGTTTGTTGATAACTAAACAGACTACAATGGTGGGTCTAGATGATCTGTTTCAGTCACAAACATGTGACGGGTAGGTACTAGGAAAAAAACTCAGTACAAGTACCGGTATACTGGTACACTTCTTGCTTTTTCATTCTGCTGATTTTTTTCCATCCACATATAAGCGACACTGGTATATAAACCGCACGCCCAAATTACAAGGTAAAAAGGTGCTGCTTATAATCCCAAAAACATGGTTTAAAGAAATGCTATACCGTTTTATTCTGTGATGGATCTGCCACAGGAAAGTACTGAATTCTGTAGTACTTCAATCTAGATTTAGCAATGTTTTTGTCATACGTCCAGGTCAGTAATAAACAGGTACTCTTGTCTGTATAGTGTTGTTGAAATGATTCCACAGCTGAGGGTTTAACTGAAAAACATGAAAACATGAAAACAACATTGACCAACTACATATCTAAGGTGTACAACATGCTGTTCTCAAGACAGTCTCACACCACAGACAAGATATCCCAGGTACAATACCTGTGTAGGATAATTCTCACACCACAGGCAAGATATCCCAGGTACAATATCTGTGTAGGATAATTCTCACACCACAGACAAGTATCCCAGGTACAATACCTTTGAAGGATAATTCTCACACCACAGACAAGTATCCCAGGTACAATATCTGTGTAGGATAATTCTCACACCACAGACAAGTATCCCAGGTACAATACCTGTGTAGGATAATTCTCGCACATCAGACAAGTATCCAAGTTACAATACCTGAGTAGGATAACAAACCTATACAAATCATATGACATGAATTATACAATGCCATTACTTACCATTTTCACTTCGTAATTTTGTGATGAACTTTCCTGTGATGGTTTGTTTTTTTTGCTTGTTTGTGTTAGTCACATTCACTCGGAAATATAACATAGCTGTATCGATGTTGTTATACCAGGTACATTCTTTTTTGTTCACCATATCTGGGCATTCGATATAAGCTCCATTATACCTTAAAAGGAAGAAAAGATTAAAGTTCCTGCATCACCGTAGAATTATATAACATATACCATGGAACTATCACCACCTTCACCATTTAGTTCAGAGAGATAAAAAGTGGGCGACAGTTTCATGTTGAAATGTAAGTGTTCTCTAGCGTAATTCCAGTACAGACGAACAAAACCCAGGCAAATATAAAACTGTGCACAATAACTATAAGATAATTTTTATACCAAACAACAGATTATAGGGGAATCTCATCAAAATTGGGCACCATACAAATATTGTATAGCACTATATCAAATTAAATGGTGCACCATACAAATATTGTATAGTAGTATATTAAATTCTATGGTGCACCATACAAATATTGTATAGCACTATATCAAATTAAATGGTGCACCATACAAATATTGTATAGCAGTATATTAAATTATATGGTGCACTATATTCTTGACAATTTTGAAAACTCATCAAACCTTTGTCTTTCTCTCAAAATGAACTTATGTGATCCAAATCTTGGTTTTTGTTGTGATATGAATGGTACTGAAGCCTTATCTTATTGGGTAAGAAGCGTATGGAACTCCTGGACCGTGAAGAAGCGTGTTAAACCCCTGGACCGTGAAGAAGCGTGTTAAACCCCTGGACCGTGAAAAATTATTCTAAATACTTTCTTCAATTTAAAACATTATCACAAAAGTGCTAAAGTTTGATTATGCCAAAATAAGTATATTTATCGATATTTGACATTTGGCCCCATCTTGGTTATACAGATAAACAGAATGTCAATTTAAAACTTACATCACTATATTAACATCAATAGACTTCATGTGGCGGTATGGGGGAAGGTTCAACGTACAAACCAACTTCACTTTCCAATTGTGCCAGACACATTCAATATCATCTACTGATTGTAAAGGATCTACAACAGAAAAAAACACATTTTCTACGATATACAGCCCAAAAGATGTTATTTAACACTTCTAAAGTCTTTAGTAAAAACCAGATCTGTCATCCTGAGGATAACTTATATATCCTATACAGAGAAAAAGACCTCTTTGTACTAAATTTGGTCAAAACTAAAAGTCAAAAACAATTGAAAATTAATTAGAGGCCAGGATTGTGTTACCATAGTAACCGTTTCTGAAACATCTATTGTCTCCTACAACAGATTTTAATTTGTTATACCATTCGACCAAAGTCAAATAATACAATCAGTGGAATGAACAAGGAGTATTGGCCATTTTTAGTAAAATTTGTTTATAGTTTTCAGTTACCACGGCAACCATAATTTCTGAGAAAAAAAAGGAAAAAAAAACATATTGCATGTTAAAATGCAGTGTTAAACAAAGATATGAACCAAACTTTGAAGTCAATTAGATGCTTGGAAAACAGTTATTTCTCAAAATGGATAGCCGGAACAAATTTTTCATTTTTTTTTATATAAAAGTGGGATAACTCTCTGAAAAAGGGGGAAAATGCAAAGTTACTTCAGAGGGCACATCTCCAAACTGTACTAATCATTCCCACAAAATTTCAAAAAGATCTGTTGTTTGTCCAAAATCAGACGGAGGGATGGACAGACAAGGTGATACCCCCCCCCCCACCCCTCCCCCCCCCCTCCCCCCCAATCCCCTCCATCTATGCCGAACTTGCACAGGGTTATAAATACATAATTATTAACAACTTCTACCATCTAAAGTACAACATAGGATGTTATTTACCAGTTCTATAGTGTACAATACCAAATAGGATGTGATTTACCAGTTCTATAGTGTACAATACCAAATAGGATGTGATTTACCAGTTCTATAGTGTACAATACCAAATAGGATGTGATTTACCAGTTTTATAGTTTACAATACCAAATAGGATGTGATTTACCAGTTCTATAGTTTACAATACCAAATAGGATGTGATTTACCAGTTTTATAGTTTACAATACCAAATAGGATGTGATTTACCAGTTCTATAGTTTACAATACCAAATAGGATGTGATTTACCAGTTCTATGGTTTACAATACCAAATAGGATGTGATTTACCAGTTCTATAGTGTACAATACTAAATCGGATGTTACTTACCAGTTCTACAGTTTACAATACCAAATCGGATGTTATTTACCAGTTCTATAGTGTACAACACTAAATCGGATGTTACTTACCAGTTCTATAGTGTACAATACCAAATAGGATGTGATTTACCAGTTCTATAGTTTACAATACCAAATAGGATGTTATTTACCAGTTCTATGGTTTACAATACCAAATAGGATGTGATTTACCAGTTCTATGGTTTACAATACCAAACAGGATGTGATTTACCAGTTCTATGGTTTACAATACCAAATAGGATGTGATTTACCAGTTCTATAGTGTACAATACCAAATAGGATGTGATTTACCAGTTCTATAGTGTACAATACCAAATAGGATGTTATTTACCAGTTCTATAGTTTACAATACCAAATAGGATGTGATTTACCAGTTCTATAGTGTACAATACCAAATAGGATGTGATTTACCAGTTCTATAGTGTACAATACCAAATAGGATGTGATTTACCAGTTCTATAGTGTACAATACCAAATAGGATGTTATTTACCAGTTCTATAGTGTACAATACCAAATAGGATGTGATTTACCAGTTCTATAGTGTACAATACCAAATAGGATGTGATTTACCAGTTCTATAGTGTACAATACCAAATAGGATGTGATTTACCAGTTCTATGGTTTACAATACTAAATAGGATGTTATTTACCAGTTCTATAGTGTACAATACCAAATAGGATGTGATTTACCAGTTCTATAGTTTACAATACCAAATAGGATGTTATTTACCAGTTCTACAGTTTACAATACCAAATAGGATGTTATTTACCAGTTCTATAGTTACCAGTTCCAGTTCTATGGTTTACAATACCAAATAGGATGTGATTTACCAGTTCTATAGTGTACAATACCAAATAGGATGTGATTTACCAGTTCTATAGTGTACAATACCAAATAGGATGTTATTTACCAGTTCTATAGTTTACAATACCAAATAGGATGTGATTTACCAGTTCTATAGTGTACAATACCAAATAGGATGTGATTTACCAGTTCTATAGTGTACAATACCAAATAGGATGTGATTTACCAGTTCTATAGTGTACAATACTAAATCGGATGTTACTTACCAGTTCTACAGTTTACAATACCAAATAGGATGTGATTTACCAGTTCTATGGTTTACAATACTAAATAGGATGTTATTTACCAGTTCTATAGTGTACAATACCAAATAGGATGTGATTTACCAGTTCTATAGTTTACAATACCAAATAGGATGTTATTTACCAGTTCTATGGTTTACAATACCAAATAGGATGTTATTTACCAGTTCTATAGTGTACAATACCAAATAGGATGTGATTTACCAGTTCTATAGTTTACAATAACAAATAGGATGTGATTTACCAGTTCTATGGTTTACAATACCAAATAGGATGTTATTTACCAGTTCTATAGTGTACAATACCAAATAGGATGTGATTTACCAGTTCTATAGTGTACAATACCAAATAGGATGTTATTTACCAGTTCTACAGTTTACAATACCAAATAGGATGTGATTTACCAGTTCTATGGTTTACAATACCAAATAGGATGTGATTTACCAGTTCTATAGTGTACAATACCAAATAGGATGTGATTTACCAGTTCTATAGTGTACAATACCAAATAGGATGTGATTTACCAGTTCTATAGTGTACAATACCAAATAGGATGTTATTTACCAGTTCTATAGTGTACAACACTAAATCGGATGTTACTTACCAGTTCTATAGTGTACAATACCAAATAGGATGTGATTTACCAGTTCTATAGTGTACAATACCAAATAGGATGTGATTTACCAGTTCTATAGTGTACAATACCAAATAGGATGTTATTTACCAGTTCTATAGTTTACAATACCAAATAGGATGTGATTTACCAGTTCTATAGTGTACCAAATAGGATGTGATTTACCAGTTCTATAGTGTACAATACCAAATAGGATGTGATTTACCAGTTCTATGGTTTACAATACCAAATAGGATGTTATTTACCAGTTCTACAGTTTACAATACCAAATAGGATGTTATTTACCAGTTCTATAGTGTACAATACCAAATAGGATGTGATTTACCAGTTCTATGGTTTACAATACCAAATAGGATGTGATTTACCAGTTCTATAGTGTACAATACCAAATAGGATGTGATTTACCAGTTCTATAGTGTACAATACCAAATAGGATGTTATTTACCAGTTCTACAGTTTACAATACCAAATAGGATGTTATTTACCAGTTCTATGGTTTACAATACCAAATAGGATGTGATTTACCAGTTCTATGGTTTACAATACCAAATAGGATGTGATTTACCAGTTCTATAGTGTACAATACCAAATAGGATGTGATTTACCAGTTCTATAGTGTACAATACCAAATAGGATGTTATTTTCCAGTTCTATGGTTTACAATACCAAATAGGATGTGATTTACCAGTTCTATGGTTTACAATACCAAATAGGATGTGATTTACCAGTTCTATGGTTTACAATACCAAATAGGATGTGATTTACCAGTTCTATGGTTTACAATACCAAATAGGATGTGATTTACCAGTTCTATGGTTTACAATACCAAATAGGATGTGATTTACCAGTTCTATAGTGTACAATACCAAATAGGATGTGATTTACCAGTTCTATAGTGTACAATACCAAATAGGATGTTATTTACCAGTTCTATAGTTTACAATACCAAATAGGATGTGATTTACCAGTTCTATAGTGTACAATACCAAATAGGATGTGATTTACCAGTTCTATAGTGTACAATACCAAATAGGATGTGATTTACCAGTTCTATAGTGTACAATACTAAATCGGATGTTACTTACCAGTTCTACAGTTTACAATACCAAATAGGATGTGATTTACCAGTTCTATGGTTTACAATACTAAATAGGATGTTATTTACCAGTTCTATAGTGTACAATACCAAATAGGATGTGATTTACCAGTTCTATAGTTTACAATACCAAATAGGATGTTATTTACCAGTTCTATGGTTTACAATACCAAATAGGATGTTATTTACCAGTTCTATAGTGTACAATACCAAATAGGATGTGATTTACCAGTTCTATAGTTTACAATAACAAATAGGATGTGATTTACCAGTTCTATGGTTTACAATACCAAATAGGATGTTATTTACCAGTTCTATAGTGTACAATACCAAATAGGATGTGATTTACCAGTTCTATAGTGTACAATACCAAATAGGATGTTATTTACCAGTTCTACAGTTTACAATACCAAATAGGATGTGATTTACCAGTTCTATGGTTTACAATACCAAATAGGATGTGATTTACCAGTTCTATAGATTACTATAACAAATAGGATGTGATTTACCAGTTCTATAGTGTACAATACCAAATAGGATGTGATTTACCAGTTCTATAGTGTACAATACCAAATAGGATGTTATTTACCAGTTCTATAGTGTACAACACTAAATCGGATGTTACTTACCAGTTCTATAGTGTACAATACCAAATAGGATGTGATTTACCAGTTCTATAGTGTACAATACCAAATAGGATGTGATTTACCAGTTCTATAGTGTACAATACCAAATAGGATGTGATTTACCAGTTCTATAGTGTACAATACCAAATAGGATGTGATTTACCAGTTCTATAGTGTACAATACCAAATAGGATGTGATTTACCAGTTCTATAGTGTACAATACCAAATAGGATGTGATTTACCAGTTCTATAGTGTACAATACCAAATAGGATGTTATTTACCAGTTCTATAGTTTACAATACCAAATAGGATGTGATTTACCAGTTCTATAGTTTACAATACCAAATAGGATGTGATTTACCAGTTCTATAGTGTACAATACCAAATAGGATGTTATTTACCAGTTCTACAATGTGCAGCACATTGCAAAACTGAAGTGAAGTTTTTCTAGGATACCTACAATCAACAGATACAAGCTGGCCTCCAACTGTTTTCTCTACAATGGAATCACCACTCTTGTAACAGTAATATGTCCCCTCATCCTCGATCTGCATCTGCTTCCTTATAGCTCTTGTGCTTTCATTGATTATGGTCGAATTGACCTCCTTTCCATTCTTTACAAAGTATAAATCAGACGAGTTTACATTTTCCAACGGCTCATCTAGTGCACAAATCAGGTCGCTTGTCTCATTGATGTAATAAAATGGATCATGTGGCAAAAAGGCTGAAAATAAACATAATACTTCTGATGTTTCATGTAACACATAAAAAGGATCAATATTATCACAACATTAACACAGTATATGATTTAGGTAGTCTCACACTGGCAGGGAGCCCAACATTTTGGTAGGGAGAGTCTCACACTGGCAGGGAGCCCAACATTTTGGTAGGGAGAGTCTCACACTGGCAGGGAGCCCAACATTTTGGTAGGGAGAGTCTCACACTGGCAGGCAGCCCATCATTTAGGTAGGGAGAGTCTCACACTGGCAGGGAGCCCAACATTTTGGTAGGGAGAGTCTCACACTGGCAGGGAGCCCAACATTTTGGTAGGGAGAGTCTCACACTGGCAGGGAGCCCAACATTTTGGTAGGGAGAGTCTCACACTGGCACGGAGCCCAACATTTTGGTAGGGAGAGTCTCACACTGGCAGGGAGCCCAACATTTTGGTAGGGAGAGTCTCACACTGGCAGGGAGCCCAACATTATGGTAGGGAGAGTCTCACACTGGCAGGGAGCCCAACATTTTGGTAGGGAGGGTCTCACACTGGTAGGGAGCCCAACATTTAGGTAGGGAGAGTCTCACACTGGCAGGGAGCCCAACATTTTGGTATGAAAATTATCTCACACTGGCAGGGAGACCAACATTTTGGTATGGAAATTATCTCACACTGTTAAGGAGTCAAACCTTTTGGTAGGGAAATTATCTCACACTGGTAAGGAGTCAAACCTTTTGGTAGGGAAATTATCTCACACTGGTAAGGAGTCAAACCTTTTGGTAGGGAAATTATCTCACACTGGTAAGGAGTCAAACCTTTTGGTAGGGAAATTATCTCACACTGGTAAGGAGTCAAACATTTTGGTAGGACATTTGTTTCCCAATTATTTTCAATGTTACCATTAAACTTACATCCACATTTACAACAAATGAAGCATCCTACGGAGAGGTGCAGCAAACAGCCAATCACGGTACAGACGAGACCTATAGTCCCCATATTGTTGGAGAATCCAGGCATCCTTTGTCAGCTCACTGTTACTTGTTAAAACCTCACAGCTATACAGTCGTACATCTGTACAAACAACAATAAGGATACACAATAAAGTAGAAAGATCAGGCTTTAGGAACAAATAGGTACATGAAATAATATCATCTCACCAACTCCCACCCCCCGCAAGAAATCAACTAATCATACTCACATGCAGCTTCATAATATGTCCCAACTATTCTAACTCAATATCCTACTCCAGCTAGAACAAGCAAACTTAACCAGTCTCTCAAAATATCCTGTCCTCACCTGAGCTGGAACAAGCAAACTTAACCAGTCTCTCAAAATATCCTGTCCTCACCTGAGCTGGAACTAGCAACCCAAACATATCCTGTCCTCACCTGAGCTGGAACTAGCAACCCAAACAAGTCCCTCTCTACATCCTAAATCTTATCTATCCAGTGGAAAGTGGTTTTCATACTATCGTAAATCTTAATAAGTAATAAAGGGTGATCCAACACACCTAATGTAGACCTTAACGGTATAGTCTTCGGTCGGATTTGTGTGGGATTCAATAGAGTTCTTTACTAAGAAAACGTGATAAAAAAAAAAGGAAACTCAACAACACAAAGACTTTTTATGAACAAGAGGCCCAGAGGGCCTGTATCACTCACCTGGATCATAATGACCAACAGTTTAGGATAATATCACTATCCTAGATGTTTTGGATAATCAAAAAATGTCATTTAAAGATTTAACACATTTGACCCATGTGACCTTAACTATGGGTCAAGGTCATTTCTTTTTGCCAACTTTCTTGGACTTCATAAAAGGAACATACTGGCCAAATGTAATGATTCTAGGCTTTTCAATATTTCAGAAGAAATTGTTTAAACGCTTTAACACATTTGACCTCGGTGACCTTGACCTTGACCTTGACATGGCTTATAAGGAAGAAGGTTTTTAAGAACTTGAATTTCTCCTGTTGGACCGTCACCTCAAGACTGCTGGTTGATACAAAATTGGGTTCCTTTCAACCAGGTATGCTTCATACCAAATCAGGACTGGATCAAGGCATTCCCACAAAAGTAAGATTTTCAAGAATTTTCCCCCTTTTCTCTGTTTGGGCCCAGTCCCTCCTGCCACAAGGTGGTCTACACCCAATAATATACAAAATTGATCCTCTTCATATATCCAGCTTGGCTCAGACAAATTGGGACAGAATTAAGGAATTTCAACAGAAGAAAAGTATGTTAAAATGTTGCTCTAATTCCCTTATTTATCCCTGTTTCTCCTGACTCAGGACATAAAGACCCATCGCTTATATAAAATCAATTCTACTTCATCAAAGCATGATTCAGACAAAACTGGGACAATATCAAAGCATTCTCACAGAAGAAGGATTTTAGAGAATTTGCTCTATCTTACATATTGGGTCATAACCTTTCCAACCCAGGGTCCAAGACCAACTGTTCAAACAAAATTGATTCCCCTTTGCCAAAAGACCAAATACGAGCAAAATTCAATCAATCCTACATTAGGTGTAGGATTTTAAAGAATTAATTTTTTCCAAAATTCTGCCCCTCCCACTCAAAGGGGGTCTAGACAAAATATCTATACAAAATTGTTTCCATTTCACCCAGAGATTTTGCAGAAAAAAATTGGGCAAAATTCAATCATTCCTTCAGAAGGGGTAAAATCTATTCTTTTTACCAATCCCTCCTGCTCCATGATGCAAAGAACCACAGTTTATACAAAACTGATTTCCTTTCCCCACAGGATGCCTCAGACCATTTTTTTTACAGCATTAACTAAAAGTAAATTACTTTAAACTCATATAATGCACACGAAAGTGTGTCCAGTTCTGAATTTGTCTGGCAAAAGCATTTTTTCAACTCTGTTTAATAATGAATTATTTTCTACTCTGTTCAAACTGTAATATCTAAGTCAAACTTTTAGAAAATCACCATGTAGATGTACCACCTCCTTGACTTTTGTTGGAATTCAAGCCCATGTACTGTACAAGAATGAAAAACACAATCATACATTACATTACATCAGTTAAGCGTTGATCAATAATAGTGCATGGTTTAAAAAAAGTAGACCAGAAATCTTGTGATTTATCTATAAACGGTTTTATAAAATGGAGTGGGAGGGTGTACATTTATGTACCAGTTCCTGACCCCTAAATCCACATGTAACTAGTCTACATTTGTTTTATTTCCCTATAACTAGTGGTTTAAGTACCCATACTTCAACCCATTGTAAACCATGAGTCGACGAGTGTCTGAACACAAAAATAAGGCGATCAGATACAATACATATATAATAACAATGTACACAAGTATTAAACTTAAACACTTCCCTTTTATGTTAAATGCTTGTGTTTGCAGCTGATTTCCATGATTCAAAGCCAGGCAATGAGAACAAGAGGTCCAATGGGCCTTGATAGTTACCTTAGTTCAAGGAGAAAAAGAGTTCAGCTCCAAAAATTTACAGGTATTTTTCTCAGGGAAGTTGAATTTCCAACATCGTAAAACTGACCTGCATATGGCGCTCAGAAAAAGTGGTGGTTTGAATGGATCAAACAGATAGGTTTCAGAGAAAATTGCAGTTTTACTATTTTTCTAGGTCACCTTGACCTTTGACTGAGTGACCTTGAAACCTGGTTCAAAATAACCTTCGCATTAGTCCCTACAACTTTTAAAAGTGTATGGCTATACAAGCAAGAGGCCATCGCCCTTAACAGTCTTTTGACCATAAGACCTATATAAGACGTAACAATGATAATAATAGAAGGAAAAATTATTAAATGATTACTACAGTTCTGGTTATTTTAGTGGAAGAGGCAAAAAGCAATCCTCTTTTCACTTTCTCCTACATAATTTCAGTTTAATGCCACCAATGGTATCGAAAAGTTTTAAAATGGTTTTTCTTCAAGACAGCCACAGTCGCCATGTTCACTTTCAGGCTGACCCGAAAGATAACACTGTGTCTGGACCATTCAAGATCCTTTCAGGCATGCTTCACTTCAATTCCAATAATGACACTTAAGAATTTTAAAAGCAAGTATATTTGTTTAGAGAAGCCATGCTTGTGCAATCAAGTTATGTAATGGTGCCCTGGCAGTTATAATGAGCTTTTGACTAGGCCAAAAAATAACACTTTCTTGGCTTTTTTTTCCTTAGCACACCAACCAATTTTTCAGCTAAGTGGCACTAGTGAAACTTGAGAAGTTTGAAGTGAATGAAAATAGGTTTTAAAAATTTGCAAAATTTTTTTCTTTTGGGCCCCATGACCCTCAAGCCCCAGGCAGCCTTAACCATAAATTTGCTAAAATTATTTGCCTTTCAAGGCCCTGCCATTTCTGCAAAGACCAACTGCTTATTTAAAACTCATTCCCTTTTCATCCGAGGATTTTCAGACCAAACTGGGACAAAATCCTTGTATTTTTACAGAAGATGAAAGATTTTAAATAATTTGAAGAAGGGAGCAAAATCGAATCATTCCTACAGGAGAGGTAGAGTTTTACAGAAGTTGAAACATTTTTTTGTTTGGGCCTATCAGACCCCAGGGTGAGAGACAAACCCACTATCTATACAGAATTTGTTCTGCTTTCCAACAGGATGTTTCTGACTAAATTTAGGTCAAAAATCTGTCAAGTTGTTTATGACTAGCTAAAATCAACACTTGGTCAGGACCATCTCAGGATCATTTCAGGCAAGTTTCAGCTCAATCCCTGAGGTTGAACTTGAGAAAAAATTTAAAAAGTAGAAAGTTTACACAAAGATAAACCATGATGGCCTAAAAGCCAAAGATTTTGGAGAAAATTGGCAGTCTTACTTCTGTATTGAAGACCTTTGACCTTCAGTCCAGTGACAATAATACTTAAACAAAATTTTTGCATGATTTTCTTAATTTTGCCTTAACAAAAAAAATTTGAGAGTTTTCAAACGAATCAGAATTTTATTTCTGTGTCATATCCATAGCAGTTAGTGCTTTTCTGGAACTGAGAAATGGATGGATTTGTGTTGATGTGGTTATGCCCTCTGGCTTTACTCATGTTACTCTGGATGGCATGAGACTGGCCTCTCATAAGTAGTTCAGTGAGGAAGTCACCAGTTACTACAACCCCACCTCAAAATGACCCTGACAGTTCACAGAGTGATTACCTAAGCAAACTAACTCAAGTCTGGATTTTCATTAAATGATCGATCAATTTTAACAAAGAGGTATGATTCTTAGATGAACTTGAACACCTATTTCAGTTCATTGCCTTGGGTGTTCTGAAAACATGCATTTTGAATCATCATGTCTAAATATAGAACATGTTTGTCCTTAATGTCCTAATTGTCACTTTTACAATTAAAGCTGAGAAATGCAAAAGAAATGACAAAAAAAATATTTATTTAGTGTCTAAATTACAGCTTTAATGTGATGGTTCATAATCATCTCCGAGAGGACATTTTACCAAGTCTCCAACACCAATAAGTATTTACATCTTCTAGCTTATCTCATACATGTACACATATAGCAGAAAAATATAGCCTAGAAGTTTTCTTCATTATATTCTGCAGTGTAGTTGGGACAAGGTTTCATGAATAATCATGAGGCAGTAAGAGGTGAGTAGGTACAAAGCATGTATTTTCATAATGCCATGCCACATGTCATACAAGCCACAAGGGTGCAGATGTAGATAACAGATATAGGGTCATTCCAGCCTTGGAAAGCAACACAAGAAGTCAGGTTTTAAGATACTTAATGATTTATGATGTACTATGATATAATTCACAATCACTATAGTAGTCAGTCATAACGTTTTAAAACAAGATTTAGCTCATAAAGTTTATCTCTGGTTTTTAACCCCTGCTTTAATTGTGCATCGCTCAACAGTACAAAGGTAGCTGTAGAACCTTGTTGTTTTTTCTGATCAGTTCCAAAATAAGTGGGGCACAACTTAGGAGTAAAA